CTTACCATTATGAACAAAGAGGAAAATGACGTGTGGCTTTGACCTTTTATCAAGAATTATATAACGGTTATGAGACCGTATCACATGCAAATACAAGCTGTAAGAATAAAATGGACACACAGTTAAGAGCACTACGTGTTACATAGTCTCCAGTTTCCACTACATTAGTCTAGGAATAGATCAAGTTTGGCCTAAAAATGAGTTATGTGGTTCTAGTTTAATCCTACACAACCTATTTTGACATTGGACCTCAAGCCTATAGCTTTTGAGCTAATTTTAAACAAGTGCTGTTAAGGTCAAGATTTTTTCCTATATAACTTACATAATTTTTGGCATTTAAAGAAAATACATTTTGACCTATAGAGTTAGGTCTAGATCAAATAAAAAATAAATAGTGAAATTACTCAGCAGTCTGGTAATGTTTTATCAAATTGTACCAGATTTTCACTAATTAGTGTTTTGGTGACCATTATAGGGCTGAATCGTCGCCACTTGACAATGGATAACAAACGTCATGAAACTGCATTGGAAGTAAGCTAATGATGATGTGTAGGGAGGGAGTTTAGTCTGTTGCCACCTGGACAGTCTACGCACAAAGGCTGTCATTCATCCTGGCTTCAACTAGTGTCACTTGTGCCCACATAAACACATTACATGCACAGAAGACACCCCACGCACAGGTGTTAGGTATTGCCTCCGTCTCCCAGTCCTAAAATCACCCCAACATCTTAAATCATTGATCCGCCAGGTTTGTAGGCCTAATGCCTCCGACACTATATCTATGGGATTTTACACCTCAAGTCTTGACTAATAAATAGTAGCATCTATATCAAGCCCACACTCATGGCACCCATGACATGTAAAACCTTTCTAGACGATCATGTACTATACTTGAAACCAGACACAACATCAAAGACAATACACATTTTCAATGTCTTCAAAGTCAAGTGTGTACAATCTCGTGTCCAAAATCAGCCTTCTCTATATTCTCAATATAGTCTGTCCTAAAGTCTACCTTGTATACATTCTTATATTTCTAAACATTTTCTTCAGGATGGTAAGTATGGATTATGGGAGGTTCTTTTTACACAACCAATAAAATTTTCTATGTGACGTTTCGATGACTAGTACGATATGTACACTGTCACCCTCATCAGACAAATGACCAATGAAGCGTATGCACACAAAGGTGTAAAATGTGTACGAGTTGTCCATAAAAACGATAAAATGATAAACGCTGGAAACACATGTTCAACAGTGGTTATATATGTACCAAAATGACAAAGCGTAGCTGAATTGAGTCATTTCGGTACATATATAACAACTATTGTACATACGTTTCCAGCGTATTTTCAATATCTCCTATCATTTCTTTTTGTCTCCTTTCCTAAGGTCAACATTGTACTGTACATAACTCTGTATTCCCTGTCCCAGACAACTTTCTATGCATGCACATCAATGTCTTTCATTCCAATATCCGCCTCGTATATAATTTTCCATATTTCCTGACCTAAGGTCAACCTTGAATATATTTTTATTGTTTTATTGTCTCCTAAGGTCAACCTTGAATATATTTTTATTGTCTCCTTTCCCAAGGTCAACCTTGTAAATTCATTTTATACAACATTGAGGCCCATTGGTCCAACAATACTTTCAACCTCATTAGATTAAAATCTCTTTATTTGTACTGAAGGTGTAGTCTTTTAGATGATTTCACCTAACTTTCCTATTTGCCCCCATACCTGCCTCCAGGGCCCGGGGATTATTTTTCCCAAATAAGATTAAAATCCACTGTTTAACACTGAAGGTGTACAATTTCAAAGATTTACCCCTATTTCCCATATTGTGTCCCACCACTCACACTCCCATGAGGCAGCATCTTTTACCAGGGTATACAATATCAAGTTCCCTTGGACCAGATATCCTTAATCTCAAATTAGCTTAAAATACTTTTACCTGCAGTGAAGGTGTATAGCCTAAAGATTTATTCTTATTTCCCCTGTTGGACCCAATTCCTAATGCAAATATAGGTTCACATCCGTCTTTTATAGAAAATAAAATTTCTTTGGCTGAGGAATCATTTATGTCATGTATTTTTCCTCTGTCCAAGGGGAGGGGAGTACACCATTCATTTACATTAAAAAAATAGTTCCCTGGGGCCAGGGATTCTTCATAACAAGTTCCGCTAAAAAATTAACTTGGGATTTCAAATATTTAATCTAATTTCCCCTATTAAACATTAACTCAACCCTTTTGCTCCAGGGAAGCACACCCTTCATTTATAAAAGATCAAGTTCTCTTGCTCGAGTGTAACTTGTACAAGTATAACAGATCAGGTTAAAGTCTCTTCCTCATACTGCAGAAAGAGGATTTTAAAGATTTAGCCCTAATTTCTCTTGCTTAGTCGTGTTGCGCTGTAAACTTAGTCCCCTTTGTCCAAGAATACTTCACATCAGCTGTTCGAGACAAGTCCTTTTTAAAATGAAAAAAAGTGTAAACTTTAATCTGCTGTTTTTCAACAAATCAAACAAAAGCATAAAATATTCAGTGTGCAGTGAAAAAAATGGCAAAACTTCATTGAAATGCTGAAATCAACTATATTGCACTGTTAATTTGGGCAGGGGCCTTTGTCTTATTTTGGGAAGAAAATACACCTATTGGGAAGCAAATGTTCAAGAATAAACTGCATGGGGAATTTGGCAAAAATATTAAAGTTCCCTGAAATTTTCCAGAAAAAGACCTCGACCAAAAACAATAGTTATGAAAACATACTTTGTTATTGGCTTCAAATAGTTTGCTGAGGTAATATAAAATTACATGAGAATTAAGGTGAATTCCAGGTTCTGGTAGTAATGTTTTTTTATAAATACCTGATACTTGGAAAACTTGGAGAGATATCACATAAACCCAGGTACAGTGGAAGGGAAATAACTCTATATTTAGACTAAATGCAGGTTATAAATGTGTAACAGGAAAGGAAAAATGCACTGCCAGACCGGGGTTCGAACCCGGGACCTTCCAAACTCTGGACGGACGCTCAACCAATTGACCTATCTGGTCGCCGACGATCGACCCAGTCCAGTTCCGTTACAAATGTATTGCTTTTGAAAAATTCTTAAACTTTAAAGATGAGTCCCCATCAATTTTTTGTATTTCTAATTATCAATAGTATGCTTTTCTTGTAATGCAATATTATGGATATATAGCATATGAAAAGTACAAAATGGAGCATTATATCTCATTGCTTTTTATTACATTTCAAAATATCATCCTGATAGATTGTAAGCTAACAAGTGGCTGCTTTCTTTAAAAACTCATATTCCGATATGTATTAGGGCAAAACAAATTTCAGGTGCGTTATGATGGCCCAGTTCTGCAAGCAATAGAAAATTTATGTTAACTTGCCGGAACGACCACTGCAAAGTTTTGTATTGAATATTAATTACTATATCCACAGCTTTATTTATGCTAGACCATATGTACATTATAGAGGTTAATACCTATATATAATATATCTATGTTTTTGGACCAGTAGATATCACCGATAGCCGAATACTTCAAATCAAATTAATTTGACCGACCAATGCTGGAATCAACATTCTAACCCAAATGTTCTGAGCCTAGGTTTTGCCTGCCCTTGATGTGTCCTTTCAATTAATACATCAATAACCAAAACTTTTACCATTTCATTACGTTTTTAACAAACATAATTTAGAAGATTTTTTTTTATATGGTAGCTTATTTAATTCATCATAAGGCCCCATACTAATTTTGAAACTATTTTATTATTATTCTGACACTTACAGTATCTTTAGAACTTTCTAAATAGTGTTTCTGGAAATGTCAAAAACTTCTTTAACTAGAAGTTAAAGAAGAACTAACATTAATGCTAAATGGGTTTTTTTATGATGGTTGTCAAATAGTGCCAAAAGTCAGCGAGAACTTAACATGTAAATAAGTACTTAAATTGTTTTTCTTTAAACTAATACAACCGGTCACTAATAACACTAACATTCTTACTCCCACAAACCCCAGAACATGATACAGAAGCGATCATTACGCTACATACCATTACAGAATGGCATCTCCTTCCAATTAACTATCACCCATCGTACACCACTAGAAGAATTTAGAGCAAGCACCTGGTGACTTACATACTAGAAGACACACACAAACATCAAAACAATCAATCCATGACATTTTTAACTTTTTTTATCTAACAGCAAAATACCATTCCACATCATGATTTTGAATCTTAACGGGAAGAAGAAGAATAATTACAAATAATAGAAAATATCACTGTACATTAGTTCAAACTCACAAAATGCTGCCAAGTTAAACCCCCATCCGCTCAATCGGGCAGACCGGGCAACCCTCTCCAACCATAATCATCAATACTGATAGAGGACTATAGAATGATTATAAACAGTAGATAAGGACATTTGTATTTAAAGGGAACAACTCATGTTTTTGTTAACAAAGTCCTTCACTCAATTGTGAGACTGCTTATTGCTTAAATTATAATGTTAAGCATTAAAATTGTCAATTAGTGAATTATTCATTACCACATCAGTTATTTTCAATATGAAATCATAAATCTCAGTCTCACAAGCCTACAGTCTCCCTTTTCGGACTCCAAAATTCGCTTAAAGGTTGCATGATTACAGTTTAGAAAAGTTATATGGTAATCTTAGGCCATTCCCTTGGTCTTGCACTTTTTGAGTTTTGTTTTGGCAGACTTTTCTTAAAATTACTTCAGTTTTAAATCACATTAATTTGTTACTATTTCCTTGTTTATATTATCGGTAACACTTAAAACAACTCGTTCAAACTGTGAATTCAATTGGTTAATTTCTAAACAGTATTGTGTTTCCTTTGAAATTTTCGCGGAATATTACCTTTCATTTTCCTAAGGTAAACCATTGCCACGTTCCGCATGAAAGCGGAATGTTTACAAGCGTTTAGTTGACCTTATTTAATGTCTTCAATGCGCATGCGCGCTATATCAAAATAAATCGCCATTTTCTGTATCTCTCCAGATGATTTTAATAAGTCCAGGATGACATCATTTGCAGATCACTTCTGGGTATGACATTTGGACTTTTAAATTAGCAGTTGTGCATTTGCTATATCAACTACTCTGTTTCACGGGTGGTTATTGCAATCGCAAATGTTCGCCATTTGAAAAAGGGGGTGTACCCTGTCCCTGTCAAGTGTCGGTGTGGCGACTGTCAGCGTGCAAGAGATGCCTTATGGTCGATTTGTACCTTACGGAATAAATCAAAGAAATGGAAAGTTTTCGTTCTTGAATGATAAATAGACATATTCAACTATTAAGTTTGGGCTTTTTAGTGTATCTAATTTTATGTACCCAATCGTATCATGGCGTCTCTTTCGAATGCAGACGGTTGTACTCATTCTTACAGAAATCCTACTAATTCAAAATGCCCTGAATATCTGTAATCCTTTATGACGCTTAAAGACGACTCATTAAGATCTTTCATACTAATCAATATACAATGCTATATTTGAAGTGGTTTTGTTCTCGCGAAATAAAATGAAAGTGTCGTTTACACTTTGGCAAAACATGTATTCAAGGAGGAAGGGAGATTTATGCCTAAGCTTATACATGTATATACATTTTCATGTTTGCCCGCAATATCCAAGTTGATTTTTGAGCAGGTCACACAAATCAATCTGTCTACCAGTTTCTATGGTGAAACTAAATCAGGATAAATGTGTTGCATATTGTGTACTTATTTGGTAGACTAAAAGTAAATCTATCAAGCATTAACTTAACCTTATGCTTCACAATGTGACCATGTAAATGGTGGAAAAGAAAATTCAATGAAACCATCTGTTCATGAATTAAGTTGGCGAAGTTTCATTTTCAAACTGACAAGTATTGAAAATATATCCGAACTGGACTGAATCCATTGTTAACGTCTAGTTAGCTCAATGGTTTTGACTGTCCGTCTTGTGTTTGGATGACCCAGGTTTGAAACTAGCTGGTTAGAGGTCTGGCCATGCAGTTATCTCCATCATGTAATGCAAATTTTTGAAATAAAAATGTCATCCTCCATGGCAGAATATGGGTACGATTCTGTTTGAGGGGATTGACTTACGAGTTAAAAGAAATGCAATTCAAATTAACTGAATTTTCATTTATCTGAACTGGAATTTTGAACCACAGTACATATATATGTTACCTGTAAAGCTCACAATTTGGCTATGCTTCACAGCCACACTAAAAACAAAGAGTGTTAGCTAGGTATTAATGTTATTAAACTAACTAAGCCTCTTATTTTTCAGTGTTAGTTGGTGCACTTGGATTTGTTCTCGCTCATAACCAAGCCAAGTAGCTTGTTATACTGACTTATAGTGCAACATAGTGTTACCAACTTCTGGTGAACTTCACTTGGAAACAAAAATCTATAACATCAGGTAGCCTAGTACATAAAAATCAAAGAATGATAAAGACATAAATTAACACATTGTGTTAAAGCTTTATTTTTTATTTTCAGGGAGAGAAGAACAATGGCTTTTTCGTGTTGTATCATAACATGAAACATGGCCAAACAGCATCAAAGGAATTCATTGATTTCCTTAGGGAGAGGTATGTACAGTAGTCGTCAACAAAACCTAAATCTGTTATAACAAAGATCAGTAAAGTTCTTGGCTTTTTATTTGTTTTAATACCAACAGAAAACAAGTTACTTGAGTCCAGTTTCCTTCAAGATTCAATAATTTTTAACTATTGTCATACATGTTTAAATACAAACTTTAGCTCTGTTGAACTGTTAATTATTGCGACAAATAATAATAACCAATTTACTATAGCTGGAACAGAAAAGGATACATTTTCTCACAATAAGCTAGAAATATTATTCATTTTAACGTAATGAAGAGATTCTGAACAAGGCAAAGTTGTTTTGTTTGTCTAACTTGAGTTTAAGTAAATATTCTGAAGACAAAAGTTTTTACTGAGTTTCTTTTTAAAACGTTAAATTTAAAAGTAGTTGGATAAACATGATAAACAATTATCTATAATTAATAAGATCTTTTTCTTGCATGTATATTGATTTTTTTAACCAGGGTAAAATAGTGCATGCTTGAGAACCATAACTTCACCATTTAGTTTGATGTTGCATAGCATTATGACATTCTGTTTTATGCAGCAAAAATTCAAGACAAGACTATTACCTGTATGTGTTGTTTAATCATTACTTTGGTTGTTTATCCTATCCCCCAGGGTTAGGCATATACCTAGAGTATATATATATAGTTGTGTGAGAAACTCATTAAAAATGTGTATTGCTTGTACTTGACAGCTGTAAGGTGGAAGAAAGCTATAGCACACTACTTAACAAGCTAGCTCGGACTGCTGCTACTAGTGCTCAAGTCGGGTAAGTCACGACCGGCATCACAGATGTCCAGCGGCACATCTCAGACTGGTCAGTTTGGGTTAGGAATACATGTACAGTATAAAGTAAAAAATGATGGTACATGTATACCAAATATTGAAAGAATTGACAACAAAAACAAACCTGTTCTTGTACTATAACCCTTTGAAAAGAGGTTCAATATGAGTAAAGGCTGGATTGTAATGTATAAGAAAAAGTCTAGCAATGACATTGCAGAGCAATAAATGTCTACCTGGTACATTAAAGTCAGAATTACTCGTTAGCAAATACTGATTCCATGGTATAGTAAAGTAGCTACAACTTCTGAGATGCATGTTTATCTGGATTTTCAAGTAAGAAAGACTAACAAATTATAAGCCAGCATGTCTAGACAATGTTAATTTGACCCTACTGTTTTTTTCCACCAGGGCGGTGAAAGGAGGCAATTATGAGTAAACAAATTTACTAACTTTATTTCATTTTTTTTTTTAAATGTTCTTCACAAAGTGCAAAAAATGAATTGATGTGTAAATATAAGCATTATTCTCGAAAAAGTGATTGCTGTTTTTTCAAGTGTAAATCAGCAACAGTTTTTTGATGAAACTAAATAACATCTGATTGAACCATTATATATACCTATTATAACTAGCCAATTAATGGTGTATTTTACAATGACAATGCATGACAGACATTTGAGTTGAAATTTGTATTTTATATAAAGTCATGTATTAATCTGACGTCCTGAAAAAAAGACAATGAATATAATCACTTTACTCGGAATTTTGATATTAATCAACCAAGATTATAAATCATGATTCTTTCATTGCTTATATTTTCATTGTCAAATTATTTTACAGTTTCCATGGTGGTGGCTTAGAAAATTGAGATTTAAATATTCAGTCCAGGGACTGGGTGGAGGGGGTAAGGGATTGTCTCTTTTGAAGAGATGTAGTAAATGGATGAAACAAATCCTGGATTTATATGTAAATTATTTTTTTCACTGAATTTTTCAGGGCGGTTATATCTTCATCATAAATATGGTATATAAAATTGAAAATTTAATATGTATTTATATTTCATTGACTAAAATAACCAGTAAATATTTTGCAATTTTAATTGATAGTTGATTTCATTGTCAAAGTACATGTACATGTTGTAATGTACACATGTATTGACTAAAATATACAAGTAGATATAGTATGGTCAATTACATATCAGATGGTATCTAATTTTAAAGAGCCACTCCCAACTACGTATTAGACATAAATCTTATTCACACTTATCTGACTCGGTCATTTGTGTACTAGACAAAGTACTCACAAATGTCATGCCAATGTTTTTAAATACCCCCTCTCATAAAATCTAAGGGTGAATTGTTCTTCTCCTATTGAATCCAAAGAGAACCTTAGATAATGCAGATGATACGACATTGCCAGTCACACAACCAGCTGCACAGCCAATTACATAAAATATCTCAGATAGTGTCTAGGTACACCCGTGTAAAGCAATGACCTCTCCCTGTAGAAGTTCACCCCTACACCTCCCATTGTCTTCAATCCACATTAGAACTTTTTATATTAAAAATAGCATTACCAGCTCATCTCAAAAATGGGAATCAGTTAATCTGTCTGCTAATACCGTTATATGGATTAAACAAGAAGTGCTTTGATCAAGATAACATAGAAAGTTATTAAAATGTAAATCCCATTGAATGTTTAAAGTCCTAAATGGACAGTTATTTGATAAAATAACTTGTTGAAAGAATTCAAGATTGTATCTTGATAAACATATTATAACTTACTGACTCTTAGTCTCGATGATATGAGGTAGGCAAACTACTAATCTCTACACATATGCTTTACTGTACTGACTCATGTGTGGTTGCAGCACATTTGCCCCATTCTGGACTGTGCTAAAGACACTAGCGGAGAAGCTTGCCACACTACATACACAGTTACTGCATAGCTGGACAGACCTGATAAAGGATGTCGCCCGCTACAATGATGATCAACACAAACGACACAAAAATGTATGTAACATCCATCTTCATGTCACGAGTAATTAAAGGATTAAGTATCATCCTTTTGAAACTGGTTTGCATTGCACATGTGCATTGCTGAATAGCTAGAGACATATACGGGGTTTGGGTCGTAATGTCAGTTGGGTGGGATGGAATTCATTTAATATTGTAGAAAAGAGAAAAGGGACAATTTGATTTGTGTCAATGTGAATATAACAATAGACCATAAGTAAGTATGACCATTCATGATTTTTTATTTAATTTTCATTGCTTTTAATTTCAGATGAAAGAAACCGAGTCAGGAACACAAGAAATAGTTCATTCCATACAGCAGACTACAACATCATTACATAAAGTAAGATTCTCTCCACCGTCAGTAAAGATTATTAGACTCTTTCATGCCCAGGGGTGTAGGATAGGGAAATTCCATCGGAGGGTTTTGCCAAATTTGAAAATCTGGAGGATGTAATTTCCCTATCCTACACCCTTGGGAATAAAAGAGTATTTTTCTCTCAGTATTTGATCACCAGAATAAGCTCAGAAACCATGGAAATGTGTATGGACAGGCCTCCATTTTCAATATCGATTTTCCCTGTGAGCATCTTTAGACGAAAACAGATTAGCCAGACAGATTTAGTATACCCCATATTTGCAAACACATGTTTGTGCAGAAAAAATAATCACATCTTTCTAACATGTACAGTAAATATATATTAAAAGGTTTTAATTTCATCACATCGCCTTTTCCACATTGCGGCATCAGAGAGTTCCAGATTAGTGACGTCACGTCATTGTTGAGCCATTGTGACGTCATGTCGCGTGAAATGGGATGTAAGATAGAAATGTCCTACACCCCTTTCTTACCCTGGACAGCTCTATCTTACACACAGGGAAATGAGAGAAAAATATATCATTACTGGTACTTGAAGTATGTTTCTCAAGTGAATACAAGTGGTGTGACATGATTTGGTTATGTCACTATGTTCAGCTCACCCGGCCCAAGGTGCTTGAGGAGCTTAATAACTTCTGAATTATCAAGAAGTATAGTGTTTAATAGGAGATGTAACATAGTGATACGAATTGTGGAATCCGAGTATCCAACAAAGATTTATAAGGTGTAGACTAAAAGATCTCTCCACAAAGACTCATAATGTGTGGGGTAATGATAAAAAGCCTTTTTAAGTTTACCTTGACAATCTTTGGTGTTCATAGGTGCAAAATGAATGACAGGTGAATGATGCTTTACCATTGGGTCTCTAGTGTATGCTTGTCAACGTGAGGCTTTGTTGTCTCCTTTAGATAATACTGAATAGGTTTGGAGCAATCGCTCAAGTGACTAAGATTATTAGAGAGCTGTTCATTGATGATGCCCATAAAGCACAGTAATAGCTGGAAAATCTGTTCAAATGACAGAAAACTGTATAAAATATAAACATATTGATTGAACAGATTGTCTTCTATTCAACAATCAAGCAATGCTTCTTGGTATATATTGTTACTAATTGGTATTCATTCCTGCATGACTATTCAAAATAATGAGTCCATCATTATATAACTTTGCTATACTCCTAGTTATTTCATTACATCAAGCCATGTTATTCCACCATGTTGACTATTTTCTACATACTTCTTAATTCCATTGATAATTCCTTGTTGTGTCTCAAACTTTTATTAGCATGAATAAAAGTTACTTGAGTTTGAAATGTGTGTTAATTTTTAGGCAAAAGAATTATACCATACAAGATGTTTAGAGCGGGAAAGACTAAAGAGAGAAAACGCATCTCAAAAAGACATGGAAAAGGTATTCATTCACATATGAATTTTAAATGTTGTTTTAAATTTTAAAAAATAAAAAATAAAAACATGTCACATGGTTGTGTGATACAATAAACATTCTAAATATCTGAAAATTAGGTCCAAACTCAGTCTAGTGTGAAATCGGAGCATTCATAATGTGCATTTGAGAAATATTGGTTTATGAAGTATTGTAAATATGTTAAAGAATGTGAAATCTGTCGAGTATAAAATAAAAAAATAATCATGTTATGTAATATAAGGACTCATAAACATGATAATCTTTACACTGGTATCTTCTTTACTCAGCAATCGTGTTGTTTCCTTTTTTTATTTCAGGCGGAAATAAAATGTAAAAAAGCTAGTAAGTATGAGAAGATCAGACAATAATAGTTCATCAACACTGTTATAGATAGAAATGAATACATTACAGGTGATATTTCTGACTTTATCACAGAAACTACTTGCAGCTCTAAATGTACCTACCTAGATATGGCTGCCTAGTAACAGTGATTAATTCACTTAAGGATTGAATTGTTAAAAAATATAAGAACATATTTTGAGTTTCTTGATATTTTAAAAATTATGGTGGATATTTCAATAATTTTTTTCACAACTGTGTATCACAAATGTGGCAAAAGATACAAAAAATCTGTCTCCTGCCAAATTTTTAGAGGCATGGATTCTGTAGTATAATGCTACAAGTGAACATGTCACAATTGGCAAGGCCGATTGTGTCTTATTTCCACACTAAATACTAACCTTGGATTACTTGGTTTAATGTGATTTTTTTGTGTCTTTGTAACATTCATTAGCATGTGTTTATGATAACATGACAGTTATCAGGCTAAGTTACCAGACTTTAGGACCTGTACCATGTTATTAAAAGATACAAACGTATCCTTCATATTGTATAATATACATTTAGTAACTTTCTGGCATAAATTCATGTTTAGAAAGATAATCACTTAAGTTATACATAGTTTATAACAGCTAATACTTGAAATTTCTTTTACAGGTGACGATTATAAAAATTTAGTGGATAAATATGCAACTGTTAGAAATGAATTTGAAACAAAAATGTTGGGATCTTGTAAGGTAAGTGGATGTGTGGTATGCCTATATACATGTCAACGAAATTTTGTTTTACAATATACAAAACTGGGTTTCTATATTATAATGATAGGTGTTAAGGCAATCACATTTAAAAACGTCTTTATAAAATGAAATACTACTTTTTGTTCTCTAAATTCTCTAAAACCAGTGTGATGACTTCTATGTCGGCCAACTATTGGTTGTGTGTGAGTATTTTCTGGTTGCCATGGTTACTGGAATGGATGCCACTTTGAGCCCTGTTATTCACATGTTGATGTTTTAAATACAGTATGTGATATTTGTGTTCATGTTTAAATACAGTATGTGATATTTGTGTTAATGATTTAAATACAGTATGTGATATTTGTGTTAATGTTTTAAATACAGTATGTGATATTTGTGTTAATGTTTTAAGTATATGATATTTTGTTCAGCACTTCCAAGAGCTACAGGAAGAACATATATGTCAGATGAAGGACTTTATTGATACCTACGCCAGAGCCTGGGAAAGTGAACATGCACTGATAGGCCAGGTAGGTCTTATATAGATGTTGTGTATACGTAACAACCATGATCTGAGGCCATCGTACTGAAGGAAATACTCTATAATTATTGTGTCCCATTGCAAAGCAAATATGTTCTGGGCTGAAATATTTTCATACAGTAAATCTTAAATATTATATGTACTTTCATGTCCTGGAAAGTATGCATCCCAACCCCCAGATGAAATAGATGGAGCTAAGGTTTTACCATTATAGAATGCACTATGGATTTCATATTTTTTTTCAAATAGAATAATTTTTATTTTGTTAATAAATAAGTAAACAATTAATTTTCTGTTTGTTTTAGGTACACAAAGAATTCAAAGCAAGCTGTGATGAATTATCTGTACAAAAGTTACTAGAAAATTTTATTGCTTCCAAAAAGACAGGAACAGAAAAACCAGGTAAGGACAGATAGTTCCTCTGTCAGTCACAGTGTTGTTTGGACCATTCTTTTGAAACACATATAAGATGGTGGGAAAGCAATTAAGACATAGATTTGATGGGTGCACTTAGTCCTAAGATATATTGATCATGTATTTTCCAGAGTTACATGTATCAGCTATTTTGTAATGGGAGGGTGGATTTAACCCTGAAGAGCTCATCAGACTTAATGGTGAATAATGTTGATAAAGCTTCAGTGACCTGCTATTCTACTTAACCTTTTAGTAGTCATTACACAAAATAAGGCCATATTCTGAAAGCTTGTGACTGACCTCACAATGGGATAACAGTGTCCCCTTATTGAACTAAAGTCACTGAAATGTTACTTCACACTGTTGGGCTGAAAAAAATGCCTTCTGTCAGAGAGTAGCCTGTTGTTATGGTAGTTTGCATCTTAAACAATTTACTAGTAGGTTGTTCTATTTTTAAGTGCCCTCAAGCCACCTCCCCTATATGTTATAATGGAACAGTCCTTTTGTTGTCAGATGAGTGTGTTGTATAGCAATGACATGATTTGAGTGGTTGTGTAAGATTTGAGTAGGGGTGTTTGTGAAGTGGAGGTCAAGTTTATACCTAGCTTGTAGGGTGTTAATGTATGTGACATCCTGCTGGATGCCACAACCTATTTGTGTCATTACTCTTGCAATATTAAACCTTGTACATATACACTGTTCCCTAGGTCCCTGAATAGTATGTGTAAATGTTTTTCTGCAGACCTGTCTGACTTTTTTGATATATTTTTTGTCGGCGTAACTTCACACCTTAAGCCAAAAGACACCTTGCCTTGTTGTGTATGCTGCCATTCAACTGCTGTGATGTTATACTATATCTTTTGTAGATACAGGTGACCAGACTGCAGAGATGTGTCTTTCAATGCTTTGATAGTTATCAAATCAGTTTTCCTTATTTTTTTTAAATCTTTTCTGTTTGAAATTAATTTTTATTCAGGTTTAAATTTTCTTTTTCTGCCAACATCTTTTGAAAATCTGAAATTTTAACTTCACTTTCTTTAAGTGTGACTTTTTTGTGTTTTATCATTTGATGTGATTTCTTCAAACACTCTTCTACAATTTTTTCTAAATACATGAATCATTCATTAATATCAGAATGTGAAGAAGTTATACTTACTGGATATTCTTTCACTGAATGACTTGGTCAGTGTATGTGTTTAAACATAGCTGTGTATAAACGTCTGACACTTTGTTCCACCTTTTCTCGTTTGCTAGTCATGCGTTGTTGGGAGTACACAGGTACCTATCGTCCTACTTACCATAGCTGTGATGTTTAATGTTGTAAACTTTGTTTAAGACTATGATATGTTGGTATGGATTAGTAGTCTATAACCATAAAAACTGGATGCAATGTGATGTTAAGCTTTTAACTAATGAGAGGTGTTGGAATGGCAAACTATCTGAAGTCTGTAAAAACTACATTTTTCAATGAAAAAAATATTGCAACAGCAAAATTAATAGTAGGCAAATTATCTTAAATTTTTAGCCCACCATCATCTGATGGTGGGCTATTCAAATCACCCTGCGTCCGTGGTCCGTCGCCCGTCCGTTGTCTTTCGTCCGTCGTCCGTCCGTAAACAATTCTTGTTATCAGTATTTCTCAAGAAGTACCAGAGGGATCTTTCTCAAATTTTATATGCAGGTTCCCCTTGGTCCTTAGCTGTGCAGGGAAACTTTTGAGACTGATTGGATAAACAACATGGCCGACAGGCAGCCATCTTGGATTTTGATAGTGAAAGTTTGTTATCGCTATTTCTCAAGAAGTACTAGAGGGATCTTTCTCAAATTTTATATGTACGTTCCCCTTGGTCTTTAGCTGTGCAGGGCAACTTTTGAGACTGATCGGATAAACAACATGGCCGACGGGTAGTCATCTTGGATTTTGATAGTGTGGGTTTGTTACCGCTATTTCTCCGGAAGAACTAGAGGGATCTTTCTTAAATTTTATATGTAGGTTCCCTTGGTCCTAGCTGTGCAGGGCAATTTTAGAGACTGATCGGATAAACAACATGGCCGACAGGCAGCCATCTTGGATTTTGATAGTGAAAGTTTGTTATCGCTATTTCTCGGGAAGTACGGGAGGGATCTTTCTCAAATTTTAAATGTAGGTTCCCCTTGATCCCTCGTTGTGTATGTTATATTTTGAGACTGATCATAAAAACAAAATGGATTAAAAGAAGAACTAAACAGATCTTTCTCATATTGCAATGATCGATTCTATTTCTTTCACATTAAGTACTGTACTAGTAAATATGTGAAATGACAAACTCACTTTGAAGGTTGGCTTTCATACACATCAGTATTAAGTTTAGATCAAAAGTTACCTCAAGGTGCATTTACCGTTAACATGACTCGATCGAACAGATTAGAGGAAAGAAGAGAAAAGATCGAACTGACAAAGAACTAATGAAGATGGTACAACGGTGGGCGCCAAGATCCCTTGGGATCTTGTTAGAAAACTGAAAGTGGTTTGATATTGTGGAAAATTATATTTTTATCCCTACCTTTTGCGAAGTGGTGGTCATTGTTGTTTTTCACAATAATCCATCCCACAATACTGTTTTCTCACTGATTTGATTTTTAACAATTACAAGGTATGCATAGTAGGCATATTATAGTAATCCTCCACCACAACAAAAAAAACAGTTCCTCAAATCCGGTTGGCTGTCACAGCCAGGGCCTTACATTTCACGCTTATTTTTGTTATTGCTGCCACTGCATGGACTTTGATTAAGAAAACTTTCTGAAATTTATATTTGATAAATATGGCTGTCTATTCCCAGTGTGTTTCACCAATAGGACAATTTAACCTCATTCTTTTTCCTTGCATGCTACTATTTTCCTTCTTGCTTGCCTCACCATCGAGATGTTACTACATGGCTATTTAGTAAAACCACTGACTAGATGTGTTAGAACTATTGTGGTGTACATTTCTAGATGTGGCGTGGGGTTCTGGGTCGGTGAAATGTGGTGCTAGGACAGCAGATTTTGTACAGTGAATTATTTTTCATTGTCAATATGGTGAAGCAAGAACTAATAACTGGTCCCTCAAGGTGGACGTCTCTCATCTTACACATAGATATGAGAGAATAATATAATCTTTCCCCACCTTGGGGTAAGACAGAAAAATCCCAACCCAAGGGGTAAGATTTTGAAATGTCTAGCCCGAGGCTTTGCCAAGGGCCAGACTTGCAAGAATCTTACACCGAGGGTAAGTTGGGAATGATTATTTTGCTCTTACATCGAATACAAGTGGTAATTTTATGAAATACAGATGTTGATTTCATAATTTCCAGCAAATCAGAGTATCGGTGATCTGCAATTGTTGACGTGATGTCATACAATTGTAATGACAGGTAAATCCCCCTGTCTTTATAATTACCCCATAGCTAGGGATCTCTGACTGGAAGTGCGGATTTCACTGTCTAATGGGGGAGAACTACCTATCTTACCCACAAATGTATGAGAGAATTGGTGTCTAATGGGGGAGAACTACCTATCTTACCCACAAAGGTATGAGATAATTGGTGTCTAATGGGGGAGAACTATTTATCTTACCCACAAAGGTATGAGATAATTGGTGTCTAATGGGGGACAACTACCTATCTTACCCACAAAGGTATGAGAGAATTGGTGTCCAATGGGGGAGAAGTACCTATCTTCCGCACAAAGGCATGAGAGAATTGGTGTCTAATGGGGGAGAACTAACTATCTTACCCACAAAGGTATGAGAGAATTGGTGTCTAATGGGGGAGAAGTACCTATCTTCCGCACAAAGGTATGAGAGAATTGGTGTCTAATGGGGGAGAACTACCTATCTTACCCACAAAGGTATGAGAGAATTGGTGTCTAATGGGGGAGAAGTACCTATCTTACCCACATAGATATGAGAGAATTGGTGTCTAATGGGGAAGAAGTACCTATCTTACCCACAAAGGTATGAGATAATTGGTGTCTAATGGGGGAGAACTAGCTATCTTACCCACAAAGGTATGATAGAATTGGTGTCTAATAGGGGAGAAGTACATATCTTACCCACAAAGGTATGAGATAATTGGTGTCTAATGGGGCAGAACTACCTATCTTACCCACAAAGGTATGATAGAATTGGTGTCTAATAGGGGAGAAGTACATATCTTACCCACAAAGGTATGAGAGAATTGCTGTCTCATAGGGGAGAAGTACCTATCTTACCCACGTAGATATGAGAGAATTGGTGTCTAATGGAGGAGAAGTACCTATCTTACCCACATAGATATGAGAGAATTGGTGTATAATGGGGAAGAAGTACCTATCTTACCCACAAAGGGATGAGATAATTGGTGTCTAATGGGGCAGAACTACCTATCTTACCCACAAAGGGATGAGATAATTGGTGTCTAATGGGGGAGAACTAGCTATCTTACCCACAAAGGTATGAGAGCATTGGTGTCTAATGGGGGAGAAGAACCTATCTTACCCACATAGATATGAGAGAATGGGTGTCTAATGGGGGAAAACTACCTATCTTACCCACAAAGGTATGAGAGAATTGGTGTCTAATGGGGGAAAACTACCTATCTTACCCACAAAGGTATGAGAGAATTGGCTATGTGCCCCATCACTCTGCTTTACTAGGAGCTTGTATTAGTCACAGTCAGTGTGGGGTTTTTGTGGCAGTGATTAACATGCTTTTCATCAGTTTGATCAGGTATTGGTAGGATGTAATGTTTTAATTTTGTGAAGGAAACAGTCTGTTTTCTACCTCTGATATTGGAATTTTGTGAAGGAAACAGTCTGTTTTCTACCTCAGATATTGGAATTTTGCAAGATATTCAAAATTACTAGAGTATTGTCCTTAAAAGGGATAACAAATATTACCCAAATCGAAATCTTGAATTTGTCCTAAATTGAAGACCATAATTTTAAATTTACACAAACAAGGACAGTTTTATTGACCAGAAATTCTAGATAGAACTTTGCTTCAAAAGAAAAAATGTTCCAAAGATACAAAACACTGAATTGAATTTCAAAGGCAAGCAATAATCAAGGCTTGAAATTGTCTTGTACACAATATGTTAGTCGTAGCATTGTCAGTCATAGATGGTTACCTGGTCATTTGATTGTTAATTTGTACATAACTCTATCAGCTGCTAATCACTAAAGAAATGATAATTGTTTGTCTCCTTCAGGTCCAATAGAGTTTGTGGAACCAGACCTTTCGAGTCTGCAAGCCCCTCGCCCTATGTCACCCGAGCCCAATGACAAACGTGAGAGCTTCTCTGAGAAGCGTGGACAAGGTAAGCCTCGTTTTCACACATTTTCCATTGATGTTTATGCTTTAAAAGTGGCATACATTTATCTTTTAATATTTTATAGTTTTATGGGTGGACGGATGTTGTAACTCTAATATGTAACACCTAGTTGTTCTCCGTCCCAAGCTCGACACTAAGTCTCATCTTTGTTCAGTTCATCATTGGTGATTTATATGTTCTCTAATTGCTCTTTTTTTAAAGTATTTTACTTCAATATTTAACAGCTAAAAACAAAAAATAAAAAAGGAAAATCTGATGGGGGGGTGGGGAAACGAAAACAATAACAAACTTAAATGCTGTATTAGTGAGAGAACAGCTTGGTATACCTAACATTTAATGGTGATTTTGTGTTTAAATAGTAGATTCTCAATGAGTTTCTCCTTACTGTGATCAATTATGATCAAATGTCTAGATCTAGTTGCTTTGGAATTTCCCATTTTCGGTATCTGTTTTAGAAATTGTCTTTTTTCCTAACCGAATGTCTAATTCCAATTCCTAGATTACATCAGGAAACAAATCAGGACAGCAAAGTTGTTAATAATTGAACAAATTCGCAATAATTCTAACAACAAATCACCATGGTATTTACTGCAAACTAATCCATAAACAATGCTGAATAGTTAACTACTAACATCGCAGCATGGAGTAGGGTTCAGAGGTCATTTAACGTGTCCTTTATCAGCCATCAAAGAGGACATTCACAAGCTTCCTATGTGGACTGTTATACCAAATATATAAAAGTAAAAACTGACCAGTTATACCAAATATATACAGGTATGAACTGACCAGTTATACCAACTGTATACAGGTATGAACTGACCAGTTATACCAACTGTATACAGGTATGAACTGACCAGTTATACCAACTATATACAGGTATGAACTGACCAGTTATACCAACTGTATACAGGTATGAACTGACCAGTTATACCAACTGTATACAGGTATAAATGACCAGTTATACTAGCTATATGAGGTATAAACTGACCAGCTATACCAACTGTATTCATGTTTAAACTGACCAGTTATACCTGCTGTTTACAGGTATGAACTGACCAGTTATACCAACTATATACAGGTATAAATGACCAGTTATACCAACTATATATAGGTATAAACTGACCAGTTATACCAGCTATATATAGGTCTAAATTGACCATAATGATAGCTCAGACTAACATGTATATAAGACGTTTGATGTCTTAGGGGATGACTATTATAGGCTTTTCTTTTCCTTTTCAGATTCTACTTCTGCTTCTAAAGCTCAACGTACATGTATGCCTTCAGTTTTATACTTTAATTCTCAATAATTTGTCTATGTATAGTAAGAATTACAACATGGTTCCACATGTTGCATGCACTTTACCAAATGACTGCTGTAAATGAGTAGACCATTGCACCTTCTCTCATCAGCAGTGAATCCCTCCCAGAACGTTCCCCCAACACTATAAACAGCCTGCATAAACCAGTCAGCATCACTCGTGTAGCATCAGACGTGGTGGGCATGTTCAAATAGGAAAAGTTACAATAAATTTTACGATCGTTCTTACCAACTGACGATAAATTTTACGATCGTTCATACCAATTCATTATAAGACAGAGTGTTTCATTTTTTCACTTAATTTAAGATAACCATACAGCTTTTCATTCTTTTTTGTTTGGAATTTTCTATCGTAATTAAAATGTATTGTAATACAGATGTAGGTGAAATTTCCATATGAAATATTTTGTCGTAGATTGCCTTAAGTAGGTATTCAGTGTTCTGTTGTCGTTAACACTAATTGTAACATTATGTAAGTATGGTTGCACTTGTTCTGCTGCTGTAGCAGACATCATTTACTACAGAAGAATGCTGAATAAAGGATGTTGGTTGTAAAAGATGTAGAATAAACAATATTTGTGTATTAATAATATGTGAAAGATTGGTAAAACTGAGAGTTAAGACGATATAGAAATTTACAAATACAGATACTAGTTTCTTTGAGAGCAAATGGTGTGAGAAATTCCAATCAAGTGAGTAACAGAATTGACATGCTTTTTTCCCTGATTGTCTTCTCCTTCCAGACTCCAGTGGGAGTCCCAGTCCGGTCTTGTCCGACCAACCGGGTCCTCTCAGTCGCAGTGTAAAGCTCCGCGTGTCCAGGACATGTAATGATTTCCTCTGTTTTGTTGTGGGTTTGATGTGTGCGCTGTGTCTGTCCAGCCGTCTGTATTGTACAGTAGCCCCCAGTTGACAGCGTTTAATAAGTAGTTTTCATTAATTTGCTGGTGCTGTAACATGTAGTCTGCATGATCTAACTCAACTCGGCATAGGTGATCACCCATGTACGTAGGATCTGCTGCGTTGGAGGGTGGGACCTAGTGGTCAGGAACACCCTAGCATGATCAAGGGAATAGTGTTGGAGGGTGGGACCTAGTGGTCAGGAACACCCTAGCTTGATCAAGGGAATAGTGCTACAGATCACAGCGCTTGTATTTATGTGCACTTTTAATTAATTTGCAAACAAAATGGAAACAATCCATTATGGGGCAAATTTATATCTGAACAGGACTTGCAGCAATGTTAGAAGTATATATTTTTGTAAAGGATGATAGAGATAGCTAATAATGTAATGTGGACAGATCACTGTGTATAGATATCAAATAAAAATGCATTGAAAGCATAAGGGTACAGGCTGTATTACTAGACTGGGCAATATCATGACCATAAAACCTATTGCCAGAATTTGGTCTTGGAACTGAATGATCGTTGTTAGGAATTTTGGTCATGTTAGGGTAAAAAATGTTACAGCAAGAGGGATGCAGATGTCTAAAGATTGATGCAGGTTGTTATGTACTTTGGAGGTATGGGAATGGTAAAATAGGAATATAAAGGGAAGTGTTGTAAGGGTACCTGGTATATTTTATAATGCAATTAGGTCTGGAAGTAAAGGTTAATAAGGGGATGTTTGGGTTGAATACTAAATGGCAGGTAGAGGTCGTGGAATAAGAATGCCAGAAATACTTATATTACAAGGTACAAGGAAGCTAGTGCTCTATTATGTTACAGGGTACAAGGAAACTAGTGCTCTATTATATTACAAGGTACAAGGAAGCTAGTGCTCTATTATGTTACTGGGTACAAGGAAGCTAGTGCTCTATTATGTTACAAGGTACAAGGAAGCTAGTGCTCTATTATGTTACAAGGTACAAGGAAGCTAGTGCTCTATTATGTTACAGGGTACAAGGAAGCTAGTGCTCTATTATGTTACAGGGTACAAGGAAGCTAGTGCTCTATTATGTTACAGGGTACAAGGAAGCTAGTGCTCTATTATGTTACAGGGTACAAGGAAGCTAGTGCTCTATTATGTTACAGGGTACAAGGAAGCTAGTGCTCTATTATGTTACAGGGTACAAGGAAGCTAGTGCTCTATTATGTTACAGGGTACAAGGAAGCTAGTGCTCTATTATGTTACAGGGTACAAGGAAGCTAGTGCTCTATTATGTTACAGGGTACAAGGAAGCTAGTGCTCTATTATGTTACAGGGTACAAGGAAGCTAGTGCTCTATTATGTTACAGGGTACAAGGAAGCTAGTGCTCTATTATGTTACAGGGTACAAGGAAGCTAGTGCTCTATTATGTTACAGGGTACAAGGAAGCTAGTGCTCTATTATGTTACAGGGTACAAGGAAGCTAGTGCTCTATTATGTTACAGGGTACAAGGAAGCTAGTGCTCTATTATGTTACAGGGTACAAGGAAGCTAGTGCTCTATTATGTTACAGGGTACAAGGAAGCTAGTGCTCTATTATGTTACAGGGTACAAGGAAGCTAGTGCTCTATTATGTTACAGGGTACAAGGAAGCTAGTGCTCTATTATGTTACAGGGTACAAGGAAGCTAGTGCTCTATTATGTTACAGGGTACAAGGAAGCTAGTGCTCTATTATGTTACAGGGTACAAGGAAGCTAGTGCTCTATTATGTTACAGGGTACAAGGAAGCTAGTGCTCTATTATGTTACAGGGTACAAGGAAGCTAGTGCTCTATTATGTTACAGGGTACAAGGAAGCTAGTGCTCTATTATGTTACAGGGTACAAGGAAGCTAGTGCTCTATTATGTTACAGGGTACAAGGAAGCTAGTGCTCTAGACAAAACTAGGCAGCCCTATCATAGATTGGTGTACATGATATAACTGTATTCGACTTAATTAGCACCCAAAGCACTTTACAGATCCCCTCCCCCCAAAAATAAAAAATAAAAATTGGGGGATATGGAGGTCGAGGTTGCTATTAAGAAGGCTTCATAAGTGTGAATATTTGTTTAAACAGTCATAGTTTCATTAATGTAGAAAAGGCCACCACCAACGATATAGAATACCCATTGCTAAAAGATAAAAGCAATATTTCTGATTGAAATCTTAAGTTGAGTGTAAAATCTCTGCTTGTTACCTTCCTACTTGGTACTCTTTTTTTCTGATATGTGAAATAGTTTGTTGTTGAAACAAACTGCGTTGAAGATGGAACAAATTTCTAGGATATATGTAGTAGCTAGAAAGGGGAGGGGCACTTGAAGGGGAGGGGCACTTGAAGGGGAGGGGCACTTGAAGGGGAGGGGCACTACTTACGTGGAATACAGTAAACATGTTAACAGATGAAGCCAGGTTAATACATTACCACTATCGAGGGGGCTAGGCAGCGAAAAAACCATTGACCTTTACAAGCAGCTGTTAACAGTTGTATCATGTGTTAACTATAGAGTCAGGTGTGGTTTGGTGTAAAGTTGAGATCATGCATGACGGTGGAAGGACAAAACATGTGGAATGGGGACAGGATATCCATATCCTCTAGGGAAAGAGTTGTCAACTTATCTTCAATAACACATCTACTAATGAGAATTTTGCACTTATTTTTGCATATTTAAGCATGCTTCACAACTTTTTAAGGATTTTTTTGTGTGAGCCTATTGCTTCAGATTATCTGGTTTCCTGCCGTAAATGCCATATTATATGGAAGCTTTGCTATTCTAAAAATGTCTTCAAGGAAACGTACATTTGTATTGCTTAGGGTAATAACACTGCTACTCTATCATAAGAGACTAATTTTATTTCAGTCGATTATCTCTTCCTCCTTTCAATTCATCTGTGACACAGCTGTTATTTCTACTCACAAACCTTACATGGACAGGCTTAGTAGGAACTCTTTTGCTAGTTGTACCTTATAGTATGGTTTTACTTCTGATTATTCTTTTGTCTGGTGAGATAAAACACCATTACATGAAATCATTTGGTATGTTCTTGTTAGTTGTGTCATCATATGTCATCAATGGTCCTGTTTTGACAATTTTGTCATGACATGTTGCTGCTTGTATTGGGGTCATGTCATCACGTCATCATTGGTCTTCTTGCAGAAAGTTGTGTCGTCATTGTTCTTGTTACTGACAGCCGTATTACCATGTGTGTCATCGTTGGTCTTGTTGATGACAGTGGTGTTATCGTTGGGTCTTGTTAATGAAAATTGTGTCATGTCATCATTGGTCTTGTTGATGACAGTTGTGTCAACATATATGTCAGCATTGGTCTTGTTGATGACAGTTGTGTCAACATATAGGTCATTATTGGTCTTGTTGATGACAGTTGTGTCAACATATAGGTCATTATTGGTCTTGTTGATGACAGTTGTGTCAACATATAGGTCATTATTGGTCTTGTTGATGACAGTTGTGTCATTGTTGGGTCTTGTTAATGAAAGTTGTGTCATGTCATCATTGGTCTTGTTGATGACAGTTGTGTCACCGTTGGTCTTGTTGATGAAAGTTGTGTCACGTCATCATTGATCTTGTTGATGACAGTTGTGTCAGCATATATGTCATCATTGGTCTTGTTGATGACAGTTGTGTCATCGTTGGTCTTGTTGATGACAGTTGTATCATTATGTCATGGTTGGTCTTGTTGATGACAGTTGTGTCAACATATATGTCACCATTGGTCTTGTTGATGACAGTTGTGTCACCGTTGGTCTTGTTGATGAAAGTTGTGTCACGTCATCATTGGTCTTGTTGATGACAGTTGTGTCAACATATATGTCACCATTGGTCTTGTTGATGACAGTTGTGTCATCGTTGGTCTTGTTGATGAAAGTTGTGTCATGTCATCATTGATCTTGTTGATGATAGTTGTGTCAGCATATATGTCATCATTGATCTTGTTGATGACAGTTGTGTCAGCATATATGTCATCATTGGTCTTGTTGGTGACAGTTGTGTCATCGTTGGTCTTGTTGATGACAGTTGTGTCGTCATGTCATAGTTGGTCTTGTTGATGACAGTTGTGTCAACATATATGTCATCATTGGTCTTGTTAATGACAGTTGTGTCATAGTTGGTCTTGTTGATGACAGGTTTTTTGTCATGTGCATCATTGATGGCCTTTTTTCTGCGACTGTGTCATCAAATGTCATTGTTTGCCAATAACACATTGTATGTCATAACAATTTAGTTTGTGCTGCACACAATTCTTATAAGGTGAAGAAGGTAATAGAATATACATACACATTCCAAAACTACGTATAACTGTGATAGAATATATTTTACTGTAAAGTGTCAGTTAGGGGATGTTTAGAACTAAGTTTACATGTTTCAATAATAGACTATAAGTTACACAGTGTGAACAGTACAGGAATGAATATTTACTTACCAAGTTGATGAGTCTGTGAACCATCTCACAGTAAGGTGTTGTAATCAACTCTTATCCATTGATAACCTCAGATGGTGAATTTTCCCTGGTCTTTGGGTTTTCTGATTCAGTCTTCTTATCAGAATTTTGCAAATTGTAGGCTATAATTAGAAATATGAAATTGTACACCCAGGTCATAGTTAAGTACTGTTAAGTGGCACTGTCATAAAGAATTTTGCAAATTGTAGGCTATAATTAGAAATATGAAATTGTACACCCAGGCCATAGTTAAGTACTGTTAAGTGGCACTGTCATAAAGGATGGTCTGTTGTATAGACACGTAGACCTGCTATAAGGTTTATAATACCACACTGACAAGTTGATATAGGATAATTAGGTAGCAGTATCAATGCTGCTGAAGTTTTGCTGTACTGAGTTGGCTTCCAGCATGTGACAAGCATTATGTCTACAGTACCAGTAGTTGTCAGTCCATCACACATTATCTGTGGCCGTTTTACGAAAGGTGTTTTTGCTAATGTTGTAAAAGTATTGACACCAACTCCTTCCATTTGTACACATTTACCTAGCACAAGGTTAAAGTGTTTCCAAACAAGATGACATAGTGCAAGGAAATGAAATATCTGTCAATAGTTGTAACATATTTATAAGTAGTATCCATGAAATGCTTTTTGTTCAGGTGTAATGTTGCCTCAGTATCAGAGTATTATTTCAAAGATACCGTTTAAAGGTATGTATATTGGATAATATATGTGAAAGATTAATATTTTACAAATATAAATGACGACTTACCAAATATATGTCAATAATCATTTCTGATCATATTGTTCTGTTTCCATGGTGATAATGTCTGATATTATCTAAGTCCTCAGTATTTCTGCTATAATGAGAGGATATTTAAGATGCAGAATGTGCAATAGTAATGCCTCCCAACATTTATGTTATCCAGACCTCCGAGATGTAGCATGTCTCAGTTATACTCAATGCAGAGGAGAAACTTTATTAAGCATTTTACCGACTCAAGACATTGTATACCCAACATATCTTACTAGGTAAATTGTACTAAGGATAGATATACTTACTAGGTAAATTGTACTAATGATATACTTTCTAGGTAAATTGTACTAAGGATATACGTACTAGGTAAACTGTACTAAGGATATACTTACTAGGTAAATTGTACTAATGATATACTTTCTAGGTAAATTGTACTAAGGATATACTTACTAGGTAAATTGTACTAAGGCTATACTTACTAGGTAAATTGTACTAAAACAACATTTTAAAATCTTATTGGCCAGGATGGTAGTGTGTATTGCTCTCAATATTAAAGGAAACAAGAGTATCTCAGGTGACTCCATACCTTTTCATGTCTGATCAGGAAATTAAACCCCATTGTATACCTAATTATCTTACCTGGATATCCGAAATATCTTACCTCAATACAGGTATATCCAACATATCTTAACAGGACACATTGTATATACCCCATATATCTAATATCTCAATACAATTTATTACATGCATTCATATACAGTAAAAAAAGCATCCACACTTTCCTCAGCCGTAGCAAGTTCTGCCCACATGTGTGTGAGCATTGGCTGAAAGTTTGATATCACAGTAATACCTGTATTACATATGTGTTGGTTGGTTTCAGTAAAAAGTAATATTGATTCCTAAACAATATTTAAAACGTGATATTTCCTTTTAATCGTGTTTGATGCTACTTTTATAGAACTGGTTAATTATTAATAATGACATGACTGTGAGAGAATAGAAGTCTACACAAAGACAACATATCCTTTACCTATATACAGACAAAGTTTTACTGAGGTGTTAGTCATTTACTGTTATTTTATGAGGAAGCTACTGTTAGTAGAAATCAGTATAAAATGCCAGTTATAAATTATTGATGACAACAAGCTATCCGATACAGTGTGAGGTAGGTAGTATATGTGGGGAGTTGTAGCGTGTGCAGAAGCAGCTAAGTACCTAGTGTATTAGATAATTAATGAAGGTTGGACATGCAGGTGTGAACAGGTAGCTCTTGGACGACACTACCTCCGTATGGTTAGCTTTACACGTCATAGGCAGTACATCCCCCAAGTATCAATAACAAGTATCTGTATCCTTGTCATACTTGCAAATATTAGGTCTGACTATCGATATCAGGACTGTTTATTTGGGTTGTAATTTAAGAAGAAAAATGCACCTTGATACAAAATTTACAGAGCAGCTTGAAAAAGTTAGTGCAGAGCTAATGCGTGAAGTATAGTTGGTGAGGATAATGATAAACTTGTCTTTACGTACATTGGCCAGAAATGGACGAAATGGTGGTAGAAGCAACACAAACAAATGTATGTGAAGTTTTAAAAACATATGGAAGGATTACTGTTGTATTCTATTGTTATGATGTCGGATGCTGTTTTGAAGCCTGTTGTGACATCCTACACCCAGTGGAGACTCGTGTCCTGATGGGGACCAGAATGGCCTCAACAAACTCTGCATGACATCTTGAATATGTGTGATTTTGATTATACATGTAATTTTTTTCATTGATAATCTTTAACTGATCCCATGGAGCATTTTAATTACTATTGCACGCCATGCACGTGTGACTAGCACAACAATTTCATGTACTTGTTAACATTGTATATTAACATTGTATTCAGTATTGCCTGCAGATTTCCTGCTGTAAAGCAGATCCTTCAGATTACTTATTACCTGTTTTTCGTTATACATCGCAATGTACAATAATTAAGATGTTCTAGATAGTGAGGTATGGCCTCTCACAAGACTATGGTTTGTCCTATGATATGGTGACTTTGTGTTAACCTTTCCAGCCTTTCTCATTAGACGTAAGCTTGAGAGTTACACCGTTCCTCTTTGTTCCCTGTGGACACTTGTACCAGCTTGCTTGGGTGCCTTGCATTCAATTGCTTTGGAGATTGTGTTTCTATTATATAGATATTATATTTTTGTTGGAATTTTTAAAGGAAATTTCATTTTGAAATAAAAGTATGTGCATGAATACATTATATATTGGTGATATTTTACCAGAGATACTTACATGTGTGTAATATTATCAATAAGCAATTGTTACTAGGATCATGATGAGCGTACCAAGCATTAAAACCCAAGCTTCCTTTTTTAAGGGAAGTGGTGTTGATGCAGGGGTTTGTCACGTGTACTGGTATTTATTAACTAGGCAATTTGGTGACGTAGCTCACAAATTCAACCTCAAGGCAAGACACATTTTAAACAAATTTAAACTTCTATTTGTCATTCTTTATTATGTAGATTGATAAAAACAGCTTATCAACTCCTGTTGATTAGAAGGTTTAAAATATGAGCTAAGTGCCAGAATTATACTGTGCTTGACATATACATGTGTGTATTTAATAACAATTATGCATTTTGTCACTTTTTTTTTTTTAAAATAACATATTTGAAACTTCATCCCTAATTTTGTAAATTTTTAGAAAAATATATGATAAATCAATTGTATCGTGTGACATATTTTATTTCAAAGTGACATTTCCTTGAGATTTTAAACTGCTTGCTGTGATGTGTTTTTGTTGATTTTCTACATGTGTACTACATTACAGTGTTATATGTTACATAGTAGTTCTAAGTAGATTCTGTCATGTAACCTGTAGTATCAGACGGTAACTTAGTAGCAGATGTGTAACCAAGTAGCAATATGTAACTTAGCAACAATGTGTTACTTAGTAACAGATATATATATTATAATTAGTTTTATAATAAGAATTTGTACCTTAATATTATAATTATAAAGTTAAAAAAAATATAAGCTGCAATAGTTTGAAGATTGATAATAATAATAATAATGGTTTTATTTTTAGAGGGTGCAACTCATTTAACAAATAATTAAAATAATTACATATGATATGATCTATTTAGAAGACATCAACAAGGAGTTATAAATTCATCAACATTTGGACTATGAAGTAAATTTCAGCTGTTTGAATAGTTAATTTGATTGTAATTTTAATAGATATCTTGTATTTAATTTTAACAGATATCTTGTATTTATTTTAGGGTAACATTATGTTAGTGACTACTCATAACTACAATATAGTTTTTAAATTCAAATCTGAAAAAATATAAAAGATTTTAATGGAAGTTTCTATATACAGATTAGCTGATGTTAAAGCAAGTGTAATTTTCCTTTATGATAACCAGTATATATTTTTTTAAAGAAAACACTTTCCAGCAGATTTAGAAAAGAAGAAATAAGTAAACAGCATTCTGTATTTTAATCAAAATAGCATTTGTAAAGATTCTAGAACACTGTCCTAGGTATTAAGTTAACAGGTGGTGTTTTACTAGATAGGCATACATGTATGTTTTGTATATTTAGGGTTTCTGAAAAAGAAAAAGGAAAAGAAGAAGAAAAAGAAGGAGGACAAAGCAGACACTGAATCTGTGTATGTACATCTGATGGGCAGCTGTCAGTAACAATATCAGAGTAACCTTCCATGGTTGTAAATGTTTTCAGAGTGCTTATTCACTTGTTGAACATCAGTCTCTGTATCCTATACAAAGTCCTGTAAAACAGACAGCAGGCTTTTACCTGAAAGACGAATGATATGTGAAAACTTTAAGTAATTTTATTAGCTCACCTGGCCCGAAGGCCAAGTGAGCTTATCCCATGGTGCAGCGTCCGGCGTCCGGCAACTTTTTCCTTTAAAATGCTACTTGTCCTGAATGGCTCAGAGGATTTTGACCAAATTTGGTCAGGAGCATCATTGGCCAAAGGGTTCTCAGTTTTGTATAATCGGAGGGTATAACCCCCCTGGGAGCAGAGGGGCGGGACCAAATAGGGGGAAAATAGGTAAATCTTTAAAAATCTTCTTCTTCTCAACCAATAGAAGGATTTTGACCAAATTTGTCCTAGAGCATCTTTGGACAAAGAAGACTCAAGTTTGTATAAACGGAGGGTGTGGCCCCTCTGGGGGCGGAGGGGCGGGGCCCAATAGGGGAAATAGAGGATTTTTTTTCTCCTGCTATACAAGTGAAGGGATTTTAACCAAATGCAGTCTGAAGCATGATTAGGGACAAAAGAATCAATTTTGTATAAACTGAGGTGTGTGGGCCTCCTTCTAAGGGCAGATGGGTGGGGCCCATTAGGGGAAATAGAGGAAAACATCAAATATCCTTCTCCTTTTGTACCGATGAAGGGATTTTGACCAAATTTGGTCTGGAGCATCATTGGCCAAAGGGTTCTCAGTTTTGTATGAACGGAGGGTATGGTCCCCCTGGGGGCAGAGGGACGGGGCCAAATAGGGGAAAATAGGTAAATCTTTAAAAATCTTCTCCTCAACCAATTGAAGGATTTTGACCAAATTTGTCCTAGAGCATCTTTGGACAAAGGAGACTCAAGTTTGTATAAACGGAGGGTGTGGGCCTTCTGGCGGCATAGGAGCGGGGCCCAATAGGGGAAATAGAGGATTTTTTTTCTCCTACTATACAAGTGAAGGGATTTAAACCAAATGCAGTCTGAAGCATGCTTAGGGAGAAAAGAATCAATTTTGTTTAAACTGAGGTGTGTGGATTCCCCTTCTTTGGGGCAGATTAGTGGGGCCCATTAGGGGAAATAGAGGAAAACATTAAAGATCCTTCTCCTTCTGTACCGTTGAAGGGATTTTAACCTAACCAAACTTGTTTTAGAGAATCTTTGGGCAAAGGGAATTGAATATTTATAAATGGAAGATGCAACTTTGTTACTTGTACTCCTTTGATAAACCTGAATGGTACTCAGCAGGTTTTAAATTGAAAAATAAAATACCAGGTGAGCTATTAAGGCCCCTGGGCCTCTTGTTATGTTTAATTATTGGAAATCGCAAAAGATTTTTTTTAACACAATTGTAAAATGAAATGAAAAAGGTAAAATTAAAACAATTTAAATGTTTATTTTGTTTACAGAGACACACAAGAGGGGGTAAGTGTATCGTACATATTTATGTACAACTTATGACTGTTTACACAGTCTCATCTAACTAAAATTAAAACTTGCTGTATACGCAGCATTACCGTTGTGAAATAAGATAGAAAAAATAAATTTCAAAAGCACCACAGTTGCCATATTTCTTGTCCAGTGTCAGCATGCATAATTTCATAATATTCAAAATTTTCTTTGAATTATCATGACTTTCATTTAAATAAGAGAGGATGATGTGAATGATGAAATACTTTTTTCCGGGAACAGGTTACTCCCGAGATTGATGATGAGGGTTACCAGATACGTCCTGACGACCCTATGGAGAACAATGGGGATAAAACCAGCTGGTACTCCAGTGATAGTGACACAGATTCTGGTATGTCCCAGAGCTTACATTGCTGAGTCATTGATTACTGATCATGACACATATAGGATATATACAATGTATACTATAGCATGAACTTCTGACTCAATAATATACATAATAATTTGTGCTTGTTTGGCCATTTACCTTGTGTACATTGTGACGTCATGTTACTAACTAGTTTAGTGTGATGACATGTAATTGTGACGTTATGAAGTTGTTCTTTTAAAATACACCAAAAGAGATCCTTGAAGGGAGAAAGTTGTGTTTTTAGTCGGTCGTTATATATATTTTTTTCTCTACCTACTTCACCACCATTACCACTCTCAATCGTACATGTGTCAACTTTATACCAGATGACGACAACAAAAAGAAAATCAAAGTGGAGATCCGACCACTCAGCCCCAATGGTGCCCCACCTGTTACCAGTAATGTGAAGGACATAAAAGCTTCTGTGGAGGCTCTACGACTCTCTCCTGTAGCAGTATGTATACAGTTATACTGATCTCCTGTAGCAGTATGTATACAGTTATACTGATCTCCTGTAGCAGTATGTATACAGTTATACTGGTCTACTGTCATAGCAGTATGTATACAGTTATACTGATCTCCTGTAGCGGTATGTATACAGTTATACTGACCTACTGTCATAACAATATGTATACAGTTATACTGATCTACTGTCATAGCAGTATGTATACAGTTATACTAATATACTGTAGCAGTATGTATACAGTTATACTGATCTACTGTCATACCAGTATGTATACAGTAATGCTGATCTACTGTCATAACAATATGTATACAGTTATACTGATATACTGTCATAACAGTATGTATAGTTATACTGATCTTGTATCATAAATCTTATTTACAATGAAGTGTTAGCACTTTAAAATACTTTATACCTACAATTTGAAATAATAATTCACACCTTCTTTCTCCTATTGAAGTCCTTTTATTTTCAATGTATCTTCGGGTAGTATATCACTACTGGAAAATGCCTTAATGATCAGAATTGTCGTTGTATAGTATATTTTGTTTTTCAATTGCAGAAAAAGAGAAGTCAAACACCAACAGACAAGAAAATGAAAAGGTCCCAGTCCGAGTCGGATACGCTAGAGTAAGTGAGAGCAATGGTTTAACCAATCTGTAATTGCGCATACGAAGGCTTGAACTTATCCTTATAATTTTAATGTGCCATTTAACAAATGAATTTGTTAATATTTGAAAGATGAGATTTGTCCACATTACATGATCTTCCAGAAAGTTTATTATGATAATGATAAATTGAGAGAAATTGACGGATTTTATCAATTTATCAAAATTTAGCAAAAGATACTTGTTGTCCAGTGTGTGATTATTTATAAGTTGATTATGAATTTCCTGTTTCCTTTACAGTTCCCTAAAGCCAGCAGGTCTGGACTTGTTAAATTTAGATTTTTTTGCTTCATCAAGTGCTTCCACCCCCACTGGTGGGGGCTATAACCTCCCCTCCCCACTCTCCCCTATGGCAGACACCCGACTACACAATAGTGCACTGTCTAGTGCCAGCACCACCCCTAACAACAGTGAGTATATCACTACAGCACTTCCTTGTCACGGCACCATGTCCAATTAGCTGGTGGCTTTTTTGTCAAGTCTTTCATTTAACTATTTTTCTTTTGTGATTGGTATTTGTATGTGTGCTTAGATTCACTGGACCATGACATAACACTATATAATTATACATTATATATATTTGTAATTTGTAAAATATCTTGTTATTTTAATTGATTTGGCATTAACTTAAAGTAGCCATCAACATTTTCTTTCTTCTGTTCATTCCAATACAGTCACAAAGCTTAAGCCTGCACCAAAGAGAGTCAGTAAGGAAACATACATTTTTTTGTACAGATTGATATTGTATGACTTTGTGTAGGGGAAGGTATGATGTATGAGGAATAAAATGATGTGGTGAAGGAGAGCTGTGATGGTTAATATGGAGGAAGTATGATGTGAAGGGGAGGTCTGTTGTATGGTGACTTTATGTAGGGGTGGTATGATTATGGTAAATGATATAATGATTTGGTGTAGGGGGAAGTATTATTATGGTAAATGATACGATGACTTGGTGTAGGGTTGTTATGATTATGATAAATGATATAATGACTTGGTGTAGGGGAGGTATGATTATGGTAAATGATATAATGACTTGGCGTAGGGTTGTTATGATTATGATAAATGATATAATGACTTGACGTAGGGTTGTCATGGTGTTGTTTGCATGGTGACTTGGTGTAGGGTTGTTATGATACAATGACTTGGTGTAGGGTTGTTATGATACAGTGACTTGGTGTAGGGTTGTCATGGTGACCATATAAGTGGGATGACACTATCGAGGTGTTTGGTTAAATTCCTTCCTTGTGTGTGTTTCAGTTCTTAGTTGATATGACTCCTGGCAAAAAAGCATTTGCACCACTGCTTTAAAAGTACTTAAATTATTTCAGAATGATAATTTAGGAACGGATGGATCTTCTGTGATTAACACATTTTAAAGATGGTTATGCAGAAAGCACAATGGATTATCATTCAAGCCTAAAAAAACAAAATTGGACATTCATTGTCCCTTGCTACACTCCCGCAAATAGCACCAGATATTTTTTTTATTTTGATTGATCTCCTTTTCAAAGTTCTACACTAAACAAATTAAAGTTTTAGGAAATGTGCAAAATACATGTATATGACAAAATTCAAGAATTGTTCATGTCATAAATTTTTAGCTATTTCAAAACGAAAGGTTGTATGTTTGTATTACAGATATAAGTGGACTATTCAACAGCAGTTCAGGGAGTGACGGGGTGGCAATAAACCCCCTCCCCTCCCCATCTAGTCACATAACCTCATCTCCTGGTGGTACGGGCATAAGCCTGCAAGCAGCTGCAATCCCAAGGCCATCATCTCGTAACAAAGGCATCATACCTCAGGTACGTACACCGGCATTATCTTGTAACAAAGGCATCATACCTCAGGTACGTACACCGTCATCATCTTGTAACAAAGGCATCATCCCTCAGGTACATACACTGTCATCGTCTCATAACAAAGGCATCATACCTCACGTACATACACTGTCATCATCTCATAAACTGTCATCATCTCATAACAAAGGCATCATCCCTCAGCTACATATACTGTCATCATCCCGTAACAAAGGCATCATACCGCAGGTACATACACTGTCATCATCTCATAAACTGTCATCATCTCATAACAAAGGCATAATACCTCAGGTACGTACACCGGCATTATCTCGTAACAAAGGCATCATACCTCAGGTACATACACTGTCATCATCTCATAACAAAGGCATCATACCTCAGCTACATATACTGTCATCATCCCGTAACAAAGGCATCATACCTCAGGTACATACACTGTCATCATCTCGTAACAAAGGCATCATACCTCAGGTACATACACTGTCATCATCTCGTAACAAAGGCATCATACCTCAGGTACATACACTGTCATCATCTCGTAACAAAGGCATCATACCTCAGGTACATACACTGTCATCATCTCGTAACAAAGGCATCATACCTCAGGTACATACACTGTCATCATCTCGTAACAAAGGCATCATACCTCAGGTACATACACTGTCATCATCTCGTAACAAAGGCATCATACCTCAGGTACATACACTGTCATCATCTCGTAACAAAGGCATCATACCTCAGGTACATACACTGTCATCATCTCGTAACAAAGGCATCATACCTCAGGTACATACACTGTCATCATCTCGTAACAAAGGCATCATACCTCAGGTACATACACTGTCATCATCTCGTAACAAAGGCATCATACCTCAGGTACATACACTGTCATCATCTCGTAACAAAGGCATCATACCTCAGGTACATACACTGTCATCATCTCGTAACAAAGGCATCATACCTCAGGTACATACACTGTCATCATCTCGTAACAAAGGCATCATACCTCAGGTACATACACTGTCATCATCTCGTAACAAAGGCATCATACCTCAGGTACATACACTGTCATCATCTCGTAACAAAGGCATCATACCTCAGGTACATACACTGTCATCATCTCGTAACAAAGGCATCATACCTCAGGTACATACACTGTCATCATCTCGTAACAAAGGCATCATACCTCAGGTACATACACTGTCATCATCTCGTAACAAAGGCATCATACCTCAGGTACATACACTGTCATCATCTCGTAACAAAGGCATCATACCTCAGGTACATACACTGTCATCATCTCGTAACAAAGGCATCATACCTCAGGTACATACACTGTCATCATCTCGTAACAAAGGCATCATACCTCAGGTACATACACTGTCATCATCTCGTAACAAAGGCATCATACCTCAGGTACATACACTGTCATCATCTCGTAACAAAGGCATCATACCTCAGGTACATACACTGTCATCATCTCGTAACAAAGGCATCATACCTCAGGTACATACACTGTCATCATCTCGTAACAAAGGCATCATACCTCAGGTACATACACTGTCATCATCTCGTAACAAAGGCATCATACCTCAGGTACATACACTGTCATCATCTCGTAACAAAGGCATCATACCTCAGGTACATACACTGTCATCATCTCGTAACAAAGGCATCATACCTCAGGTACATACACTGTCATCATCTCGTAACAAAGGCATCATACCTCAGGTACATACACTGTCATCATCTCGTAACAAAGGCATCATACCTCAGGTACATACACTGTCATCATCTCGTAACAAAGGCATCATACCTCAGGTACATACACTGTCATCATCTCGTAACAAAGGCATCATACCTCAGGTACATACACTGTCATCATCTCGTAACAAAGGCATCATACCTCAGGTACATACACTGTCATCATCTCGTAACAAAGGCATCATACCTCAGGTACATACACTGTCATCATCCCGTAACAAAGGCATCATACTTCAGGTATGTACACTGTCATCATCTCGTAACAAAGCTATCATACCTCAGGTACATACACTGTCATCATCTCATAACAAAGGCATCATACCTCAGGTACATACTCTGTCATCATCTCATAACAAATCATCTCGTAACCAAGGCATCATACCTCAGGTACATACACTGTCTTCATCCCGTAACAAAGGCATCATACCTCAGGTACATACACTGTCATCATCTCATAACAAAGGCATCATACCTCAGGTACATACACTGTCATCATCCGGTAACAAAGGCATCATACCTCAGGTATATACACTGTCATCATCCCGTAACAAAGGCATCATACCTCAGGTACGTACACTGCCATCATCTCGTAACAAAGGCATCATACCTCAGGAACGTACACTGTCATCATCTCGTAACAAAGGCATCATACCTCAGGTACGTACACCGTCATCATCTCATAACAAATCATCTTGTAATAAAGGCATCATACCTCAGGTACATACACTGTTATCATCTCATAACAAAGGCATCATACCTCAGGTACGTACACTGTCATCATCTCATAACAAATCATCTTGTAACAAAGGCATCATACCTCAGGTACGTACACCGTCATCATCTCATAACAAATCATCTTGTAATAAAGGCATCATACCTCAGGTACATACACTGTCATCATCTCATAACAAATCATCTTGTAACAAAGGCATCATACCTCAGGTACGTACACCGTCATCATCTCATAACAAATCATCTTGTAATAAAGGCATCATAGCTCAGGTACATACACTGTCATCATCTCATAACAAATCATCTTGTAACAAAGGCATCATACCTCAGGTACGTACACTATCATCATCTTGCAACAAAGACATCATACCTCAGGGACATACACTGTCATCATCTCGTAACAAAGGCATCATACCTCAGGTACGTACACTGTCATCATCTTGCAACAAAGACATCATACCTCAGGTACATACACTGTCATCATCTCGTAACAAAGGCATCTTACCTCAGGTATATACACCGTCATCATCTCGTAACAAAGGCATCATACCTCAGGTACATACACTGTCATCATCTCATAACAAAGGCATCATACCTCAGGTACGTACACTGTCATCATCTTGTAACAAAGGCATCATACCTCAGGTTCATACACCGTCATCATCTCATAACAAATCATCTCATAACAAAGGCATCATACATCAGGTTCATACACTGTCATCATCCCGTAACAAAGGCATCATACCTCAGGTATATACACTGTCATCATCTCATAACAAAGGCATCATACCTCAGGTACATACACCGTCATCATCTCATAACAAAGCTATCATACCTCAGGTACATACACTGTCATCATCCCGTAACAAAGGCATCATACCTCAGGTACGTACACTGTCATCATCTCATAACAAAGGCATCATACCTCAGGTACGTACACTATTATCCCATAGCGAATGCATATTTGAAATTAGGGTAAATGAAATGCGTTTTCATTTAGTCGATCAGAAAAGAAATAATTACAGTGTGATCAAATTTACTTTGATGTATGTTTTCTAGATTCCATCACGGTCCTCGGGTAGGAACAGTCCCGCCTCCATAATGGGCCGGTCAGATAGTATGACCTTCAGCACGACCTCCATGTTAATTGGGTCATCTCGAGGGCCAAGCCCACTGACCATCGGCAAGTCTGACACCGTACCTCTGGCCATTGCTTTCACAGAGAATATCGGTGCCTACTTCAAAGGCACAGATGCCACACAGTAAGGACACTTGTTTCATACATCTCCTCCAGCGCAGCGTTAGGATTTACAAGTTATTAGGTGTCATAGCCTGTTTCATTGATCAGTTTTCTGGTACTATTTACTTAACATTATCAGTAATATTGAGACAATCTGTGCTAAAAGTTGGGAAATCCTTGGTCAGAGTTTATACCTAACTCGTTTCTTTGTAAGAGTGTCTAATATAGATGTAAAAAATTTCATTTATATTGACCTTGGTGATGTATTATTTACAGGTGCATGGTGAAGGTCATTGGCAATGTCATGATGTCATTTCCTGCTGGTGTCGTCAAAGTGTTCACAGAAAATCCAGCTCCAGCTGTACTGAGCTTTCAAATCAAAAACTCATCTCGACTTAACAACATCATCCTTAATAAACAGTTAATTGTAGAGTGAGTATGTCTTTAAATATAAACTTTTATTCATTTTACACCGATTATGAAACTTGTAATTTCAACTTATATTAATCACTCTTGTTGAACCGGATGTAAGCGCACGGGGGGTCTTATTGTGGGAGTAAACCAGAGTACCTGCAGAAAAACCCACGTGATTGGGCAGGAGACCCCATACTTTTTCACGTCTGATCAGGGAATTGAACCCTGCGGCCTTGGTGAAAGGCAAGTGCTCTATCCACTGCACCACCCGACCACCCCAAGAGTATATCTTTCTTACCTGTATTCACTAATGATGCTCTGATGTCAGACATTTTCTAACATTGACAAGAATTTTACATTGAATTATTATCTATTTCATAATGTACGGATTATCTTACACATTCAAATCCTGTGTGACTAGATGTGTATGTAGGAGACTTGGAATGTTATTTGTACTTTCATTATGGCTTCCAGAGAATCACACAATGTAGCCGAGGATTGCATTATCTACACATTCAACATGTCGGCTCTCACAGACCACCTCCGCAGTCAGGGCGAGGAGAACAAATCAGCATCTTATTTCAATATAGATATACTCAAATACCAGGTGAGTACAGATTTACAGACATTTCACGTAATTATCCACCGAGAATCTCATAATCCCATGGATTGATCTAATAAATCCTGTATTCTGTGTAGAATTGGAGCTGAACATCAGTTTTGTATTATTGCGTCATATTTAGTGGGCCATGCTCACGTTCCCCTGAATCCATCTAACGTCAGCATAATTTATGTCCAAGTAGTTTGTGAACACTAACCTACCTGGTTATGGATATATATAATAAACTTTTTATGTAGTGTCTTACCAAATTCATGATACTAATTCGGTTATTACAGGGGAAGCCCCAGCCTGGTGTGGAGAGCTGTCCACTCCCCCTGGTGGTGTACTGGAAATGTGAGGACAAGCACACAGACTTTAGGCTAGACTACAAGTATAACCCCAAGTCCATGTCCTCACCCTGTGCTTTAAAAAACATCACGGCCACAGTGGTGGTCAACGGTGGTGTAGAGAGCATGCAGAGCATCCCTAGTGGCAATTGGTAAGTCGACTCTTAGTCATTTTGGCTTTGTCAACTATTGGGTTGCCAAAACAGGACTAACATATTTTTCTTCGTATTTATAACCGTAATTATCTGAAATTTAATATTTCATGTTTAACGTTGCCAAGGGTGGTTACCAATGACACTGTACACCATTACATTCTTGAATGATTAAGACGATACTCACTCTGACGTAGTAGATGCATATTATAACGACTCTAAATATATCAATGTTATTTTGACACATACTAGGTATGTATAACTGTCAAACCATCTCCATTAAAATCACTTGTGTTAACAGATCACTTTTTCTTGTTTCCCATTGTAGTGATTTCTTTATGAACTGATTTCGAGAAGTGTATCAAGAAACCTCCTGTGTTACAAGACCTTTTTTTAACTTTCCATGGGTGATTTCTTAAGGATCCCTGGCCACTGCCAAACATGTTATGTCTGAGTGTAAAAATGGCAATGGGGCCAGACTAGGATTCAAACCCAGAACTTCCAATCATCCGTTATAACATCCGTTATAACCAATCAAATCATCCGTTATAACCAATCAAATCATCCGTTATAACCAATCAAATCATCCGTTATAACCAATCATCCGTTATAACCGATCATCGTACAATATGTGTCGCTATAACCAGCTAAGCCACTTGGTCAGCAGTAGTGAACTGGACCAGATGTGGTACAAGGTCAATTCAAAAAAATAAACAGAGGGGAGGTTTCTGTATGTAAGAAAATGACAGTGGAGTTCTCTATTGTTTTGCTGCACTGGACAAGTATCCTTAAAACAGGACAATTGATGTGTAATAGATATTTATTATATTGATACATACGATTTATGTATTAAATTGATACATCATATATGTATTATATCAACACATAATAGTTAAGTTGAGGTATATGTACTGTTACAGTACTTGTTATGTTGTCAAGAAGTGTTTAACAAACTTCATTTGCTGACAGGAATGAGGAAAATCAGCGTGCCACTTGGAAATTAAATGACTTGGCAGAATTGAGTGAGGAGGGCAGTGCTGGAAGTATACGAGCCAAATTTAACCTCAAGTCAGGGCCCTCCAAACCGTCAACAACAGCAATGACTTTTATATCGGAGGGGGCCTCACTAACAGGGATAGACTTTGAGCTAGTGGGAACAGGTTACCGGATATCTCTGTCAAAGAAACGCTTTGCTGCAGGTAGGGCTTCCTAACTCACATTTAATATCTTTATTAGAGATAAAAGATCTGTTGTAAGCAATGTGTTGTGTACCATGGTCATATAGCCTTGTCATGACAAGGTCAGGGGTACAAAGATCTGTCTAATGAGATAAGACTGGAACCGATACATTTGTCAGTGTACAGAGGGTCAGGTTTATACAGACACGTTTTTACATGTCAGTATTTAAGGCTATATGCCATTTTGTAGAGAAATATTAAAGAAAAAAGTTGATACACTTCAAAATTTTGATTTAAGGTAGGTTTCCAAATGACTATTTGTTGGATATCATGTTTAATTTAACTCAAACTGTATAAAGACATCAGGTTTCATTTTACAATATGAAAGTTGCTGAACATGAGTTAGCAAAACATGAAAACCAGTCATCACAAGTTGGTGAATCTGCTTCTACCAAAATATTCAGAATATGTCAGGAAAACAAATACTTTATACGTGATTCCATATTCTACAAATCAAAATATCTTGATTCAACTTCATTTTATGAGTGACGTCACCAAACAATGTGACATAATTTTTCAACCAATAAAAAACAAACTTATACTGTTACAGATCATCAGTAAATATTTCATTTACATTAAATATTGTCCCATTACATTGTATAAGAAATATCAGTATAGGCAATAGTTATATGCTGTCTTTCACTTCCAGGAAAGTATGTAGCAGATCCGGACTTGAACCAAAGCAGTGTATGATATTAATGGCCGCCACAATGGCGACATAACAACGTTAACTCAGGTGACCTCCCCTAGATCGGACAGCAAGGGCAGCAGGTTCACAGCACACACCAACTCTACCCACAACAGGAAATCCGCAGGGCGCAACTCACCATACATAATGGATCTCACAGGACGCAATTACCAAACTGCTACAAAAGATACAGCAGGGATCTCACTGATAACATCATTTGCTCCTTTAGACTGTTAAATTTTGAGACACATATTCTGTAAACATGTTAGATTGTTTAAAAAGTATTTTTGTGCAGTTAAGGTTCATAATATGCCACTATTCATTAGTAATAGTTCATAAAATATTTAGAAAAGAAATCAGTTGCATGCAGTAATATATTATCAATAGACATAAAATTTAATTAAGTTACATAAAAGTAATACAACATGATGTAGTGATTTGATTATTAAAGTTTTAATCAGAAATGGGCAGGAATAGTTGTCTATACTAGCCAAAATTTACACACTCCAGTGTCTATGTCCAGTGTTACGTTGGGGCCTGCCAGCCTGTTGTTACCTGTTCGTGGCTGATGACATACTCCAGACCAAATATAGTTATCAGGAACTCCTAGTCACAAAATCGTACGGCCAATAATCATCACTGTCACCTCCTGGCCTTCGGGCTCCACACTTAACCATTCCGTGAGTGTTACTTCATTAAGCCATTACACCAGTGTTGTGGTGCAGCGTCCGTCCCCGTCACTAAGTATTGTTTGATGTTGAGGATTTAGCAAATTCAAAATTTCTGAAATTTGAAGTGGGGAAGATAAAAATAATAAAAGTTTGAAGAACTGTCATTTTTACCAGTAAACTAGATGAGCGATTCAGACTCAGTGAGCTGTTATGTATATGCACCTGTGAGACTGGCTGATGTTTAAGTATTGCACTGCACTTTGATACTGGCCTCTGATATCACACACTATCCACACTCAGATATCTACTGTTCAGTAGAGGGGGGTCGGGTGGGTTTTCTCCAGGTACTCCGGTTTCCTCCCACATTAAGACCCCTGCACGCTAACATTCGGGTCAACAAGAGTGATTTATTTAAGTTGAAATAACTTGTTTCATAATTGTTGTAAAATAGATAAAGTTTACATTTACAGTGGGGTCAAGTAATCAATGTTAACCGTTACCATTGATTACTTTACGTTACTAACGTATGTAGTTTCCTGGTTTCTTCACACCATCTCAAATTGATGCTGTGTTAGATATGCTAGGTGAAAATTACTGTAAGAATTGGCTAGAAAGAAATTCAGTGTGTGATATTGTAGGTCACTATCCCTATTTTAAATTGTCCAATTTCCAATTTGTCTTTCATCTGTGATATGCTTTGTACTGTATGTATGTAATATATTCCTGATGGGTCATTTATCACGTAGTTAGGATTAAGAGGCTGTGCAAATAGCAGCTTGTATTTATTCGGATACCTCCATTGTTTCATGTCATTGTAATTTTTAGTTTATCATTTTATTCTTATTTTGTTTTCTTTGAAATAAGTATTACACTATTTTGGTTAAAGCTATTGGTAGCTAAGATCAGAAAATATCTTTCTGTTCTATATCCCTTCAGATACAAAAGCAAATACATAATTTTGTAAAACATGTGTACTCATTGTATAGAACACTATAATCATACATATATACATATGAATGTATACAGGAATTATACTTGATAAAACTTTATTTGACATAATTGATTGATCAAGGTAAAGAAATATATATACACATGTATTTCATTAAAGGATAGAAAAAATGGGAGCACTTCTGTAAGTGGTGTTCAGAAAATGACTGACATCATGATTTGTGGCATTTTACAGTCGAAGGATAACCTTATTCTGAATTGTTGACATTTTTGTGGTTGTGTTTATTAATCAACAAAATGAGTACTTTGAAAATTAGGTTGTCTTCCTGCAGGAATGAGGGTGATGAATTAGAATCCTATCAAATGTACCGGTATATGTAATCATTCATTTACTAACTATAGGTCATTGCTGTTAAGGAGAATTTTCGTTTTCCATTGCAAGGAAGTGTTGAATTAAATGGCATTGAATAACAAGGAAATCCTACATGTTGAATTAGTAGTTGAAACTTTCAAAACATTGGCAAGATCCTTTCGCATTGTTATCGCTGCCTCATATTTCTGGTTACCTCCCCTTGTCATGGCGTATTGTGTCATAGCAAGTTATCTCCCTTTAGTCCAGTATTTTCATGGTAGGTTATACTCCATTTCTTCACGACTAATTATCACCCCTTCATCCAACAGACTTATCCTGAAGTACCAGGTATTTGGTGGAAATAGATATACGTTAATTTCTGTTACAGACCATTCTCTAGTCCATTCATTTTTTGAGGCTGCTAGTGTCAGATTAGTGTGTTTCATTGAATGGTCTTCAAGACTAATTATAGCAGCTAGAAAATTCTGTTTAATTCAAATAACAATGGCTCAAGGGTGTTTCATTCCATTCATCACAAGACGGCCATCACTATGAAGTATGGTTGTTTCACCTTGTGTTTCAGAGTCACTTAATATATATACTTCATTCACCATAGATGAGCTAGCAAAATATATCACCCAGTAGGTATTTTTAAATTTCTGTGTTAGAAACATTTCATGATACAATGTATATCATGGCAACTTACTGGTTTGTATGAAACACATTTTGTAAATTCTACCTTCATTCGATGTTGACACTTGAGACACTGTACGATAATACGAAAGTTATACAAGCAGTAACCTCACCTTTGGGTCATTACAACAAGACTCCTGCAATCTAGCTGTACTAGACATTTTAGAAGTATCGTGATTGGGGAAAAAGATATTATACCTAACAAAATTATTTGGTGTCAGTATTATGCTCACAAGAACTTTTTTATTATTATTATTAAAAAAGATGTTTAAGTGTTTGGGGTTCTATTCCACCATTTAATTGCTGTTAAATCTTTAGAATTTTGTACCATAAGAGTACAAGCTATAATACTAAGACAGTAACACAAAAAATCCCGCAAATGTCTTTGGGGAATGTTTACTCGCAATACTGGCTACAGGTATGGACATTTAGATTTTAAGTATTTGGTTATTATCTCGTACTCTTTGTTAAAAATATTCATACTGAAGAATGATGTTAAAACTATTCATACTGAAGAATGATATGAAGTTTATTCTTTATTCGTTGACTCTCTGTCTTAAAAATCAATTGAAAGCCTGAATTAAACCAGGGTATCTGCAACAGAGATATTCACCAAGTAGTATTACTGTTGTTGGTGTATGGCTTCCGGAATGAGTTAATAACAATATGTCTAGTTTATGAGGCATTACATGTTAAACAGAGGGGACATAATATGTTACCGGTGTATGGGCCGAGTATTGTTACACAAGATAGCTTTTCTGTATTTGTTTTTGTTCTGTTGAGTGGTTGGTATATATCTTTGTTTTTGTTCTGTTGAGTGTGTGTCATATAACCCTGGTGCATATTGATGTATTTACAATTGATTTCATCAGAATGATAATAGAAGTGCTCTTGTCAAACATGATTGGACAATGTTAGCCTTTTTTTATTTTCCTAAATAATAAATGTTGACATGTCAGATCACTAGTTTATAATAATTACTTATATATTACATCAGTTCCTGTCAGATTTGTCTCTGTTATTATACCAAACTAAACTTTCAATTAATTATAACTTTTCTAGGAAGTATGCTATAATAGAAACCTTAAAACAGTAGGTCCACAAGGATTTATAGTTCACAAAAACAAATGAAAACAAGAAATCATGCATTTTATTAAGAACTGTCTTCTTTCTCAATTTCTCAATTTTCAGTTGGAAGGAATCTGCAAAGTCATTGGTTAAACATTTTCAAGGTTTACTGCAGTAAACTTAGCACTTGTTATAGAAAGAGGGGATTAACCTCTGTAATCCATCACAGACGGGATAGACAGGGTCTCCTTGCATAATCTGATAGTCTTTGTATACAGGTTATCCTGTATATTCCGACACCATACAGTAGGAGAGAGTCTCCCTCTATGTTCTCACACTAGCTTTAGTTAGAAGGGGATTATTTTATACTTTTTACGGCACATACCTACTTGTTTTACTGATAATTGTTAATGTTCATGATGTGCAATAGTTGTGTAGATAATTATTTGCTAATATTTATTTTCTGTATACAGAATGTGTATATGGATGATGCCAGTCAGTAGAATTTGACAGTGTTTGCATTAATGCCTGACCAGAAGACGTTTTTTGTCTGGTGTTAACATTAATGCCAGACCAGAAGACGTTTTTTGTCTGGTGTTAGCATTAATGTCAGACAAGAAGACGGTTTTTGTCTGGTGTTAGCATTAATGTCAGACCAGAAGACGGTTTTTGTCTGGTGTTAGCATTAATGCCAGACAAGAAGACGGTTTTTGTCTGGAGTTAGCATTAATGCTTGACCAGAAGACGTTTTTTGTCGGGTGTTAGCATTAATGCCAGACCAGACGACGGTTTTTGTCTGGTGTTAGCATTAATGCCAGACCAGAAGACGGTTTTTGTCTGGTGTTTGCATTAATGCCAGACCAGACGACGTTTTTTGTCTGGTGTTAGCATTAATGCCAGACCAGACGACGTTTTTTGTCTGGTGTAAGCATTAATGCCAGACCAGAAGACGTTTTTTGTCTGGTGTTTGCATTAATGCTTGACCAGAAGACGTTTTTTGTCTGGTGTTAGCATTAATGCCAGACCAGACGACGTTTTTTGTCTGGTGTAAGCATTAATGCCAGACCAGAAGACGGTTTTGTCCGACCACCTGGCTGTTTACAGCACACATTATTATGTTGTTCTCCCCTCCGAATACAGACAGACTCTTTGATCATTTCCTGATTTTGTCTCCTGGCCAGGATTTTAATGTATAAATATCTTGGGCAAAATATGTATGGTATTTATGTGGAATAATTGTAAGAGATTTTATCCTGTTTTTAAAGAAAATGAAAATGCAAGCCAAATGGCAAACCATTAAGAATGTGTTGTCATGGCAGATGTTTACAGTGGTGATGTCATGGTGTATATATTCTTAGATTGGTACCAACTGTACATGTATATCCAAATCATTATTTATGGAGGAATAAATCCTTGAATATCACTTGTGTCCTTATTTTGTTCTTCTGCCTGCAACATATTGACTCATATTTGTAATCTATTGACTCACACTTGATTCCTATTGACTCATATATTGTAACCTATTGACTTGCACTTGTAACCTATTGACTCGCTTTTGTAACATTGACTCGTGCTTGTGTGCCATATTGACTCGCACTTGTAACCTATTGACTCGTGCTTTTGTGGCATATTGACTCACACTTTTAACATATTGACTCACACTTTTAACATATTGACTCACATTTTAGGAACATATCCTAACTAGGAGGTACCTCTTTTCCAAAAAGAATGGTCTAAGTTAAACATTGCATGGATAGTGGAAAGGGGTTATCATTAGTCTGAAGGAAAGCATTGGTGAAAATCAGTCTGAATATAAGCACTGGTGGCAACGAGTCTGAATACAAGCTTGACACAGGAATCCGGCCCTATCAATGAAAATTTGGGTCATACCACTAACATGGAAACAGCTGAGATGTCGACCCATTACCATATTACATTACACATACTCATATGCTACCATGATTGCCACTAGGGTCTTGCCTGCCACAGGGGACTTAAGTGTCACATGAAAACTGTTCAGATCCTCACCCTATAACTATATAGCTGCTTGCTGGCAATTCAATCGGTCATGCTAGCTGGATTACCGCTAGTGCCTGGCACCAATATTGGGGACTTAGTTATATTGTCATAATATAGAAATTCTTATCCTATATAACATAACACATATATATATCTCAAATAAATGTGCTATGAAGCATCATTGGTCCTTGGACCTGAGATCATTTGTAAAGGAAGAGTGCAGCTCCCCATTGGAATGCAGGTGATGATACAGGCTCTATAGGCCTCTTGTAACCATGAAAAATCATACTTTTACCACTCGTGCCAAAAATCTAAACTGTTACTGCTGCATTCGCAATGTGGAGGAGTTTTATCCAGGAAGTATGCTAAATTTCAGAAGGATGTATAGAGTGTGTGAATGTGAAAGTTTTTTTTTTAATTCTTTATGGATAAATTGCTGGAAACGGACAACTCATTCGGTGCACTGTCCGACTCAAATAATGAATCATAAATCGGTAGTTTTAAACACAGCAGATATTTTGTCAGCAAACTACGAAATAGTGATAGACACATGATAGTCTCAATATTGACCTCGTATAGGACACGCCTGGAGATAATCGAGGTTTACAAACTTCCGGATCAGTTTGATACAAAAATTGGTGTCATGGGGTTATTTCAGTCTTCCTTGCCAGCCAGGCACGGCACGAGTTAGCTCGGGCCTCTTAAGCTCAAAATGAAAAGTTATTTTGGGAATTAATACACAGGCGAATCCAGCATTTTTTCACGACGCTCAACCTCGAATGTGTGCACGATCAACGCACCTCCCTCCCCTACATACGAAAGCCGATTCGTTATACTTAGTAATAAAATGACTCGTGTCGACGCAGCTCGTTCGGCTTTCGTACCTACACATACACACATACCTTTAGGTGGTTGAGATTATTGAGCCCCCATCCGTAATGCCAAATACTTTCTCAAAAACGCTAAATTCATGATGATTCCCGACCCATCACCAAATGGAACCCAGGCCACTAACTTGAATACTATTTGTAAAAGGAAATCCTCTTGTATAGCTCTGTTGGATAGGCGTGGAAAGATCGCGGTATATATCAACGTGTGGTTGATGTACCCAACCGGCTTACCATACAATTACTACATTTTTATTTGTCGTCAACATAAATAGCCCGAGCTTCAATAGACGAAATGGGTTAACATTTCATATCATTATGCCCTGTACAGTTCATAGGTGGTCTCCGACTCATAGTGTTAAAAGGAAAATTGTACCAATGCATTCCATATAAAAAGTCAAAAAGTCATTGATCGACAAAGCTCCATACCGTCAACTGGGACACGAGTAATTTAGCATTTTTATTTTAAAACCTATATAGGCCTACCGCTGTACGAAGGAGAAAGTTAAGAGCGGTTGACCTTTTGAACCTGAAAAAATGGTATACCTTTGAAGTTTTGAAGTCACAAGGGTAGCCGTGCAGATTCATGGTTACCTACATTTAGTGGTTATGCAGAGGTACCAAATATCCTGGGTCACTGTAAACTACGCTATTGTTTACTTCATATATCATCGTCTGCATACCAAGGTTCCCAATAACTACTGCATGGCATACTGATAACATCTTTAGATTTGTTTCTACTGATTAAATGTAACGCACTTAATTGTCAATCGACTCTGCCAATCTATCACAAACGAGGGGTTCGTCACTAGTGTTCTTTGTCCCTTTGTTAGAAGTGACTCGACCTCTGTTCTTGACAATGGTTATAATGGACTTAATTTTAGATCGTCTGGCTCAGTGATTTGGTTAAACTCCTAAATATATGTTCCCATTGGTCCATTCCCAATGATCCGTGTACCAGTACGTCCATCTGATCAGACATGCCGATGTATTGAATAAACCTCTTAAATTTATCAATATTCAACACTCGGGTGATATATTTAACGATACCCCCCTTGTGGAAATGGTACGCCTGTATAACACGGCCCACTATCAGCCGTTCATATCTCCCAAGCACACTGACAAATATGCGGATCGGGATTATATACAGTGACAAATCACCGAATACGGACACTTATGAACCCGTTTTATAACGTCTCACTACTACTACGGTTTTTGCATTTTCCTCTCGACAATCACATGTATACGTTGCTGAAAGATCTTGTGGTATAAATAACGTGAATTAAGGAAGCAGTTTGCCACTGTGTCAGACACCGAAATATACAGATCCAGAGGTAATATCTTTTTACTGAAATGAAATACGGAAGATGCTGCTGAATTATTGTTAAAATGATGAAACGACGCTTTACGAAAACATCTCAATCCTACCAGCAAGTTGGACAACATGAGAAGTATGGCACCAAAGAAGAAGTCAAGAAGAAAGAAGCCAGCAAACAGAAACATGTGAATCCGTTACGATGTGGCATGTGTTCCGGAACACTACGCAGTCCAAAGTTACTCCCGTGTTACCATACGTTCTGTTTCAAGTGTCTGGAGGACTACGTGGGGAGAAAGTGTGCCCCCGAGGAGCCGTCATTTCACTGTCCCCTGTGTCTGATGCAAATTGACATTCCTCAAGATGGCGTCTCTGGATTGACAGACAATTTGTACGTGTTAGTATACGACGCCATGAATGCCTCCAAGAACCCGTGTCAGCAATGTGAAACTGGAACCGGCGCGGTGGCCAGATGTGTCGACTGTGATGAAAATATTTGTATGTCATGTAAAAACGTCCACCAGAAAATGAAAGCTACCAAAAACCACAAACTCGTTCTCTTGGCGGAGCAAGAAAAGATACTCAACGCGTCCCTTTCGCGACAATGCACGTGTCCGGAACATGCAAACGAGGAAATGTGTTTTGTCTGTAAACCGTGTAACGCACTTTTGTGTTTGCAATGTAAGGATAGTCACCTTGACCATAAGTTAGAGGATGCGTCTGTCGCCGCCAAGGTAAGGAAAGAGGAACTGTCGAGATTGGCAGACGGTGTGCGTTCATACTTACCGTATATCAAAAACAACATGGCAAAGGCCGACAAAGAAACGGACAGACTTAAGGAAGACGTTGACAAGACAAAGCTACATATTGTAGACACTGCCGAAAAGTTGAAAAGGGAAATCGATGCAGCATGCGCAAAGAAGATAGAGAACATTGATGCAACTCTAAAACAGTATTTGTCATCTATCGAAAGATTCCGTGCGGAAATGGAGCGCGTTTACCTTTCTATAAAGACTCTCGCCGTTATGTCGGACCAAATATTCGATCTGGCTCCTGACGGACTGTTACTGCAAACAAATCGCAACATCAGTAAGCGTCTGGAGTCTGTTCCTACCGAGATACCAGCATGTTCTTTAGAAAGCGCCAAAACGAGTTTTGAGCCGAAATCCGTACCCGAGGAAGACTTATTGGGTGTCACGTCTGTGTCCGTGTTGCCTATCCTCAGGTTTTCCCCGACAGACACTAAAGTGCCGACATTTTACTGCCCAGGTCGACCCTACTCCATATGCCCAGTGTCCGATGACGAGGCATGGGTTATTTGTGACACCTCGGAGACCATTCAGCTTTATTCCAAGAACGGGGCAATCCGACAGTTTCTCAAATTACCAGGGGAGGCCAATGACATTTGTTGTTTTCCAAACGGTAGTCTCTTTGTCACAGAACTTCGAGGACGTGCCATCTGGAAAATTGGAACAGACAATTCTGTGAAAACCTTCACTACCATCGACGACACAGTTCGTGGGGTTTGTTATTTTGGCGGGAAGTTCTATGTCACGTGCAAGGATTCGAGTCGGCACATGTTGTCCATTTTGACGCAAGACACGGGCGACATTGAAAAGGAGATCGTACAAGACAACGGCAACCCAATTTTTTGTCATCCAGATCGTCTTTCTGTCACGAGTAGCGGTACTGTGTGTGTGACCGACAGGGGCAAAGATGGCGCTGTTGTCTTTGTCACATCAGACGGACACGTGAAGTCCTCATACAGGGGAGAAGGAGGAGAGCAAAATGGGGGACAGAAAGAGCGGTTTGAACCCTGGGGACTTTGTGTGGATCAACACGACAACATATTCATATCTGACCGCTTCAATGACGTCATCCATGTTCTCAACGAAAATGGTGTTTTCCAGAAGTTCTTGCTGACTGAAGATGACGGGATAAGGCGCCCCCTGGGCATAGCTGTGGACAATGCCGGACACATTTGGGTCGGCAATGAGGACGGAAGTATCCATGTGTTCGAATACCTAGAGCTTTTATAATGTCCGTCGGTGATTCTGTGTTCACTAACAATAAGTCGGACAAAAAAACCGGATAACAATAGGTTGGGCACAAAAACCGAAGCTAACAGTAATTCGGGCACAGCAATGAGAGTAACAATATATCAAGCACAGAAATATAGGTAACAATAGGTCGGACACACAGCTCGGGGGCATAAAACTGGGGTTCAATAGGTCGGGCATAAACTGTGGTAAACGAAAGGTCGGGCATACAAAACTGTGGATTACACAATAACTCAGGTACAAAACTGAGGGTCACAATAGGTCAGGCAAAAAATTGAGGGTAACAATAGGTCGGGCATAACAAACTAAGGATAACAATAGGTCAGTCAGTAAACTAATGGTAACAATAGGTCAGGCATAAACTGAGGGTAAGAATAGGTCGGGTACAAAACTAAGGGTAACAATTGGTCAGGCATAAAACTTAGGGTAACAATAGTTCAGGCATAAACAAAGGGTAACAATATATCAGGCATAAAATTAAGGGTAACAATGGATCAGGCATAAAACTGAGGGTAACAATAGATTAGGCATAATACTGAGAGTAATTATAGGTCAGGCATAAAACTAATGGTAACAATAGGTCAGGCATATAACTTAGGATAACAAAAGGTCAGACATAATACTGAGTGTAATTATAGATCAGGTACAAAAGGGTAACAATTGGTCAGGCATAAAACTGAGGGTAACAATGGATCAGGTATATAACTGAGGATGACAATAGGTGAGGCATAATACTGAGTGTAATTATAGATCAGGCATAAAACTGAGGGAAACATTAGATTAGGCATAAAACTGAGGGTAACAATAGGTCAGGCATAAAACTAATGGTAACAATAGGTCAGGCATATAACTTAGGATAACAAAAGGTCAGACATAATACTGAGTGTAATTATAGATCAGGTACAAAAGGGTAACAATAGGTCAGGCATATAACTAAGGATAACAATATATCAGGCATACAATTAAGGGTAACAATATATCTGACATATAATTAAGGGTAACAATAAATCAGGCATATAATTAAGGGGAACAATGGATCAGGCATAATAATGAGTGTAATTATAGATCAGACATAAAACTGAGGGAAACATTAGATTAGGCATAAAACTGAGGGAAACATTAGATTAGGCATAAAACTGAGGGAAACATTAGATTAGGCATAAAACTGAGGGAAACATTAGATTAGGCATAAAACTGAGGGAAACATTAGATTAGGCATAAAACTGAGGGTAACAATAGATTAGGCATAATACTGAGTGTATTTATAGATCAGGTACAAAAGGGTAACAATTGGTCAGGCATAAAACTTAGGGTAACAATAGATTAGGCATAAACAAAGGAAAACAATATATCAGGCATAAAATTAAGGGTAACAATGTATCAGGTATAAAACTGAGGGTAACAATAGATTAGGCATAATACTGAGAGTAATTATAGGTCAGGCATAAAACTAATGGTAACAATAGGTCAGGCATATAATTAAGGATAACAATAGGTGAGGCATAATACTGAGTGTAATGATAGATCGGGCATAAAACTGAGGGTAAGAATAGATCAGGCATAAAACTGAGGGTAATTATAGATCAGGCATAAAAATGAGGGTAACAATAGATCAGGCATAAAACTGAGGGTAACAATAGGTCAGGCATAACACTTAGAGTAATAATAGGTCAGGCATAAAACTAATGGTAAAGGCATATAACTAAGGATAACAATAGGTCAGGCATAAAATTGAGGGTAACAATAGGTCAGGCATAAAACTGAGGGTAACAATAGATCAGGCATAATACTAAGTGTAATTATAGGTCAGGCATAAAACTAATGGTAACAATAGGTCAGGCATATAACTAAGGATAACAGTAAGTCAGTCATAAAACTGAGGGTAACAATAGGTCAGGCATAAAACTAAGGGTAACAATAGATCAGGCATACAATTAAGGGTAACAATTTATCAGGCATATAATTAAGGGTAACAATGGATCAGGCATAATACTGAGTGTAATTATAGATCAGGCATAAAACTAATGGTAACAATAGATCAAGCATAAAACTGAGGGTAACAATAGATCAGGCATAAAACTGAAAGTAATTATAGGTCAGGCATATGACTAAGGATAACAATAGGTAAGGCATAAAACTGAGGGTAACAATAGGTCAGGCATGAAACTAATGGTAACAATAGGTCAGGCATATAACTAAGGATAACAGTAAGTCAGTCATAAAACTGAGGCTAACAATAGGTCAGGCGTAAAACTAAGGGTTACAATAGGTTAGGCATAAAACTTAAGGTAATAATAGGTCAGGCATAAAACTAAGGGTAACAAAGGGTCAGGCATAAACTGAGGGTAAGAATAGGTCAGGTACAAAACTAAGGGTAACAATAGATCAGGCATTAAACTTAGGGTAACAATAGATCAGGCATAAACAAAGGGTAACAATATATCAGGCATACAATTAAGGGTAACAATATATCAGGCATATAATTAAGGGTAACAATGGATCAGGTATAATACTGAGTGTAATTATAGATCAGGCATACAACTAATGGTAACAATAGATCAGGCATAAAACTGAGGGTAACAATAGATCAGGCATAAAACTGAGAGTAATTATAGGTCAGGCATAAAACTAATGATATGATTTGTTTGTAATGTAAATATGTGCGCATTATTCTGTTTAAATGTAATCTTCAAATTGGAGGAAATAAAGAGAATAAACTGTCGTCGGGCTAGTTTTAATTACATAAATTACTTACCAATACAGATTTAACCTTACGAATGGTCTAGTTATTCTTTTTTTCTTTAGGTTATCAGTAGTCCTTCAATGATCTGAAGAGTATTTACTGTTTTGCGCGGCGTGGCCTATATATATATATATAGTTACAAGAATACAAATATAATGAAAATGAATTTGGAGTGCATAAATTTTAAATTGTGATTAAAACTATGTACATAGGCTTATAATAAATTAAATGAATTTGTGGAGGACAGCTGGTGTGAGCTGTTCGACTGTTGTGACAGTGACTGTATGGGTTGGTAATAAATTCCATTGAGTTAAGGTATAAGAAAAACGTATGGGGCGAGTAATTTGAATTTATCTATAGACAGATTCACGTTGAAGTGTTTACAGAAACACTTACAAGACCAACTTACTTCGTCACTCCACAAACCCGATGATATCACGAACTTAGTAATTGGCTAATGCTGAAACTAAATGTCAGCCTTTTCATACGTAATACATCAGATAGTCGTGTAATGCGTAATGGGAGATTTTAAATAATATACGTTAAGAAAAAAAAATACCACTAGTGAAATATAGTGATCTAAATTAAAACAGGTCAGTAATAAATCTTTTTGTTTTATTTATTAATGAAATTGAGACCGGTGCCTTCATTATAATCTCTACACCACAGTTTGGATGATGTAACGATTCTATTCAAAATTTCAATTGTATTTTGATTTACCTGCATTCATGCAGTCCCGCAAGATTTATATCATATACAGTTTTCAACAAATATATCCCATAAACCCAGTACAATGTATTATCTTGCATTTATATCCCGTTAAACTATTCAATATAATAGATGGTCATATCTCATAAAACTAGACTATCTAGCTCTTTCATAACAGATAGTCATATCCTGTTAAACTAGCGCTATGTTACAGATATTTATATCTCGTTAAAGGAGCGCTATATACCGGATAGTTATACCCGTAGTATGGTATGGTATATGACTATGGCGTGTAGATCGTTGCATTAATTGCATTTTAAAACATATCAATAAAAACATCTTATTTAGTATGGGCATTGGTTTCCGCTCAGATTACTCAGGTGGGTAATGTGTGGTTATTTGTCCTGAGGTAAACTTATTTAACCGTTTTAATCCTGGTGGAGTGAACCACAAGTACCTGAGAATATGTTACAGCTATATTTGGATATAAACTAAGGTGTTCAGAGTAATTTTTATCTAAAGTCGATCTAAACCCCTAAAACATGTCAAATTACTCTGAACACCCTAGTTTAGATCCAAATATAGCTGTAACAAATGTTCAGGTCCCTGTGAGTTTGACATGACCTTCGATGGTTAAAGTCATTTTACATTGGCGAGTCATCGAGGAATAGAACAACATCACCAACAAAAATATATACAAATCCTTATGTCCAGTGTTTCAGTGATAGCAAAAATGCCAAATTGTTAATACGTTGAGTTACCTTAGACTGCATGCAAACACGTTGATCGGGGTCTGGTTTTAACCCCTCCAATGATATACACATAATCCTGTAATAGAATGCCGATATCATTTCATTATCATTAGGTTCAGACATAATAAAATTAGGAATAGATATAACACCTGCTTTCCATATAAGTGATGTGTTTTTATAAACGAGAGTTCTCGTAAACAACGTTTTACCGCTGGCTCTTCTAGTTGTTCAATTAAGCCATTGTCCAAACTTCTTACTACAATTATTAGAACCAGTAAAGCAGGGACAGTCTTATCAATGTTAGACTATATACTCCGGATTAGGAACTAATGGATTGTGGATTTTGCAGAACTCAAAATATCTGTTGAACGATCTTGAACCATCAGAAAATCCGACTTTTCCACTCCACACACTACCATATATCAAATTTAAGGGACGCCTTCGCTCCCTTGTTATAGGAAGAAAAGTGAGCGGCGAGATCAAAAAATGGTTTGAAACTCTTTGGAGCTTAGATCTGTGAAAAACACGTTAAAAATAACGATGAAATATGAAGAGGACGAAATCATGAGAATGATTGAGGTCCTAATCGATAAATATCTTTGCTGATTTCGGTGGAAAGATTTGCCAGTAGACTGTTGGCCTTCCCTCGGGACACAGTGTTTTTCAAATGAGGCTGATTTTGTCGGAGAGGTTATCAAGCCTAGGACGGATAAAAACCTTGCCAAACCTAAGCAAAAGACATGTATTTGCCACGTCAATCGTAGATATATTTCCTACGCAAGCTTCGTACCACAATCTTGCCTTACAACGTGACCAATCGGGCCGACTTTCTACCAAGCTTTAATTGGGTATGACGATTCCGATGGTGAACTTTCCCCTTCTTGCTAGTAACATTCCTTTACCCCATGCTTACAGATTTAAACAAGACATGTCCCAATTAATTAGGTACCAAGATTTTTGCCCAGGATATTCTGATTTCCATGATAGAGGTCTACTGCTGATAAACTTGAAACATATTCTTTTTCAGAGATGCAGGTTGATGCAGACAATGGACAAATTGTATGGTTGCAATCATTTTCTCACTTGGAAATGTTCCTTGTGCGGCATGTTTTTACCTCATACGGTGTGAATGCGGTGTGAATGCAGATCACCTCATTAACTGATGTGAGCGTAGTCGGTTTGAGAATGTATTTCACTATATATAAATCCCTGAACAAATCTCAAGCGTGACTTTCTCACACACACCATCCCCGTTACAAAATATTACCGGAGAGAACGGAGCAAGTCGGGCCAGTGGCGGATAGGGGTACGATACGTTTTTGACGTCACCTTCATTCTGAACCTGTCGTCATTTGAACTTTTCAGCTAGATTACATCAAGTGTTTTTTTTGCTTTTTTAAGTATTTCCAATAAATAGGTTAATTTTGACAACCGCTTTCAACAATACTTGCCGGTGTTTGACCGTTACCCTGTACAGTATGAACCTATAGTACCAATTAAATGAAGCATCCAGTGCCGCAAGGCCTAAAGTTAATAAAATGAATTGAATCGCTAACACTGTTTCCTGTTGCGTCCCCAAAAATGTTTAACAAACCATCAAAATCTGCATAAGCTGGGGCAAGTTGAGTACTCGACCATGAGGAAAGCTCAAACGTGGCTTCAACAATAATCCGATCCTGGAGGATGCCATGCCCTGATTGGCGCAATTTCATATTGCCCCGTGCCACATTAACTACTATAGCCAGCCCACAGGGACCTGAGCATTTGTTACAGCAATATATGGCTCTAAACTAATTAAGGAGTTACATTTAGATAAGTTTTACACGTTTTAGGGGTTTAGATCAATTTTCGCTAAAAATGCCACCCCTATGTTGATATATATCTATATATTAACATTGACTAACAAAGTTAACCCTAACCCCTAAAGCGTGTAGAATTACTCTGAACACCATAATTAGCTTAGGGTCCAAACATATTTTTTAAAAATTATTATTCAACTTTTTTCATAATCACATTTTACTACGATAACATAAACATTACAATTGTTTCATATACATATATTCGTTCTGTAACTATATATCAATCAGAATCGGTTTTTATATATATGAGTCTAACTGTTTACTCATGTATGTACAAAGTTTGTAATAATTTAGAGCATATTTCCATCCGGATATTTCACTTTTATTTTAAGACAAGTACGGAGTTCCATGACATTTGTAAGTAAGGCAGATCATTGCTATTTTGAATAAATTTAGACGTGAAGTTTTCCGACAGGAATATATGGCTCTAAAGACTTTACCCAAAATATGTAAACAATGTCAGCTTAATTAAGTAAGTAAATGACTGGTAAAGTTCCATTTGTATTTGATTTTAAGGTATGTTTTCCCTTCCAAAATGGTAGGAGCTGGTGTTTTTTTTAATTTACATGAATATATATAGTATGTAATGTAATTTGGCACTTATGTTCTAGCGTATCTTTCAGCCATAACCAAAATGTTTTTACTAACCTACTGCATTCCCCAAAAAGATGCATAATAGTTTCTCTCTCAAAAGGCGCATCTTTCAGTTTCAGCTAATTTGCATCTCATTAATTTTGTGTTGGCATAGATGATCCTGTTTATAATTCTATACTGAAAGTTAATAAGTTTTGTGTCATCAGTTATGTCTCTTGGAATCGAGTTAAAAGATTCCCAAGATCTTCTAGGGTCCAAATATAGATGTAACAAATACTCAGATCCATGTGACTGTAAAACTATAGGCTTACTAGGCCTTGCAGGGGAACTAATTTAACATAGTAAATAAGATATAAATCACGATGTTCTTTACCGTGAAATAAAAAAAAAAATCTGATTTTATTTTTGTAATAACAATCAAACTGGATCTATATATAGCCCTACTTTCTGTTTCACAGAACGTAACAATCAATTGTTTATTCTAAAATAAAGCAATGTCAGCACAGTGATAATTCTAGGACATAGTAAAATCGACTAAAACAAAAAAAAATGTTCCTGTACCAAATGCTTGATCATGGTACGGACTTATGCTGTGGTCGCGATGACCACTTTATCTTCCTTTTGCTCATGCGCAAAGTGCGCCAAATCAATCGGACCGCACAGCTACAGTACAGTTGCCGTGTACTCACATGTGCCACAGGGTAACATCTTGGTTTCTTCAAGTTCATTGAAAAAGGTATTGTCACAGAAGAATGTAGAATGTATAAACCTTTCAGACAGCATTATTAGAATTTGCACAAATAATGATTATCGTAAACGTTTATCTCTAGGCCTCGAAGTAGGAAGTGCTAACAGTCGGCAATGTCGGCATGTTTTTGCATGTGTGCGCCGTGTTTTGTTAACATTGGTTTATGTGTAAAGTTACAACGATATGCTTATAAGGATGATTTTGTTGTAGAAATTATACCTTTTCTTCCACAAAGTCCTCCTCGTCTCAGATCTTCAATGCCATATATATATAGAAACCAATGTTACAACATCATGTGGTTTAGTGCCTATATATAGTGTATGTGGTGTTATGGTAACCGGTGGAAACGGCACAAATATCAGTGACAACTTATGAAGTTATGTAACAACCACTGGGTTATCAATTTCAATCAAATGCAACTCATGCGTAGATATCGAACCCCTCCCGTTTATCCTACATAATGGGAACTTGTAATCCCGTTTCAATCTCGATAGTGACAGAGAAAATAAGTTTTTACATTTAATTAGCTGATATAGCAAGTTAATTGCAGTTGTTCGAAATGGCTTAGTTTATCATAAAAAAGTCGTTAACCTAATGTTTTGAAAGTTTGCTATCACTTTTCCTGGTCCTACTACAGCTAGTTCAAATATAAAATAGCTAGCATTGCCATTGTCTTTGTGTAATTAGATTTGAATCTGCATGAATACATGATCGAGTTGCATGAGTATAAGCATTTTTGGTAAATCATTTCCATAAATTCATGATTACGAATAAATAAATGTTTTTTAAAAATTATTTTACTTATATGCTAATTAGGTTTTCAGTAGGCAACTGGGCAAAAAACATTTGATTAAAAATCAAGTCATCCACGAAAAGGGTTAAGTGCACTGATTCAATAATAATCTTTGCTTAAGATTTGAGGAATTTACTGTGATCATGGTTCAATGGATTGATGGGCTTAGGATACTTGTTCCGTAATTATAACCAATTAAGCCAAGGACAGACTATATTAGTCATGGGTGAACTACGACAGATATCAATGGAGCATCACCAAATATTTTACAGATAAGGAAATGTTGTGTGTACATGTATGTACATTATGTAATATGTGATATGTAATATATGGTAGGCCTATATGTTCAAATCATCGGAAACAATCGTGTGCTACCATTGCCTGTGGGCGGGAAGGGGCCTACACTTAAGGTAGGAGCTGTATTGTATCATGCGGTACTAATTGACAACGTTATGTCGTTAACATATTCAACTACTTGGGAAACGCCTGTAGTATGGTTATGGTTGAGTGGCTCGTAGTGAGCTGTCACAGTGGAATTAATGGAAAAATTGTATTTGTTACTTTGAGAAAGGAACACATTTAGATTTAATCATCTGTGCTGTCATGATCATTTTCTATGTATTACTTTGAAAATATTTTTTTTGGATCAATTTACGTATGAATTTTAATCCTGTTTATACATTTGTTAATTTAATACCTGTTACCTCAGGTTCTCCCCATCCTCCGCTTTCCTCTCTGCATGAGTTAGTTCTTGAATTATGTCATCTCATGATCTATGGAACTGCTTTATCTTGGGAAAGGACATTATAAGTGTAGCGGAACTGGACTAGGTCGATCATTGGCGACCAGGTAGAGTTCGGAGGATTCCTGGTTTGAACCCTGGTCTGGCTGTGCATTTTTACTCTCCTGTTACAGTGGTGCCTGTGACCAACCCTTGTTTCAAGCATAATGGTGTATGCTTGACAAGGGGATACCCAAACCTGGGTTGTAATTAGTTGTGTCTTCAGAGACGAAGACTTAGAAAAAGCAGGGAGGAATGTAGCGGAACTGGTCTGGGTCGATCGTCCGGCAACAAGCTTAAGGTAGCTCAATTGGTAGAGCATCCGTCTAGAATTCGGAGGGTCCCGGGTTCAAACCCGGTCTGGTCGTGCATTTTTCCTCTCTTGTTACATAACCTTGCTAACTTTTTTATTTAAACAATTCCTTCCTTCCAGTATTTCACAGTAAAATGTAATTTTCAAACTATATGTTTATGCTTCATATACATATGTCAAGGTGTATGTTGATACTAAAAATAACTTGCACCTGTACACTGTTGTACTGCTGCACACTACCACCATATAGTGTTCCTAGGGCTAAAGGACTGCATGGAGAAAAACCTGTCTGAAGGTGAAAACTTTGTCGATCATTACATACCCGAGTAATCAATTGCAAATCTGCTGGAAGACTGTTCCCATGTTTTTAAAGTGCTCCATGTATTTCAGACATTTTTTTAGCTAACTCTATTGTCAGTAAACATATGATTGATTTCCATTTTCAGGTAAAAGTAGGCAAGGGCAGTTAGAGAGCTTTAAAATGGCAGTATTCATAATGGATGCCAAGAAAATGTGGGATGAAGTTCTTGACCATGCAGGTAAATATATATATGTATAAAGACTATCATACAGAAGTCTAAAATTTTATTACTATTTTGTAGATACAATTTTTACCCTATTAAAGTTACATTTAAGAAATTTACCCTTCAAACTAACATTCTATTTAGTGATGTTTATATATTACTTTAGCCTGCGCTGAACTAGCTTACCTTATATAGGTAATGGTACTTTATTTTTATGAAGTACTGTACAATTATGGTACTTTCTTTCAAAAAGAGTTCTGGACCCACACAGAGTGACCACGAGTATCGTTTAGGTAATCAATGGTACCCACACAGAGTGACCACGAGCATCGTTTAGGTAATCAGTGGTACAGTGGATATATATGTAGGTACATGCTACTATTGTACACAAATAGTTCAGGCATAGATAACATTCTTGCAGTTCTGTTTTGCATACACAGTTATATTTGTATTTGATAATGATAATTGGAAATATAATTGAAAGAATAAGTGTAAGGTAGCATATACCCCTAAGTGTTAACATATTTACTTTAATGATGGTAGAATAATACAGTTTATGGAAGGTTGTACTATGAATTTAGATTTACTGTTGTTTCAGATCCATGTGTGGAGGCTATTGTAATGATGTATATGGCAACAGGCTGTGACTAACTACGTTTACTATTGTTTCAGATCCGCGTGTAGAGGATTGGTTCATGATGTCCAGCTTCATTCCCAGTCTTGTTATCTGTGTGTTGTATGTTATCATAGTGCAATTTGGTCCTACAATTATGGCAAATAGGAAACCAATGGAGATAAAAAATGTCTTGTTGGTGTACAATCTGGGAATGGTGGCCCTTTCTACGTACATTTTTATGGAGGTATGTTATTGTATTACATAGATGTTTACTGGAGTACACACTGACAACATGTACATTATATATTGGTGACAGGAGATTATGAAATATGAATAGGGACTCAAAGACAGTTTTTTCATTCTTTTTAAATTACGTTAAGTAATATGATGCAACATTTGGGGAGGTCAAATTTGTAAAAAAAAACTTTATTAGATCTCTGTCCACATTTCATTGAGTGGTAATTTCTTCTCCCCCAGTTCCTGTTGTCAGGTTGGGCCGTTGGATACAGCCTACACTGTCAGCCGGTGGATTACTCAAATTCTAAGGCTGCTGTAAGGGTAAGTAACATTGACCAAGTAATAGCTTCTGAACATTGAGATAGGCAATTCTATTCAGATTTGACAAAAATTTAAAAAAGCAGAATCTTTGCTTGGTATAGATTATAATAATAATGTTAGGCCATTGAAGTGAAAAATATTTAAATAGAAAGATTTAATGATAAATTATTCAAAGCTTCATACTACTCTGAACTATTTTAGCACTTGTCTTCAGAATTTTCTTTCACTGGTGGTGTTTTTGGAAAGTTGAGATTTTTTTTGTCGTTTGATAATTAAATGTTGATCATAATACTTGATATCTTTTAAATTGCGAAATATTGCCAAAAAAGTGGGAAACCGTCTTTTAACAGCAGGGAACATAGTTTAATATGGAATACTGTATTTTCATTTTGCATTTGTTTGCCTGCACCTTCATACACTAGTTGATGACAGTTATGTGATGATCATGTGTGTATGTTGACCTGTATTATTTATACCTTCACAGATGGCAAGTACCTGCTGGTGGTTTTATATATCAAAATTCATTGAACTTTTTGACACAGTAAGTATCAAATATTGAGATAAGTTTGACCATGTAAAGTGATATTTGAAGTTGTCTCAACTTTCGTATGTACACCTGATAGCTAAAAAAATCATAAGTACTAAAGAGATTAAAATAGGGATGCTACTTATTGAAGTGGCCTTCCATCTCAAGATTTGGCAGAATATTGTTCTATTGTGCTATTGCAGGTCATGTTTGAAGTTTAAATTTTCTCCTTCATAGCTCTGTTGTCTTCATTATGAAATAATTATAATTTTACTCATTTCATTATCATTTATGATGTCACAATAGGGTCATATTACAGATGCATAATATATGACGTGGTTACATTTAATGCATAACACAGTAATTATGTAAAACATACTTTAAGACCATACCTTCATTTGCCTGTTTGTTAACTTTCCAATCAAGCTAACCCTATCTAGGATTTGTTAGCTTACTTTATACTACGGGTAATGGAAGCTTTAGAGTGTACAATGTCACGTAGTCTTGATATTAGTACAAACACTAATCTTTTTGTTTTATTTCAGATTTTCTTCATAATGCGTAAAAAGTTTAGCCACGTTTCATTCCTTCATGTATTCCATCATGGTATTATGCCCTTCTCCTGGTGGTTTGGAGTCAAGTTTGTGCCAGGTAAGGAACAACACTTCTCACTCATGTTGATGTCTGAACTAAGGTCAGATTTTAGCTCACCTGGCCCAAAGGGCCATGTGAGCTTATGCTGTACTGCGTCTTCCGTCGTCTGCCGTCCGGTAGACCAACTGTGAATCGTTTTCTTTATTACAGTAATGAGGTCAAAGGTAAACTTAAAGTGCTAGCTGGAGTCCAAGGTCAATACAGGTTAAATCTTTAAAATCAAAATTTCAAATTTCAAACAACAATATCTTGAGAACCGTTTAAGAGATGTTAAAATGTCTAGTGTTATAGTTACCAAATTTGGTCTGAAGTTACCTATATGTCAGTTTCGTGTAACAAAAGAAACAGGTGGGCGATACATCTTGTATTAGATGTGTGCTTGCCTAAACCCAATACAGGATTTTAAGTTTGGGAAGGTTGGCTAAATATTTTATTTTATATTACAAACATCCTTTTTTACTGCTTTTAATCAATCCTTTAAAACTGTTTTGATGTTTTGCATGCTTTAGTATTGACAAAGTAAACCTTCAGATCTAAAAATTGCCAACAATTTGGTTTAAGGTAAAGTGTTCCAGCAAGTTGAACAATATTATTGCAATTCTCACTACTGTGAAATATTTGATTAAGTCTTTTTCAAAGGAAATATTCCATAAAAATCACATGTTGCCATAATTTTTTAGCTCACCTGGTTCGTAGGACCATGGTGAGCTTATGCCATACCGCAGCGTCCTCCATCTGTCGTCCGTCCATCAACTTTTCCTTTAAAACGCTACTAGTCCTGAACAGCCAAGTAGATTTTGACTAAATTTGGTCTGAAGCATCCTTAGGCCAAGGTGGCTCAATTTTGTATAAACGGTGGGTGTAGCCCCACTGGGGGCAGAGGGGTGGGACACAATAGGGGAAATAGAGGTAAAACCTTTAAAATCCTTCTTCTACTGTAGGGATTAAGGGATTTTATCCTAATTTAGTCTGGAGCATCCTTGGACCAAGGGTACTAAATTTTGTATAAATGGTGGGTCTGGCCCACTGGGGACTGAGGGGTGGGGCCCAATAGGGGAAATATAGCAAATTCTTTAAAATCCTTGTTTTTCTGTAGGAATGAAAGGATTTGTTCCATATTTTGTCTGAAGCATCCTTGGGTGAAGAGGAACCAATTTTGTATAAACCGTGGGTCTGGCCCCCCAGGAGCCTGAGGGGCGGGGTCCAATAGGGAAACATAGCAAATTATTCTTTAAAATCCTTCTTCTTCTGTAGGAATGAAAGGATTTGGTCCATATTTGGTGTGGAGCATCCTCGGGTAAAGGGGAACCAATTTTGTATACACCGTGGATCTGGCTCCCCAGGTGCCTGAGGGGCAGGGCCCAATAGGGAAATATAGCAAAGTCTTTAATATCCTTCTTCTTCTGTAAGTATGAAAGGATAATTCCATATTTGTTCTGAAGCATCCTTGAGTAAAGGGGTATCAATTTTGTATAAATGGGGGGGATGACACCCTAGGGACATAGGGGCGGGGCCCAATAAGGGAAACATAGCAAATTACTCATTAACATCCTTCTTCTTCTGTAGGAATGAAGGGATTTGGTCCATATTTGGTGTGGAGCATCCTCGGGTAAAGGGGAACCAATTTTGTATAAATGGTTGGTGTAGACCCCACCCTGGGGGCTGAGGGGTGGGGGCCAATAGGGGGAATATAGCAAATTCTTTAAAATCCGTGTTCTTCTGTAGGAATGAAAGGATTTGTTCCATTTTTGGTCTGAAGCATCCTTGGGTGAAGGGAAACCAATTTTGTATAAACCGTGGGTCTGGCCCCCCAGGGGCATGAGGGGCAGGGCCCAATAGGGAAATATAGCAAATTCTTTAATATCCTTCTTCTTCTGTAAGAATGAAAGGATAATTCCATATTTGGTCTGAAGCATCCTTGAGTAAAGGGGTCTCAATTTTGTATAAATGGTGGGTATGACACCCTAGGGACATAGGGGTGGGGCTCTGTTTGGAGTTATATCTCAAGTACTGGATGGACCTTTATGAAATTTCATATGTACTTACAGTACCTACCAAGGAGTGCTATATCTTTACTTCATACCAACTATTTTAGACATATTCAGGTGAGCGATACAGGCCCTCTGTGCCTCTTGTTTAGAAATGTAGTTGTTTGAAATTTTTGATGTTTGAAAATAGAAACTAAAGAAAAAAATAAAAAACCGGAAAATCCCGGGGTCAAACTTGACATTCAACACCTTTACAATGCATTACTAAAAGGGAGAACACTCCAAGTCAAAAAAACTTGGAACTCTTCTTTGAAATTGTAACTGATGCATTAGATACCCATTTACCTTAGCAGACATACAAAAAGAAATGGATGACTGAATAAATTTTAAGAATTTAAAGAAAATAAAAGCGAAAGAAATTGAAAAACTGCAATACAATATTTTGAATAGGGGCTTTTTTGGCAGGTTGGTTAGGTTAGGGCAAATAATCGTTACTTTTTTAGGCCAAATGTTTGCTAAATCGAGACTGTCAAGTCCAGAAAATCTGTTCTCTCACCTGTACAAAGATTATGTTAATAAGGTATAAAATATCAGAATTCATAATCAGACTTATAAGAGCTGGTTTGTGAGTGATGTGTGATATACAGGACAACAGGATAACACGAGGCTTGGCTGCTGTTGACAGTGAGTTTGTCATTCTAGGTGGGTTTGGTACCTTCCACGCTCTGCTGAACTCCTTTATCCACCTGATGATGTATACCTACTACGGTCTGGCAGCGCTGGGTCCCCAATACCAAAAATTCCTCTGGTGGAAAAAGTATATGACAAAATTGCAATTGGTAAGTGTACAGTGCATACTGGTATCAATAAGTTGAATTTTTCACCTGTAGAATACGATCTTTGTTATCATTTATCAGAAGTATTAAATTCCAATAACGCTGGACAAAAATAGCTGTTCAAGGAGTTTTAGATATATTTAAGTTGATTGGTTGTGATGACTTCAGAAGACAATGTCGGGAGAGTTGTGTTTTGAGATAGGGATAATTTTGATGGTGGCGTAGCATTACATTTTTTTACAACAATGGGTAAAAAAGGACAAAAGTTTAAACTGCAGTTAACATATTCCAACATTGCCCTGAAAAAAGAGTTGCTTTTATTTTTTACGAATCACTTAGAAACAGAGAAGTGTTTTTAGTTTTTTTTTAATGTTGATTTAAATATGGTAATTCTTTGATCATAAAAATATACCATGTATTTGACTATTTCCCTTATTTACATATATTTACAGAGGCATTTTTTTATTGATGTGCACTTAGGCTAAATGAGGTTCATAAAAGATTGGTATATGGTGACATTTGGACTTTTCAGACCCAGTTTATACTCTGCCTAGTTCACGCCTCACAGTTGCTGTACATAGAATGTAACTACCCGACCCTGTTTGCCTACTGGATTGCACTGTACGCTGGGATATTTCTGGTGCTGTTTGCGCACTTCTACTACAAAGCATACATCTCTCGGAAGTCGAAACCACAAAGCAATGGTGCTGCGCAAAACGGTGTGAAGGAGAAAGCTAATTGATGTTACAGATGATTAGTTCAGTAGTTGTTTCAAAATTGTTAGTTAGAGATCTGATATTTTTTTTTTTATATTTTATAGGAAATCCTTTGATTCGTGCTTTGATTACATTATGAACTTTTATGAATGTAGTCATCATTGTTTAGATATATACTTGAATGATTTTAAGAATGTATATAAAGTTATATACATATGTAATAACATTATATAAATGCATAACATCAGTATGTGCAAAACTACACTTGACTACACAAATAATGTCTTGTAAAATTGTGTGTGGTTAGGAAAAAATACTTAAACCTTGAATTTTTGGTTAGACAAGGAATTAAATCTTGAAATATTGGTTAGGCAAGGAAGGAAAATACAAACAACGTTTCGGTCTGGTAATCATTCCAATGGTTTTGCACACACTGAACATATGTACGAACTAGGTTGTGATAAAGCGGTATACAAGAACCTTGAATTATTATTATTATTATTATATTTTTAGCTGCATCCATAGTAATTACATTTGTGATTCTAGCCTATCTCTTGGTGAGACATACTTGTCTTAGTATAAATATTTTCAATGAAAAGATTAACAATTTAACTTTAGTCAGTATGTGTCATTCCAATTTAACTCATTTACCCCTGAAATGTCATAATTAACTATTCCAACCTTTGAACTGAAAGAGCTTAAATGAGTCTTCAAGGGTGAATGAGTTAATGCCTAGAGGTGCTTACCGGTAGGTTATCACCCTGGTAATGCCATGTTAATGTGTTTAGCTCACCTGGCCCAAAGTTCGTCCGGACCAGTATGTCCATTTGGCATCAACATTTTATTTTAAATTATTTTTTCTAAATAACCAAGAGGCCTAGGGGGATGATATTTAGCCAGTAGCATGTTGGACTATCAAGTTCTTCAAATAAATGACCTTGGCCCACTTTCAAAGGTCATGGGTCAAATTTGTTGAAACCTTTAAACAACCTCTTTCGAATAACCAAGAGGTGTAGGGTAATGCTATATGGCCAGTAGCCTAGTGCAATTATAGACTATTGAGTGAGAGGAAATGATTGACCTTGACCCACTTTCAAGGTCACATGATTTAAATCTGTTATAGACCAACTTTAGCTCACATTAATCACATATAAAAAATATTTTAACAAAGATTCATAAGGTATAGAGAAATAAACTCTTCCTACAAAAACCTGTAAAGTGTAGAGTATTGATATTTAAGTATATTTGACCTTGACCCTCCTTTTCAAGATCACAGATATGAAATGATTTTTTTTGTTGCATAAGCATTGACATTCATTAATATGACCTTCAGCATTTGTACTTATATCCATAAATTTGACATAGAGGTTCTTGTTGGGGTCAAACATTCCAGACGTCAAAACAGTTATTTTTTATTTTTTTTGATATTTTTCAAATAGCGTTTGTTACTGCTGATTCAGGTAATATATAGTACTTGTCTGCTTACAGTTTATTATATGATTAGATACGTTAGATTTATAGCTGTATTTGCACAAGATGTAAAATTTTGCATGTAGCTTTACTTACTTGTTATGTATAAGAAATAAGTTAATTCTACAGCAAAAATTATGTTATGCCCACAAAAAGCCCCTTTTTAATAGCACTATGTATGTGTGTACCATTTGCACTTTTAATAAGTATATGTCTTATTGGGTTTCGTTGCTGTAGTAATGAACAAATACACTGCTTGTCTTATTAATACATGATCCTGTCCTAGGATAGAGAAGGTTGGGGTACTTGATATTTGCATTGATGGGTGTTCCTGTCCAGGAATAAGTAAGTTCAGAGTATTTGATATTTGCAATGTTGGGTGATCCATGATTGGAAGGGTCGGAATACTTGCAATGATGGGTGATCGAAGATGGAAGGGTAGGAATATTTGATTTAAGCAAATGATGGGTGATCCAGGTTTGATAGAGTGGGGATATTTGATGAAGGCAAATGATGGGTGATTCAGGATGGGTAGAGTGGGAATATTTGATTTACACACTGATGGGTGATCCAGCATGGGTAGGGTGGGAATATTTGATTTAAGCAAATGATGGGTGATCCAGGTTTGATAGAGTGGGAATATTTGATGTAGGCAAATGATGGGTGATTCAGGATGGGTAGAGTGGGAATATTTGATGTAGGCAAATGATGGGTGATTCAGGTTTGATAGGGTAGGAATGTTTATAAGGGCATTATTCGATGTAGTCATCGATGGGCATCTTCTCCCTAAATGGATAAGATCGGATTGTTTGCAATTGATGTAACTTTTTTCTGGCAGTCTAATGAAATTAATTAATCAAATTTCTATTGATTGTTGATATGAAAATTGTCTTTTGTTTCTTGGTTTAATTTTCTAGTTAATGTGTGTTAAGTGATTTGTTTCCGTCTTTAAAGATCAAATATTTTTGTATATTATTTTAGCTGATTATATTTTCCTAATGCTTTTCTCCACTGAATTGTTTAAACTTATATCTATAAAAATCTTATATCTAATATCTACTTATCACATGAACACGTACAAACCATATCTAGTATTTGCCTGTCACAAAACACATATAAACCATATCTAGTATCTACCTGTGACAAGAACACATACAAACCATATCTAGTATCTATGTTGTACAGAAACATGAACAAATCATATCTAGTATCATTCCTTCCATGATACATATCCATTTTTTTTGCAATAAAAGCCATCCATAGCATGAGTATTATTATAGTTGTATTCATTTAAAAAATATGTGACATTTTTTTTTTAACTTATATAATAATCATTTATTGAGTTACCTATAGATATAAACTCATGGTTTTTGTGGGTTTTACAGTTGTCAAGATCTGGTGTGGGTTTTCAGTTGTCAAGATTTAAATTGTGGGTTTTCAGTTGTTAAGATCTGTTGTTGGTGTTTAAGTTGTTGAGATCTTTTGTGACAGTTGTCAAATATTTTTTTAGCTTTACAGTCATCAAGATCTATTTTGGTTTTATAGCTGTTAAGATCTAATTGTTAATTTTTAAGCATATTTTGTGAAAATGTATAACAGAGGGTGTACATTCTTACTAGATAGTGGATGGTAATTTGTTGTGTTTCTGAGATGGAGTTAATACAAACACTAGTTTAATACTAGAAACATTTGTGAAGTCAGATACATGGAGGAGTCTCGATACAAACATTATACTTGGTGCCAGCTTGTACATTTGATTAGTTATCAGTAATCTCTATTTCTGTATCATTTACAGTTTCCTCTGCATTTATCACTACTGTATACTGAGAAATGTGTGCTGCAGTTTAATTTTTGTCTCTTTTGCCCTCTGTAAAGATGGCAAATTTTTGATTGCAGCAAAAATTTGTCAACAACGTTATATACAAAGTAATTAAATGTGTGATATTGGACGAAAATTGATTTTACCGGTGAAGGGCAAAAATACGACTGAGGAAAAATTTCCCGGTATACATTATAAAATGATAAAAGAAACTACAGTGTAATTGATGATTGAGATAAAAAAAGTTTGCTGCAAATATTATGAAAGATATTGAAAAGTCATTATGTATATCCATTGGTTATCTGAATATGCCTGTTTTAGACTAGTTGAATTGTTTGTTAAGAGACTCAATATACCTACACTAAATTATATATGTTTGTTATCAATCTATTCCTTATGTGCTATGTACAGTCTCTGTTAAACATATCAGTGATTTTTAGCTAACCTGCCCGAAGGGCTAGTGAGCTGATGCCATGGCACGGCAACTGTCGTCCGTCCATCCGTAGTCCGTCAACGTTGAACGACTTCTCCTAAAAGGACAGGCCTAGAGGCATGATATTTTGGTGATAGCTTTGTTGGTAAGATCCCAAAAAAGTTTGAGAACGAAAATGAACTTGACCTTCTTTTAAAGTCACAGGGGTCAAATATGTCAAACTTATCAAACGACTTCTTCTGAATAATCGAAAAACATAGAATCATATTATTTGGCTGGTTGCTTCTTGGGATTGAGCCCGACAATGGTTGCGAATGAAAATGACCTCAATCTTCTCTCAAGGTCACATGGGCCAAATATGTCAAATACTTCAAATTACATCTTCTGAATAATTTGAAGGCATATAATTATAATATTTGGCTTGTAACTGTCACAGATGGAGCCTAACAAAGTTGGCTAGTGAAAATTACCTCAACCCACTCCCAAGGTTACAGGGGTCAAATATAGCAAAAACTGCAAACAGTTTCTTTTCAAGAAGTGAAAGGCATGGAGTTGTGATATTTAACAAGCAGCGAGCAGCGGCCTCTCATGTTATGGGAGTAGGTTTATCCCATAAATGAATTTGCAACCACTGTTGATATTTTGATCTTATAGTTTGACGTGTCACAGTTTGTATCCGTTGTGTTACATAGCTCAGAAATTGGCTGCACTCACCACTTTCCGGAAGTGGAATAATAATTTATAACCCCTTCCCAATGATACCACCACGTATGATATTTCAGGAGAAGCTGACAAAGATGTATTGTAGAATCATTTATTTTCGTGGGGTTAAAATTTCGTGGTTTTCATATACTAGCCTGTTTCAAGGACGTTATATTTCGCTGATTTCTGATTTTCCCCTTTCTATATCATACCAAATTGATGTTTTCGTGGGGATTTAATTTCATGGATTTTTGTTATCCACGAAATAAACGAAATTTAATGTCCCACAAATTTTTTGATTTTACAGTATGTCCCCAATATATTATGTGTATTAGTACCACATTATGTACACTTAACATCTTAAAGCAAGAAAATTGTTTCCCAATGATACCAAGAATTTAGTATTACCATGACGACGGTACATTCCTTCTTGAACTTGAAATCAAGGACAATATGGACTCCTATGCAAAATTTCAAAATGGTACACAGGGACTGCTTACTACTTAAAAGCTGTACGATATTTGGTTACAGATAGTTAACTTTTCCTTCCTTGATAGTAACATCCCTGTTCCCCAACCTATGGTGTTTACATGTCATCGAGGATTCTGTATTCAAAAGATTGCTTTCATTATTATAATTTTCGTGATAGATGTTGATTGCTGACAAACTTACAACACAGGGTTTGAGAGAAACAGGTAAGTTAAGACTGTGGGAATTCAAATTTTAAGGATGTCATTGTGGGAATACTCTAATTTTGTATGATTGATGTTTATGTTTATTAGTGTCTTGTTGTTCTGGTGTCACTAACCCCTGTCTCACTTTGGGGAAGTGACATGAATTGGATTGGATCTTGATTTACATTGTGTATGTCATCGATGAAGTTGAAAACGCTCACCCTCCTGGAACACTTGGTCTTGTTCTCCTTGTACTTCTCAAGCCACTCCATGTAAATATTCAATTTGTTTATATTAAGCCTTAAGTTTATCAACATTTAACTCACAAATCCACATTCAATGAAGCTAACAAGGGTGCAGGGTTTTGCCTCCAGAAGAAGCTGAAAACGCCAAAGATGTATTCCTTTTCTTTCTTGTTTTCTTGAGAGAATAAAACCCTTAATATTTTAAAACGATGTTAAGAATTAAGTGCACTAAACAGCTTCTGAGAGCGAGAACAAATATCTTTCAGATGATACCAGGAAGTGCAGGTTTACCCTTCAAACAAAGCATGCAACCATTGTTGGAGTTGTTTTCTTTATTTATAGTAAAACTGGGGTTCACGTGTCAAAGATGCATGTCGTTCATTCCTGGTACCGAAGATTTAATATTTTAAACTGGTGAAACCAACGTGTTATATCGCTGAACAGAGTACCAAAAATTTTCTGAATGTGTGAAAAACCTCCAATAAGTACGGCTTTACTCTTTAAAGGAAGGCTGCAGTTACTGTTGATGTGTTGGTCTTTGTTAATAGTAAATACGTGATTTGACCATGTCAAACAAAAAGTTCTGTGGTATTACAGCTCAGAAATATGAGCACTCAACTTCTTTTCTTAAAACTGAAGAAATGTATTTTCCAATGAATCCAAGGAGTGTTCACTTCTTCAAAGGATAGTTGCATCGATTAACTGGCGTTTTGTAGTAAATATATCATACATGTAACATGTATGTCATAAATAAAAGTTCTAAGTACTCTAGATGGTGACAAGGACTGTTCAACCAATGACTGAAGCACTGAGTTACTTAGTTCCTTGGTCATAACATGGACACGGTTGAGATCCAAATGTTTAATCATATATCAATTTGCTTGGCATGAGGAAATTAATATGCTCATGATGATTGTCTCAAAAGGGCTTACCCCTTTTGTCAAAACTTACATTTGGTTAAGATCACCATCTTTTAATGATATATGTGCTGACTTGGTATGAAAAGACACATGCTATCATACTACCAGAATTGGCTTTTGGGTCTGGCCCCACCCATGAAAACTTATTTGCAATATTTTATGAATGAGAATATTTAGCCATGATTGCTCAACTATCCAACTAAGTAATACAGGCCCTGCCAGCCTCTTGTTTAGCATCAAAACAGATTTTGAAGAGTTGGGTTACATAAACCAGTTGCTCTCTGCATTAATACTAGATAAAGATTCAGTATTATGAGGACCGTTTATTATTTAGGAATTTCATAAATTTCATAAATTTTAAACTATTTTGGAAGTTACTTCTTGAAATCCTTAAACGGTGTAATCATTGCACCAGATGTTTTTGCATAATAACCTGACTTCTTACCATTTACTTATTGTGTGCTCTTTGACTTGTTTATTTAAAATGTCTACTCTCTGCATTGTTAATTCAAAATTTAAATCAGAAATATACCTTTCAAAGTCACAGGTCAGATTTAATAAAATCTTTTCAAAAACCACCATTCATAGAATTATGACATTTGGCCAGTAACTTGCTGGAATGTGGCCTATTCGTGTACTTTTAAATGAATGACCTTGACCTCTTTTCAAGGGTAAAATAGGTTAAACTGTTGACTTCTTATGAACTGCAAGGCGTAGCACAGTAATTGACCTGTAGCTTGCTTTGTAGCTTGCTTAGATGAGGAAACCTTTTTCAAATAAATGAACATAACCAATGTTGTTACCAGTATCATGACATCTTCTCATTAATTGATTTTGAAAAAACCCGATAATCAAGCAAAGCAAGTAACAGGACATGTATAATTGACTGTAGGCCTCCTACTTCTATCTAATATGTTGCTTAAGTTTTGATGGTGACCGGTTTATGATTTTGGGAGCTCCTGTTTGTATTCAAATTTGATGAACTTGTTTATTATGAACAAATATATGAAAAAAAATTATTAGTTTAAAGCTGAGCAAAATCTATACAAACTAGTATACCGTAGTCTAAACACTGTATTGAAACCTTATTAATTATCATCAAAGAGTCTGATGTGCCTTGAGATTTACCAGTGATTCTTGCAACAATATATCTTTTAAATATTGAAATTTAACAAAAATGCAATTATACTACCTGTGTATCAATCAGAAAAATAAAAATATCTTCTGAATGTTCAAATGGAGGTATATGACAAGGTGCTGTAATGTAGTTTCACCTTTTCTATAAACTATGTATAAGGATTGTCTCCCTTGGTCCATATTCTAAAACCCCATGAACAAAAATATGTTGCAAAAATGAATTAAGGGTGTAAAGAGCAATGCAAGATAACACTCTACTTTCCCCAGGATACATATACTTGTATCTATCCAACTTTTGTGAATGAAGGTGAAACAGCAAGAAAGTTACAATGTATGCGTGCAGTGGACAAACATTGGTAACAAAGACAAACAAATGCATTCAGTGGGCAAAAGTACCAAATTTAGTATGTGACATTCCACTTTCCAATCCTACATAAGTATATAGGAAGTTTAGTGAATGTTGGTTAAATAACAAAAAGTTGTGCTTGAGACACACTTTGTTATTTATAAAAGAGATGGGCAATAATTCGAGCAAGGCATAAAATTGAAAAAAATATATGTAAAATTATGAAATGTAAACTAGGTCAGACTTTACTCATATGAAATATTGCATAACACTTCATAAGGATATACCTATTAATTAAGGCAGGAAAGCAATGACAAGGATTACAGAAATGTTAACGGACTAAGTACTGGTACATCATAGTACAACCTGTTGCCAACAGGCTAATGAAAATAATATTATCTAAATGTTTTATTTCATTTAATCACCCCAAAACAGTAGTTTTGTAGTCAAACTTCCTGTCGAGCTCCATCTGGTCATCATCTTGATTTAAGTTGCATGTTAACATTTTGATGCATTTGTTACAAGAATGCATCAGAAGGGTTTTAAGTTTAATCCTGTTATATACACAATCTTGAAGTCTCAATGGCTGCAGCTGCATGGCATCATGTGATGGGCATATGGCATTCCACTCCAGCGGTACTCTTGTTTACATATTTGACCCCTGTGACCTTGAAAGTGCCATGCCAGATTCATACTTATGTAGAAGATGTTGAAAGGAAAAGCTGACAACAGACACAGTTCGACACTTTCAGACTCACTCAAGTGAGGTGAGATAAAAAAAACTTCAAACAAATACATCACAAAAAATATCAATTTTTATTAATTTTTTCCCCAACATAAAACTGATGCAACTTCGTGTAATTTTCCCTGATGTAAGATATTCATGGTGTCACGGCCAATTGGGTAACACATTCCAGGGTGTGGTCTATATTTACAAATGTTTTCTATCAAACTAATGTCTAATCCTCCAATACCTCCACATTGTCAACTGCTCCTTGTAGCTTCTTTCTATGGGCCCGTTGTAATAGTCGCTTTTCACGTTCATATTCTTTCATTCTACTAATCATTCTGTAAAAAATCAAAGTATATAAGGTTTAAAAGAATGATTAATTTGTGCAAATACATTTATACATATAAATATTCAATACACCATCGTCAATGTCAGATCTAGAAGTGTGTTCTGGTCTACAGAACCCTAACCCCACCAATCCACCCAGCCTGCAAATTTTCTTTTAAACTCATGCATTTTTCCTTTTGACAAATCCCTAACCCGGGGAAATATGGAATCCCACCACAGAATCCAGCACTGTTCATACAGAAAGGTTAAATCAATCAAGGGTTTGACCCACTGGATCTAAAACATTTTGAAAGCAGTATTGAATTCATTCCTTTTTCACATGCTATGTAATAGACAGATTTGTCAAATTGAATATGTACATATGATTTATACTAAAATTTAAGCATAGTTTCATTCGAAATTTGTCTTTTTTTAATGGTTTGCTATACATATTCTATATGATTGGAAAGATAAATTGTGATTAGTACTTGTACAGTTTCATTCATAAGACACATATAGATCACTTTGAGATCATAATTGATTGATCAATACATTTCAGGACAGGTATTTTGTCAGTTCCATCTGGCTTTCATCGTACACAACATAGGCATAAATACAAATCTTCATGCATGACTTTTCAATGTCATAATGCCAAAGAATAACAGACAGAGAATAGTCTATGTTCACAATTTTGGATTTTAAACAATGTGGAAGCATACCAGTATATAGCAAGTATCGCTTTAGATTGGTTATGTCAAGTATAATCATCCTACATGAATCTTTCGGTGAGAGATAGCTTTTAAACCTATATTTAGGTACTTAAGCAAGGCCAAATGTCATATAAAGGTTTTGGTATTCTCTTGATGTACCTACATACCAAGTCTCAAGTTCATATAAAAAACAGTGACCGTATTATTCTCTATATATTTCAGTGTCTAAGATCAAAGGTCAGAAGGTCATAACTAGAGGTCTTAATAACTTTGTTTTGTTACATAAAACATGTCTTCTGTTATGTACAATGTACCTATACATACCATTGTCCAAGTCTTAAGTCTATACATGAAATACTGAAATAGAGGTCAAGATGCTCAGCAAACCTGTATTTCAGTGTTTGTGAGGTCAAGGTCAAAATATAGGTTGCTGTGTTCACATTTTGGTACATAACACAGGACCTTTTTATGATGTACCTACATGTAAATACCACCCCCAAAGGGCATATACAAAATAGGGGACAAGATGTACCTCCAAAACTGAGAAGGATGGACAGATTTATGAACATAGTGAATATGTGTACAATGATATTTCAACTTTGTTGAAAAGAAACATCTACACATGATATTTTAATATTTTTATGATGTATATATATGTTGTGGTATATCAAGTGTACGGCATTGAGATTATCTAAGCTTGTTATATATATAGAAATGCACAATTTTTTTAAATAAGGCACAGATCAATATATTGGTTGATTCCAATTAGCAATATTACAGCCTGGCATTGGTGAGGCCATTTGGCCCTTTCACTGAAGTTAATTAGCCCTATGATCAACTTTGTCAGGATAAAACTTCCAGCATCTTGTTGATACCATTGTGTACATTTTGGCCTAGTAATAAAGATGTTCTTACAAGGATTATTGAAAATCATTAAAACTAACATTTTATTTTCATGGCCATATACAATTGGACTTCATCAATATTTATATTGTCTTCATTTGCTTTTTTTCGTATGAAACCATATACATATGTAGCAGATACATAATAGCTATTTTTATACTTACTCATTCTGTTGACACTCTTCAAAGTGGTGTTTTTCATGGTTACATCTGTATCCGAATGGAACTGACTTCAGTAGACATTTTTTAAAGTCGATATAATAATGGGCGCAGTAATCACGAAATTCTTCTGGCACTTTAGCTGATACCATCTGTTCATAGGAGATTGGAGGCTCTGAAAATCAAATTGAAACATAACATTTGAGAGTAGCTAAACTTAGCAGAAAGTTTCGGAGCAGTGAATATTGAAATAAAAGATTGGAAAAAGTGAGAATGGACATTAAATTTGGCAGTAATGAAATAAATTAAACTAGCCATGAAATTTAAGAGTAGTGAGACTAAACACAAGGATTTGGAGTAGTGAGACAAAACACAAAGATTGGGAGTAGTGAGACTAAACACAAGGATTTGGAGTAGTGAGACTAAACACTAGGATTGGGTGTAGTGAGACAAAACACAAGGATTGGGAGTAGTGAGACTAAACACGAGGATTGGGAATAGTGAGACTAAACATGAGGATTGGGAGTAGTGAGACTAAACACGAGGATTGGGAATAGTGAGACTAAACACGAGGATTGGGAGTAGTGAGACTCAACACGAGGATTGGGAGTAGTGAGACTAAACACGAGGATTGGGTGTAGTGAGTAGTGAGAAAGCCACAGTGAAGCCTCGAAGCACCTTATCCATCTTGGAACGGGCGCCAACATGGGAGATGAAGGTTGACCTTGACAGGAAGCTTGTGTTTCCAGGAATAGTGGAAACAACACTGAGGCCTGACATATGGTAATATGGACAGAGCAATCCAGACACCTCATTGCCATAGAGCTCACTGTACCATGGTAGGAAGGCTGGGAGGAAGTTCATGAGAGGAAGAAAGCCAAGTATGATGAGCTGATGGAAAAGTGCAGGAGCAGAGGATGGACAGTATGGCTCTTTCCAGTGGAGGTTGGCTGTAAAGGTGTCCCTGCACAGTCAGTGTGGAGGACACTACAGTCGACAGGACTCACTGGGAGAAGCTGCAGAGAATGCATCGTGCTGGTTATGGCACAAATGAGAAGAGCCGATGTGGAAGCCGACATAGACGAGTAGTGGTTTGGCCACCACTACTGACCCACCAGCCGGAGGATGTAGTGATTAAGGGTCGAAATATCTTAAGAGGGCTGGCCATCACCTGATGAGGTCAAATGAGGCTTCGCGATTAGAATGATAGCAGTGACAGACTACAAGTCAAGGATGTCACAAGATGCAGAATTACCATCATCTGTAAGCAATCATCAGAGTAGTGAGACTAAACATGGGAATTGGGAGTAGTGAGACTAAACACAGGGATTGGGTATAGTGAGACTAAACATAAGGATTGGGAGTAGTGAGACTACACATGAGGATTGGGAGTAGTGAGACTAAATACAAGGATTGGGAGTAGGAGACTAAACACTAGGATTGGGAGTAGGAGACTAAACACTAGGATTGGGAGTAGTGAGACTAGACACTAGGATTGAGAGTAGTGAGACTAAACACAAGGATTGGGAGAAGTGAGACTAAACATGAAGATTGGGAGCAGTGAGACAAAACACAAGGATTAGGAGAAGTGAGACTAAACACTAGGATTGGGAGTAGTGAGACTAAACACAAGGATTGGGAGTAGTGAGACTAAACACAAGGATTGAAAGTATAGCGAGATTAAACACAAGGATAGGGATAGACGGAAGAAATGACAGACAAATTATCGATGTAAAGTTATTTGAATAGCCCATCATCTAATGATGGTCAGTGATGGTGGGCTAAAAAGTTTTCATTTTCATTAACGATATTGTGGTGTTGGAAGAATTTCAGGTTTAAAGAAAAGGCCAAGGAAGATAAAGGAACAATTCAGTTGAGATTGCATTATCCATACATAGGTAACTAAACTGGTTTAAAAACAACCTCACGTGAAACAACCTAAGGCAAATGGATTTTGGGCAAATTATGACCGGACACCATGAAGGACAGTCCCTAGTATTAATATCAATACCCGGCCTTCTTTTTCCCGGCCGGGTATTAAATCCCATTTCTTGTTATGGAGCAAGCCAGGTGCAAATCACACCAGGGCGATTTTAGAATTGAAAGCACATTTGTCCGTTTCCATTAATAGGTTTGTAATATGAACTATTTCTATTGATAATAATATAATAATAATAATCTTTATTTAACGTCGTGTACAATTGTCAGCAACAAACATAAGCTCTGTAGAGCTAAGGGAACAAATGGTGTTTTCGTGGTGGAGGAAAACCCACGTGGGGAAACCACTCTTTTTTTCCACCAACGCTGGGGATCGAATCGAAATTCTTGGGAGAGCAAGTGGTCTGAAGCTCATGCTTGATTGCACACAGTAGTACAATGACTGTGGGCATTAGCGATCACGGCTACCGAGGCACCCTATATAACTTGAAGTTAAACTTTGCCTTAAATGTTGTCAAATTATCACGTTAACATAGCAAGGGCAATTGAAATCTGAATTTAACGCCATGTTGGAAACTTTGTCTTGCTTCTGACATATAGGTCAGACGTCTATATATGGGTATCATGACCCAATATGGAAATTGTAGTAAACATGGCGGCATCAGTCAGTAATATTATATTTGGCCATGCCATATATAAAAACGGATAATTGAGATAACATCAAGCGTGATCTGTCATTGCGACTGTTGCTATTTTTTTTCCCAGACGGACTAGGCTAAGTTATTGAAAAAGTTTTTTTTTAATAGTAAGGCCATGCCCGAGACCGAGTCATATTATTGTCACACTCAGTGTTTACAGAAAAGTGACATCAATGTCATTGAAAGAAAACATTGCATTAACAATTCCAAGAACTACCCATTTGTAAAATAGCCACAAATAATTATATAATATCTGTTGCAGTTGGTATTTTTTTGGTGGAAATGGAAATAATGACCTCCTAAAAAAGACTTCTACACTATTCTGCTAACATGTTGAAGGTGAAATTGTAAATTATTTAAAAATATGTTTGTGTTACCTCTCTCTTTACGACCATTTGAAAATCCATAATTGGGATCAAAAGTAGGATTCTCTTTCTCATAAGGGTACAATTCAGGTTCAAACCATCTTCCAAACCCCGTTGATATTTGAAGACCCATTTTGCAGAAGTCTCCTTATTTCTAATGGCGTATGTCGCTTAAGTTGTTAAAAATAAAAATAATTAAAGCACATATTATTGCAATACAATGATTTTTTTTATTAATTTGAAATTAAGAACACACATTAGGAGGTTATCAAATTGCAAAATATAATATTCTTGTAAGTAAGGATATTTCAAGAAGTGTAATAATTAATTTTATACGCTATGCTCCCCTTACGCAAGCGCCATTCAAACTTCCGCTTTCCTTTTATTTCCGGTGTGCATGGGAGCCTTTCGCAATATTGCAAGATGGTAATGTTGTGTTGTAATTTTGTATCTATGAATGGGTATCAAATTCATTATGTTGGTCAGAAAGAAACACAATAACATTGTTGTTATTCATTCGAGGATAATATAACAGTGAAGTAGTTTGATCCCATACAGGTTCTTTCCCGTTTCTGAGCACTTAAAATGCCGGTCCGTTTTCGTTTATTTCTGATTTGCGTTCCAAACATTTTGACCGTTTCGACAAGAGTTGTCAGTTTATGAAATAGATACGGACCTAGTGATTTGATGTTACATTATATCGAGCCTTGACAAGGGCTTTCGAGACATGGATTAAAGTTTGTAGGTCCAAAAAGAAAAACAAATTCAAATGCACTGTCTTACAAAATACAATTTTTTATAGTCGTAGGCCTATATGAAAACAGAAACATAAGCTCTGAAAAGCTATTATTACGATTATTACGATTAGGTTCACAAAATGAAATCTTCTTCGTTGTAATTAACCTGATCATGATTGGGTGTAGTAAAACATATTTTGACATTATAATCCCTTCACCTTGAAGAAATTAAACTGTATCGGGTTATAAATTGAAAACAAACCAACTGCTTTGTATAGTTGGGAATAAATGCTAGATGTTACAGTAACAAGTTGTTTTGGGAGTCCCAAATAGGTTTTAGGACTTAATTGAGTCGATTTGGGACATACAAAAAATTGTTTCATTTAAAGCCTTGTAAACTGTACAGCCTCTGTCGTAACCCAATAGCGATTATGTCACCATTTCTGTGATACACAAGTATGGCTTCAGTCAATGACCTGTATCATGACCTACCTGTGCGGGGGATAATTACACTGTAGTGTTACCAATTAGCGCCATGCGCCTATTGCTGCAGCAATTTAATTCAATTCAGTTTATTCCAAAAGCAGTACAGCTTATAGAAGTTTTACAATGTAATAGCATATGTGTGTTAAACCACGGAATTAGTCCGTGGTTAAACATAGTAAATGTATGCATATTATATACAAGCTAACAGATGCTGAACAATGTGTAATAATTTCGCTCCGTGATAATATAATTCGTGCAATTAGTAAATGTAGTATACATTATTATAAGTTGATTATTTATAACACAATGGTATTACTAGTAGACTAGTGTGTCATGCCTGGCAGTGGCAATACAAAAATACCACGTGAAGATTATTTAGTTGTTTAACCTTCCTTACAGACAGGGCCTGTACAAGTTTGAAGAGAGAATCGAAGGGCGAAGCCAGAAATATGGCTTAATATATTTTGTTCTTATATCAGAATAAAAATTAAAAATTAGAATATAAAATGATCATCGTCTTCTACACATCCACAATTATTCAAAATTTAGACTTTGTGATGAAAGCCTGTATTAACAAATAATGTTCTTATATTTATTTGTAACAGCTGCAGGTTCACATAAATGATATTGCAATGTTAAAGTATCTACTAAGTGTTTGTAAATGTAACACTTTGAGGTATTGGTAAAATGTATTAAATTGTTTTGTACGAAACAATCTTTTAATTTTTGCTTGAGTTCCGATGTAAACATGTTTTCATTAAATACTTTCTGAGCATACCATATCTCTGCAAAACCATAAGTACATAGTAGCTCTTTTATAATTGTTACCCAATTGACATTACCTGACACAGTCATCAAATACTACATTATAACATGAGGTTAAGATACAATGATTTGACCTGAGGAGCTTCAACCAATATTTTACAATTCTACTTATTCTTGCCAAACACATAGTTAATCTCCCTAATTCAAAATATAACATAATATGTGATTCCTTGTGCTACCATAATCTGATGCTATAAATGTAGTCAGTGAGTACATGGATTAATTCAACCATTACCCTTACGTTTTTTAGTTCATATTGATAATACCTGGTAGTTAGTCAATGCATTAACACCAATTAATTCACTTAGATATATTAAGATTATTTATTAGAAGTTCTATTTATATAATAAAGAAAATAAATAATAGGCAAAAACTTACATGACATATTATTCGTTTATATCATAGACATGTAAGTTATATTATTAAGTTATTATAATGCCATTTTCAATGTTTCGGTAAGTTGTGACATCGTTATAACAATGTCATATATATATTAATGATAATAATAAAATAACCTCTTACGTAAAAAAACTTTAATTTGGAACCTCTGACAACTGGCACCCAATTCCGTCTTTGCGTATTGCAGAGTTATCTGCTCTTGTGAACAGGGGTTGATTGTTAATGAAGTAACAATCAATACCTGCTCAAAAGAGAAGATAACTCTGCAATACACAAAGACGGAATGGCTAATAAGAGTTTTATTTTATACAAGTTACTTTCCTTGCATTGGGTTGTGTATAAAAGCCTCCTTAATTAGATTGGTGTGTTACAATACTTTGCATTTATATAATAAACTTGAAATTTTACAAATTATTAGGTAATGGGTACGTACCTACAATAAACAAAAGAAAAAGTGGAAAATATCGCCAAATAACTTTTGACATGTCCGTAAGCAACCTTTGTCTTGTTACCGAAACTATCTGACACTTTAAGAAGAATCTATCAAGGGTTTTAAATTAAGCTCTTTATTTTCTTTTAAAGAAATATATGGAATTTCCCTAAAAGGTATTAAAGATTCATCCCTTTTCATACAGGAGGCTACTTCAAACATAAAAGCCATTTTTGTCTCTGTAGATTATAATTATAACATTTAAATAGATAGAATGATTATATTTTGTATTACTGAGTTTCATTTTTTTTCAGATTCCTGACAAAGTATTTTTCCATCATAGTACTGTGCTTATGTCAGTTATGTTTTTCATTTGTACAGAAGCCGATTCTGCTACATGGTCATGAGCGGTCAATTACAGAGATCAAATACAACAGGGAGGGGGATCTCATCTTTACCTGTGCTAAGGATCATCAACCCAATGTGTGGTATTCAATCAACGGCGAGAGACTTGGGACCTTTAAGGGTCATACAGGAGCTGTTTGGAACATTGATGTCAATTGTATCCTTTGTTATTTTACAGCAAATTTTAATGGAATTTTTTTCCTACTTTCACAAGGTCAAAACATCAGTGTCTGAAAGTAACTGAATTTTCCATAGACCATGGGTCTACAGAAAAAAGAAATCCTATGGCCCAAGTCAGTTTTCAATAGACCCATTTCATAGTTCAGCTGAATTTCGGTTATTTTCATCAGTCAAAAAGTCTAAAAAAATAAATAGTTGATGGAATGTCTGATTGACTACTTGCCCCTGGATATAAGCCATTATTTTGTCCAGAGCATTAGGCAAGTGGACTTTTAAGTCTGATATTTTTCTGAGCACCCACATAATACAAGCTACAACAAAAAATGTGCCATGTTGTTTAATAACTTCATAGTGTAAACAGTGTATGATTGGTACACAAGCTCCCCTGCTTGGCTGTTCGTAACAACCGATGTGACCGTGCACTGTTCTCAGTACAAACACTTTGATTTCTTGATATTCTTTAAGGAAAAATAATAGGGATGCAGTTGTTTCCACACAAAAGTATTTCAGTGATTGAAAAACACATGCCTATAAAATTGCATAGACAATGGGGCTAACACTGTTGAACTTTACATACATTGACAAGATTCTTTATGGCTGCCAGCTATCAAACCACCATTGCTTTCGAACACTGAACCATTCAAATCTATCATGTCGTGAAATATTGTTTGAAAGTATTTTTGAAGTATTTGAGTTAAAGACCATTTTTGGTACTTAATTCGTAATAAAAAATATAAGTTTTACCTTGACTGTGGTGTTCAGGGGACACAACCTATGTGTTGACAGGGTCTGCTGACAACTCGTGTAAACTATGGGATTGTCAAACAGGTAAGTTAATATTTTGTAAGCTGTAAGAGTGGTTAAATAGTTTTATACCACACTCCTAGCTTAACTCATTCACCCCTGAAACTTCATCATGAACTATTCAAACCTTTGAATTGGAAGAGTTCAAATGTGTCTTCAGGGGTGAATGAGTTAATGCATAATAAACAAATGACTATCATGTAACTGTGTGAACGACTGATGTAAAGATGCTGTGTAAATGACGTCAGATCACACATAACACAATGTATTGATGTGATTAATGCTATTTTGAATTTGTACATCTCCCTGTGAATATTGAACAGATTTATCTGTAGTGTTACATGATGACATGTATGTATATTTGTTAAATTAGCACATTCATATTTAGGTACAGTCTGACCACTTTTCTACCCTACACTGGCATTGAAAAGTTATATTAATGCTATTTCTTTTATATTCATACAAAGACAAATATAGATTGTAGGCCTTTTTAAAAAGATGTAACATTTTGAGATGTTACCCAGTGTGATGATTTCCAGGCTTTATATATCAATCAAATCTGTGTAGCGGAGGATTTTTTAATCCTTTTGTATAAATACTCGTTGCTGAAGTAAATGAGCAAGCAAATCCAAGTGATAAAAATGACCAAGAAATTGAAGCTCTTTTTTTTTGGAGGTACAATACAGAGCACTGTGGTTCTCTATAGATGTGCACCTTAACACAGCAACATAAATATTACACTGCAGAGATAACGACCTTTTATACGATATAAAAACAGGAGCTAATTTACTTCATCACTTCTTTAACCTTTTACCTTATAGACTGTATATGTTTACAGCACATTATCTTACCTCAAACTAATTGAAATTTATAAAATTGTGATGCATATTGAAATAATTTATGCTGATGATAATGTAATTTGAACTGTGATTTTGGTATATTACAGGGAAAATGCTGTCAACCATGGAGTCGAAAACAGCTGTAAGGTCATGTGGCTTCTCCTACAGTGGAAACCTTATCATGTACACAACTGACAAAACCATGGGACATCCTTGTGAAATCCACATCTACGACATCAATGATATGAGTATGAACTATCAATTAATTTAATCAATGATATGAGAATGTACTGTTCATCAAAATGAAATTAACGACTTCTTGAAGATTTGTGAAAATAAAATAAATTATAAATTGATTTGTTCAGGCTCATGCTTGTAGCTTTTACATGTGAAAAATATATTTTATGGTTATTAGGAGAGCCAGCGATGATCTTTCCCATAGCCGGTTCTAAGATTACATCTGCTGTCTGGGGACCGTACGAAGAGTACATCATCACAGGACATGAAAACGGAGAGTTGTGTCATATTGATATGAAAGTAAGTGTCTAGGTTTGATTTTGTTTCCACTGTATAGGAATAAAGAGTATATTTTATTCACTTGTGTGAATATGTTTTGTTTCTGTCACACTGTTGTATATTCTTGGGTGACAAAGAAAAAAATTAAAAATAAATTTCCTGTATATCATCACAATTATTCAGTATAATGTGCTTTGTTATGTGAAAAGAATGTGCAGAGAAAACTTGTTAATATCAACCAGTCAGCGGTGACATTTTAGTGATGGTCCTATTTCCCAGTTTCTGTCCAAATCTTATGTTCCCACAGGTCAATCTTCATATAGGACTTCCTTGCTTGGGATTGCTTTTCATGTCAAAATATCAGGTTTTGCTTTAAACAGGAAATCTCATTTCAACAATAAATTCAAAGTCAGATTGATGACAGGAGTAAACATAATTCTTACAACTCTATTTGTGTCGACTTCATTCATTTTAGATTTATGAATTATTTTGTTTAGACATCATTTTAATACTAGATCTTTGTTATTTTGTGTAGACATTTGTTATATTTCATGTAGACACAACTCATACAAGATCTTTGTGTTATTTTGTGTAGACAAAACTCATACTAGATCTTTGTGTTATTTTGTGTAGACAAAATTCATACTAGATCTTTGTTGTGTAGACATAACTCAAACTAGATCTTTGTGTTATTTTGTGTAGACATAACTCATACTAGATCTTTGTGTTATTTTGTGTAGACATAACTCATGCTTGATCTTTGTTATATTTTGTATAGACATAACTCATATTAGATCTTTGTTGTGTAGACATAACTCATATTAGATCTTTTTTTATATTTTGTGTAGACATAACTCATATTAGATCTTTGTTATGTTTTGTGTAGACATAACTCATACTAGATCTTTCTTATATTTTGTGTAGACATAACTCATATTAGATCTTTGTTATATTTTGTGTAAACATCACTCATATTACATCTTTATGTTTTGTGTAGACATAACTCATACTAGATCTTTGTTATATTTTGTGTAGACATAACTCATATTAGATCTTTGTGTTATTTTGTGTAGACATATATAACTCATATTAGATCTTTGTTATATTTTGTGTAAACATCACTCATATTACATCTTTATGTTTTGTGTAGACATAACTCATACTAGATCTTTGTTATATTTTGTGTAACCATCACTCATATTACATCTTTATGTTTTGTGTAGACATAACTCATACTAGATCTTTGTTATATTTTGTGTAAACATCACTAATATTACATCTTTATGTTTTGTGTAGACATAACTCATACTAGAGCTTTGTTATATTTTGTGTAGACATAACTGATACTAGATCTTTGTTATATTTTGTGTAGACATAACTCATATTAGATCTTTGTGTTATTTTGTGTAGACAAAACTCATGCTAGATCTTTGTTATATTTTGTGTAGACATAACTCATATTAGATCTTTGTCATGTAGACATATCTCATACTAGATCTTTGTTGTGTAGACATAACTCATACTAGATCTTTGTTGTGTAGACATAACTCATACAAGATCTTTGTAGTGTAGACATAACTCATACTAGATCTTTGTTGTGTAGACATAACTCATACTAGATCTTTGTTGTGTAGACATAACACATACTAGATCTTTGTCGTGTAGACATAACTCATACTAAATCTTTGTTATATTTTGTGTAGACATAACTCATACTAGATCTTTGACGTGTAGACATAACTCATTCTAGATCTTTGTTGTGTAGTCATAACTCATACTAGATCTTTGTTGTGTAGACATAACTCATACTAGATCTTTGTTATATTTTGTATAGACATAACTCATGCTAGATCTTAGTTATATTTTGTGTAGACATAAATCATACTAGATCTTTGTAGTGTAGACATTACTCATACTAGATCTTTGTTATATTTTGTGTAGACATAACTCATACTAGATCTTTGTAGTGTAGACATTACTCATACTAGATCTTTGTTATATTTTGTGTAGACATAACTCATATTAGATCTTTGTTGTGTAGACATAACTCATATTAGATCTTTGTTATATTTTGTGTGGACATAACTCATGCTAGATCTTTGTTATATTTTGTGTAGACATAACTCATACTAGATCTTGTTGTGTAGACATAACTCATTCTAGATCTTTGTTGTGTAGACATAACTCATACTAGATCTTTGTTATATATTGTGTAGACATAACTCATACTAGATCTTTGTTGTGTAGACATAATTCATGCTAGATCTTTGTTATATTTTGTGTAGACATAACTCATGCTTGATCTTTGTTATATTTTGTATAGCCATAACTCATATTAGATCTTTGTTGTGTAGACATAGCTCATATTAGATCTTTGTTATATTTTGTGTGGACATAACTCATGCTAGATCTTTGTTATATTTTGTGGAGACAATATTAGATCTTTGTTATATTTTGTGTAGACATAAATGATACTAGATCTTTGTTGTGTAGACATAACTCATACTAGATCTTTGTTGTGTAGACATAACTCATACTTAATCTTTGTTGTGTAGACATAACTCATACTAGATCTTTGTTGTGTAGACATAACTCATGCTAGATCTTTGTTATATTTTGTGTAGACAATATTAGATCTTTGTTATATTTTGTGTAGACATAACTGATACTAGATCTTTGTTGTGTAGACATAACTCATACTAGATCTTTGTTATATTTCGTGTAGACATAACTCATACTAGATCTTTGTTGTGTAGACATAACTCATACTAAATCTTTGTTATATTTCGTGTAGACATAACTCATACTAGATCTTTGTTATATTTTGTGTAGACTGGTGAGAAGATCCATGCTGTCCAGGAACACTCAAAACAGATCAATGATATCCGGTACTCCAAAGACATGTCCATGCTAATCACAGCTTCTAAAGACACAACAGCCAAGGTACTGTCAGGGTTAAGTGCTCTATAAAGTTACCTAATCCTGTCAGAATTTGACTAAATCCAGTGTTTACATGGAAATTTCTTTTTCATAGGTAGAGGTGTACAGTAGAAATGGTCCGACTCTGATAAACAAGGCACATGTCGAGGAAATGTAAACACAGCGGATTTACCCTACACAATACATGTGTACATGTATATATATTTGTAAACTGCATTACATTTACAATACATATAAAGTACTGAGAAGTGTATAAACCTCTTTTTCCTTTGTATGTCAATTGTGTGAAAACCATGGTTACCACATCAAAAATGATCAAAAAATGCCAAAAATTGATATTTTTGACCCAAAATTTGACCCCCGCAACTAGTAATTTTTTTCCTAAGTTCTGTCTGAAATTAAAGATTACCTACCTGGTTGCAGAATTATCTTGGTCCCAGTAAAGTTGTAAAACTTGATTTTTTGCAATTTTGCGTCGTGTGCTGTTGTCAAAATTTTACCTCCTGTAAAGCTAGCTTTTCATGTGTAGACACCCTTTCGGATTATGGCCAAAATTTTATTCTCGAACCAAAAAAAACTTCTTCTTTTTTTACAAATGTGAAGCTCACATAGCCCACTTCATCATGCTTATACCAATTTTAGTACAGTTGTATTTTTATAATTTTTTTACATATCATTATACAGGGGTAAGCCATTTAACAAAAATATCACCCATGGCCACAACCCTCTACTGTATACTGCTACCATAGCTGTGCTGACTCAGTTACATGTGAACTGAAAAATTTGTTGATCCGTTTTCACATAAATTTATATTGGTTTATTGTCTTACCTAGAATGTATTGAATAAATTCAAAGATTTAGCATCCTGTGTTTTCTTTTCTTGTGTCAGCTCTTTGATACTACGTCCCTGCGTCACATGAAGACATACAAGACCGAGAGGCCAGTCAACTCTGCAGCCATTTCTCCTATCAGAGACCATGTAAGCTATTCTCAATAAAGTTTCAACATATTTAGTGATCTTTTCATGGTTTAGTCTTTGGTTCACAAAACAGAAGAGTTCTTCTCATTTCATGTTGAGCTGATTTTATGAAGTATAAATGTATCCTAATGAAATTATTGTTTGTATAACACACGACAAAAAACTGTTTCTACCATGAACTATTCATCATGTTCGGGTTGATAACTTCCCACTTCCCAATGACAGGTGGTACTTGGAGGAGGACAAGAGGCTATGGAAGTCACTACAACTTCATCCAGGGTTGGCAAGTTTGACGCTCGCTTCTATCACCTTGTCTTCGAGGAGGAATTTGGCAGGGTCAAAGGCCACTTTGGTCCTATTAACTGTTTATCATTTCACCCGGATGGAAAAAGGTATATACACATCTTGGCATTCTTATAAGGAAATTTAGTCACACTATGCATATTGGGTAAGTTAGGAAATATAAATTGTTTAATCTTATGTCTTTAAATCATATGAATCCACGTATAGAAAGAATGTACGGTATTATCTTCCCTTTGTGTGCTACAATGTATGTGCTGTGTGTTATCTCTATGTACTTATTTTTATACCCATTCATTGTAGGTTTTATCTCCCTTTATTGTAATATTTATACTGGTCCTTTTTCTATGTTGTTGCATGGAAGTTATCTCCCTTTATCGTAGGATTAAATTGTAAATTAACTCCCTTTACTGCATGTGTTATCGCCCCTAATTCTATTCTTATCTCCTTTACAGCTATAGCAGTGGAGCAGAAGACGGATATGTACGAGTTCATCAATTTGATCCCAGCTACTTTGAGTTCAGATTTGACTATTAACCTCTGTGGAACGTAAACGCCTGAAAATTGACAGTCTATTTATATTAAACAAAGTGCTCCAGCAACTAAAACGAACAGAAAAGGTCTGCCATGCCTAAATTTCACCACAAGGGACATTTAATTTTGAATATGGATCATGTCTTTCTCCTTGAGATCCAGGTCCAAGGAAGTCATTATGATTATTGGATCAAGAATAAATTTTACATCTGGATGGAATGTCTTATCTTTATTATCACAATGTTACATTTGCATTGAAATGTATTTTCTGGATACCGGGGCCTTTTCGTTTATGCAGAACAACTGGTTTGTCTGTTTTTAAATGTAACATTTTTGGGTATAAATCTTGGCGGACCTGCAAATGTTTATGCAGGCCTAGCAAGATTTTGTCACGGCTCGTCTGAGGGCAATACAGATTACTAGGTCGGACCTTTTTTATAAACGAACAACTCTGGTCCAACCGGTAAAACCATTTGGATCGCGATAAACAAAAGGACCCTAGTGAGGTATGGACAGTGCATGTATTTAACGTGTTTACTTTGCTCAAAGTCTTAAGAAATTCTTTTATCTTCTATTTCGGTAACTTTGTGTCCTTTGTAAAAAGAGAAGTCTATCATTCTACATTGGTAAATAATAATTAGGACTGCAACGATCAAAAACCTTCAGAATTGTCCATACGTTATTTGTTAAGTAAAATTCAGAGATAAGTACCAGAATATTATATACAGCTCATGTCACCATGCCTAAAATAAACCGGTAAATGATTAACGTCTGCCACTAATTGGGGCTGCCACTATCAAACACCTTCAGTCGCTTCCATACACTATTAAGTACAATTCAGAAATAGGTACCGGAATATTATTTACAGCTCATGTCACTCAGTCATGATTATGTGAAAAATACAGGTCAAAGCACTGTTAAATTTGTTGTTTTGAGAATATGTTGCTTCACTTTCTAAGAAAACCATGCCACTTAATAATTCAGAATAAAAATTTCAATAAAATATTTTTCTAAAAGCAGGATTTACATATAGTACCAGAGTATGTACTATTGGTTTCAGATGATCAGGAAGGATAGGGTAATTACATATAGTTCCAATATGTTGGTTTGTGTGGGGTTTTATATCCTCATAACAGCTTAGATCAGAATGAGGATGGGTGCCTTAGGGGGATACCACTGAAAAGAAGGCGAAGGGAAGTGACAAAATATGTAGATCTCAAGTGTGGCAGTTGAAGCTGCAGATCAATTTAAGTTTGAAGACACATTAGATAACTGTGTTGTACTGCAGGGCCCCCACATTATTTGCCTCTTGTGACAATTTAAGTTTGAAGACACATTAGATAACTGTCTTGTACTGCAGGGCCCCCACGTTATTTGCCTCTTGTGACACATAAGATAACTGTCTTGTACTGCAGGGCCCCCACATTATTTGCCTCTTGTGACACATTAGATAACTGTCTTGTACTGCAGGGCCCCCACATTATTTGCCTCTTGTGACACATTAGATAACTGTCTTGTACTGCAGGGCCCCCACATTATTTGCCTCTTGTGACACATTAGATAACTGTCTTGTACTGCAGGGCCCCCACATTATTTGCCTCTTGTGACACATTAGATAACTGTCTTGTACTGCAGGGCCCCCACATTATTTGCCTCTTGTGACACATTAGATAACTGTCTTGTACTGCAGGGCCCCCACATTATTTGCCTCTTGTGACACATTAGATAACTGTCTTGTACTGCAGGGCCCCCACATTATTTGCCTCTTGTGACACATTAGATAACTGTCTTGTACTGCAGGGCCCCCACATTATTTGCCTCTTGTGACACATTAGATAACTGTCTTGTACTGCAGGGCCCCCACATTATTTGCCTCTTGTGACACATTAGATAACTGTCTTGTACTGCAGGGCCCCCACATTATTTGCCTCTTGTGACACATTAGATAACTGTCTTGTACTGCAGGGCCCCCACATTATTTGCCTCTTGTGACACATTAGATAACTGTCTTGTACTGCAGGGCCCCCACATTATTTGCCTCTTGTGACACATTAGATAACTGTCTTGTACTGCAGGGCCCCCACATTATTTGCCTCTTGTGACACATTAGATAACTGTCTTGTACTGCAGGGCCCCCACATTATTTGCCTCTTGTGACACATTAGATAACTGTCTTGTACTGCAGGGCCCCCACATTATTTGCCTCTTGTGACACATTAGATAACTGTCTTGTACTGCAGGGCCCCCACATTATTTGCCTCTTGTGACACATTAGATAACTGTCTTGTACTGCAGGGCCCCCACATTATTTGCCTCTTGTGACACATTAGATAACTGTCTTGTACTGCAGGGCCCCCACATTATTTGCCTCTTGTGACACATTAGATAACTGTCTTGTACTGCAGGGCCCCCACATTATTTGCCTCTTGTGACACATTAGATAACTGTCTTGTACTGCAGGGCCCCCACATTATTTGCCTCTTGTGACACATTAGATAACTGTCTTGTACTGCAGGGCCCCCACATTATTTGCCTCTTGTGACACATTAGATAACTGTCTTGTACTGCAGGGCCCCCACATTATTTGCCTCTTGTGACACATTAGATAACTGTCTTGTACTGCAGGGCCCCCACATTATTTGCCTCTTGTGACACATTAGATAACTGTCTTGTACTGCAGGGCCCCCACATTATTTGCCTCTTGTGACACATTAGATAACTGTCTTGTACTGCAGGGCCCCCACATTATTTGCCTCTTGTGACACATTAGATAACTGTCTTGTACTGCAGGGCCCCCACATTATTTGCCTCTTGTGACACATTAGATAACTGTCTTGTACTGCAGGGCCCCCACATTATTTGCCTCTTGTGACACATTAGATAACTGTCTTGTACTGCAGGGCCCCCACATTATTTGCCTCTTGTGACACATTAGATAACTGTCTTGTACTGCAGGGCCCCCACATTATTTGCCTCTTGTGACACATTAGATAACTGTCTTGTACTGCAGGGCCCCCACATTATTTGCCTCTTGTGACACATTAGATAACTGTCTTGTACTGCAGGGCCCCCACATTATTTGCCTCTTGTGACACATTAGATAACTGTCTTGTACTGCAGGGCCCCCACATTAGTCGCCTCTTGTGACACATTAGATAACTGTCTTGTACTGCAGGGCCCCCACATTATTTGCCTCTTGTGACGCATTAGATAACTGTCTTGTACTGCAGGGCCCCCACATTAGTCGCCTCTTGTGACACATTAGATAAGTGTCTTGTACTGCAGGGCCCTCACATTAGTCGCCTTTTGTGACACATTAGATAACTGTCCTGTACTGCAGGGGCCCCGCATTAGTCGCCTCTTGTGACAATTTGCAGTGGGATACAGCTGGACTATTCCTCCTTGTAAACTATATGGATGTAATATTTTATAACCAGATAATTAAGTGTGAGTATTTTGTGAAGATAACTTATACCTGTCTGACAATGCAATTACACAAGACAATGTGGTAGATCTATTTTATTAAGTAGTACATGCAAAACAGTAGGTCTATTTCATTTGCAGTACATACACTTAAAACAGTAGGGTTTATTTCATTTGCAGTACACACAAAGAAGGAGATCTATTTCATTTTGTGCATACAAAACAGCAGTAGGTGTATGTATACAAAGTGGTAGATCTATTTCAGTTATAGGAAATAAATAGATCTTTTTAATTTTAACACAACTTTACAACTGTTACTATATAATATCAGAAACACATAAAGTTATCACATAAAGTAGTTTTACAATGTGTACCAGAATGTTAAATTGTTTAACAATGTGTAACAGTATGTTTACTGTCACGTTTGAAATCTCACCACACTTTACCTCAGATCACATCCATTATCACTCTTCCATAAAAAACAGTCATAATTTTTTCTTGAATTTCAGAAAACACGAATGTTTTAAAACGCTCTCTACAGTAATTGTCCTTATTCATAATCAAGTAAATGTGAAACCTTGTGTAGATTTCCAGTTAGCTTTGTCAGGTTAACTGTAATATTTATACTTTCAGTTTGTACTTATTGAAGAATTGCAAAATATTTTAAAACCACATCAATTTCACTTCCAACTCTACTTTAAATATTGATGTGTTTAAGATGCATTGCTAACAATTTCATAAAAATAAATATATTACCAGTATAAACACATCACAGCAACATTGTATCTGTATTGCAGCAAAACAAGGAACATCTCTAGTCAAAGATATTTTAGACTATTGCCCTCAGAGACATGCTGAACAAATTGATGAGAATTAAAGAGCTCATAGAAAGGATCGTCTCCAGTGAGGTTGAATCACTTAATTGAAATTAGTAGTCAAAACAACCTTTGGGGAACATTCCTTTTGAAATTCAATCCAGCTTGCCAGAACCTGAAATTAATATGTGATTGGTCCTTTAAAGCACAAGCCTTTAAAAACAATGACAATTTTGAAAACAAGTAACAAGAAAATGTTTCAATAACTGAAATATTATTAAACTCAACCAATCAAATTTTCTCATACAGGTGTTTTTTTTACAAAATAATGAAGTCCGTATTGCAATGTTTATCACAGAAAGTTTAGACCACACAACAAGTATTTTGTCTGTTGGAGGAAGACAGTGTCTGATCCATCAGGACTTGGAGGCGCTACTCCGGCTCCTACTTGACCCTGTTGACTTCTTGCCGTCTTCCTTAGGACTTTTAGGTTTCCTCACTGGAGTCACTGTTGGTGTCTTCGGCTTCGTGTTGAATCTCGGAGGCTGGCCTGTAAAATAGATACCAAATATATGTCTATACTAATATTGCAGTGAATGAAATGGACAAATGACTGGTTCTCACAGGAAAATATTGCACCTGTAGAAATTGAGTAAACATGAAAGCAAAGATATCTAATAAACTGGGCCAGAAAAAAAACCCAGTGGTTACAAATAGTAACTCGGTCTTTGATGATTAGTTTCAGTCTTTTTTGAATGTGAAAAAAAGGAAATGCAAGAATGGTCTTATATATACTGTATTCTTTTAAATACTTTCAACATAATTTGACAGATGCCGTTTTGAATAAACGAGATTTTACAGCACAGTTATCTCCCTCTTAACATTCCAAGGGAGATAATTGTTACATACACTGGTTTAATGTGTAAAGTAGCATTTTATCAGCATCTAAAATTGGTGCATGACTTCTGGGGAACAAGGGATAGTGAGGCCCCTGTGGTTGGTGGACAACTGCTGAAGGTGCCCATGCGTACTCTGTTCTGGAGCATCATAACTAGAGGAGGTAAGTACAAGTCGTCTCTATACAACAGCTGTTTGTCTCACAGGAACCTGGATTGCTGTTTATATCATATTCATCCTAGTATCATATCAGTTAGTTTTAATCTCTGAAAGTTCAGCTTTGTCCAATATTGAGGACCATGATACCCGGTCTGGGCTTGTAACCAGTAAAACACAGGGTCATAATTAGTTAACCACGACTAAGCTGTTCGATATCAAACCTGTGGCTACAGGCAATATATTGTACCAGTTATTGGTCTAAAATGTTCAGTGAAACAGGTTTCTGGTAACATTACAAATTTGAGTGTCTGGATTCACTTGACGAAAACAATTTAATAGATTGAGTAAAATAAAGGATGTTTCTGTCTATCTGTTATAAAATTTAGAAGAGGTTTCTCCCCCTAACTATAGCATGTCTGACACTTGTCTAAATAAAAAGCTGCACAACAAAAATAAATTAAAATCATTAATGGGGTGACTTTAATTAGACATGCTTTGCAATGAAATGTTGTGTAACATAATAGTTCATGCAATAATTTATTAACCTACATATTGATGGCATGTATATATTATTACAGTATTTCTCTGACTGACATGCATTATACAAGTATTATAGCGACCTGGAGTCCTGTTGTTGGATGAATCGATCCCCCATTGTATATGTGAATTTTTCACTTATCAGGAAGTCTGCACATCAATATTATGCTATTTGTATTCATCAATTGTTGATTAAAAAAAAATCAAAAAATCACTGCATATCACATGGCAAACAAATTCAGTAAATAAGCTGTCAAACTTCACACCAAAACACCAACTTATCCATATTAACATTTTCAGGCCATAACTTTTTTCTAATTGACTTATTAAGACTGGAATTTGATGGATTTCTGACAACCTGATTGAAAGACCAATCTTTGTTATACACTACATTAATGTAAAACATGCTGTTATACCCTAAATCAATGCAAGCCTATACTGCATAAAAATGACAAAGACAGGACTTCCCAAAATTTAAAATATAAAGACTTAAAAAAGACTTATACTTTAAATATACAATGCTTTTCAAATCACAAGATCTGTTCATTTTGTAACTGTTGCCCTGTAGGCAGAATTAATAATATATAACCTTCATTTCTGGCTTTCAAGCTAATAACATCTGATTTATAGATTTGTCAATACTTACTTGTTTTTACCACAAAGCACTTGCTCTAAAGCCATTCACAATTTTATTCTTAATGTAATTTGTAGATTTTATGTTATTTTGTAAGAACAATTTTGTGAATTTCCCAGACAAAATTTGATTAGGGTTTCAGTCAACAGATGTTCTGCTCTTATGCTCTGAACTCTGGTATTGTACTTTGACTATTGATGTTTATTATCATCAGGCTCTGTATTTAAATGTCCTAGACCCCTGATGTGAGTTCAGACTAACGACACAAACTGTTAATCACTCTTAAACATACTTTCCTGGAATATCAATATTGTTAACCTGAAAATGTACCAGTTAGAAATAGATATGTTTATATACATATTTATAAAAACATACAGAATATGAATTTATACAATATATCCCCAACAGTTTGTTAGACATTTGTAAGGACTTAATTACACAAACAATAAGCTGTTTAACATGTGTATGGTTGTAAATGACAGCCCTGGCCAACATTGACCCAGAAACAAACAAGTGCATTGGCTTCTATTGTAGCAAAATAAAACAGCCACATGTTTTGTATAAATGGTTGTGAGGTTGCTCGGATACTTACATGTTCTCATCATCTACAAGTGGGTCTTAAAGCAAATCATTATCACCAAACATTATATCATTATGATAGTCATTTTGATGGATTATATTTTTATTAAATTATTTATATTGTCCCCTAAATGACCCTTTTCTATAATCTGTACAAAATCATCAATAAATTGCTTGACAGGAAAGGAACAATAAAACAAAGTGGCTAATCAGAATTTGTACCTGGGACTCTAGTGAAATTTAAATGGATGCTCTCCCTATAAAGCTGTCTGATTAGTTCTCTTCTGTTTCTTACACACATAGTATTTGTTTGAATTTTACCTTACCTGGTCTAAATTAGAACCAAGATGCATGTATACTGTACTTTAGCATATGTCTACATCCATCAACAATTTCTTTAAACAACTTCTTCTTCATTGAAAATTTGACAGGAAACATTCTTAGATGTTGAGGATTCAAAACTATATAAATGGAAGAGCTGAGGGAATGGGTCTTAATTGGGTAATGTAGCTTCTTTGCTTTAAGCCACATTGTCGAACTGTATGATGGATATCAATCAAATTTGGTTAAAAAAAAGTTCTCAAGTGGTGATGATTCAAAATGTACAATCTGGAGGACTGACATGCTAGGGAGCTGAAGGGCACGATACAAAAGTAACTGTTTGCTTAGCATAAAGACAGATGAACACAATCAGACCAACAGGATTTGCCCTGGATCCCACCTGTGCCCCTTGGGACTCAGTCCCTGGATTATGACATGGAAACAGTTGAGAGACCAGGCCCATGATATATTCAGGAAGAGACAAACACAACCATTTGTCCATGCTATCAGGATTGGAACTAGGGTCTGGTCCACCCCTGGGGACCTGTTTTCCTTTGGTCATAATTTGGCAAAAACAGTTAGGATCTCCAGAACTATAGCTATGTTCTTGGTAAGCATGAAAAAACAAACAAACATGTTTTCAATATGAGTATCAGAGTCTGGTCTTAGGATCATAACATGGAAAGATAAAAATCCCCAACCAATGACCACAGATCACAACCAAATTTCTTATGAAGCATTATTGTTCCATGGAACTTTCCATGGGCCATGGGAAACAATAGGAAAATTGAAGCAATCAAATTTACTTGAAACATCCTTGGGAACAGGGAATCAACTGTTGTATGATGAAGAAATGTTGTCACCCTGGGTATTGAAAGGCAAAGCCAAAAAAAGGGGGGAAAAGGGGAAGTATTTGCAATATTGCTATGAACGAATATTTTGCAATGATTGCCTAAAGATTAAATATCCAGGTGAGCAATACAGGGTCAATGGGTCCCTTTTATATTATTGCTGATGTCATTTTAACATAGTTTTCCTGATAATTAGTTGCTTTTACCTGATAAGGACATTCAGGGACATTTTGAGAAATTTTGACGATGAAATTGTTATGGATCAAAATAAAAGGTTGGCTTTTCAGATATACTTTGGAAATGAAAGGAAGGAATTATCTGTCAAGGCAATACAGTAGTTAGTTGGGAATTAAAATAGAAACTGATTGGTTCTCTATGACTTAACCCTTTCACCACTGTAGACCATAATGGACTCATCCATATCAATGTATGGTAGAGCCTACTAAAGTTACATAGGGGTGAAAGGGTTAAACAGCCATAAAACATTTCAAAAGATTATACAGAGTTCTATACCTTTAATGTATGCATGTTTGAGGTTGGAAACTAGAAGACAGTAAATATGGATAAATGTACATTAAAAATTAGAGAGACAAAATGGATATTTTTTAGAGGAAATCTGTACTAAACAGAAATATTTCTTTTATGCATTTGTTTCTGCAAAGGCTGGAATTTCCAAACTTACCCATGTTAGGGGGGCGAGGGATGCTTGTCTTCTCCAGTTTAAGCTCCAGACTCTCCTTCATGTCTGTAACGTTGCCTTTAATCTTTTCCACCATAGCACTGGTGTGTGCTTGTAACACCTCTCGAATTATCTCCCCTACTTTCTATAAAAAATAAAATTTTGATTTAAAAACAAAATTTCTCATGAAAGACACAATACTTTAAGTATCATAACAATTGAATATAATTTATCACCATCATTCCTTTATAAATAGAAATATACAGTGTTTATGTCGAACAAATGAACAAAACAGTTCAGTTTTAGTTTGATATAAATTATTGCTCAAGTCTGTTAAAGCTCCCGATAAACAAACCCACTATTTACACCTACTTCTTTATTTAACGGCTGTTGTTGCTGAGTATCTGTGACTGTCTTTATGATCTGTTCCTTCTGTTGAATGGCTTCTGCGGCTTGTTTCTCTCGTTTGGCGACCCTCTGTTCAGCACAATCCCTCTCCTTCTGTTCTACTGCCTCATATTTCTGGTTATATTCCCAGATGCGTTTCTCTTTTGCTGTCTTTAAGGCTTCTGAACATGATGATGGGGGAGTATGAATCTCTAACTGGACATTGGGTACCTCACTTTCACGATCATGTGTAAATACAAATTGGAATAGTCTGTAATGCCTCATGAATGTTAAAAACACATACTCTGCATAAACTTTGTAATTTCTTGAAGCTAGAACAAATCCCAAATCTTCTGATTTCTGTTTGAATAATTCCAAAGTATCTGGAAGACTTTTACCTGAAACAAAGGAAGTATAATTTTTGTAATAAAAACACAAGAAAATCATAGTTTGAAAGTGAATTAGGTCATATATAGATACGTCAGTTCAGCAACATCAATTAACCTACCAATAATCAGATAGAGAACATCAACTTATCTTAAATAGCTTAGGATTATATGACACTGTGAAAATGATGTCTAATTTTGACAAGGCTTTTTTACAAAGCTTTTTTATAACATTTTTATAAGGTTTACATATTGTTATAAAACGTGAAAGTGGACTTGTGAAGCTCACCTAATATATTCAGATCAAGAAACCTAATTCTAATACATGTACTGCGTCATTACACCTACTTAGCCATCGTTGCGTACCTATTGATTCCTGTAAGAGTTGCTCGGAGAATTCCACAGCAACACACACCTGGTCCCAAGAGAAGCCCTTTTCAACAGCAAACATGAGGCAATCATGTAGGAAATCCAAATGGATGTCTTGGCGCATGGCCAGCTCTGGGTTGAAAGGCTGCCATCCTAAATGTTTCAGGAGACACTGCTTTCCTTGTTCTTTCTGAAAGAAATATATGATACATGTTTTAAATTTTCTTTGCCCAGGAATGCTTCATAACTGTTACGTGTATATTGTACATGTAAAAGTCACTTCACTTTGGCTAGAGGGGTCTTAATTTTCCCTATCTGATGAGGATTTAAATCTTGATTTCCATTAGCTCTACATTTACATCTACAAAATATTGACCACCTTCATCAAGTTGAAGATTATGTCAAGGTGACAGTGAGAGGATGCTAACGCTAAGATGAGAAGGAAAGAATAATGAGGGAGAGATAGAATGATAGAGAAGAAATGGCTTAGTGGAGAGGGCAAATTGCAGATTTGAAAGCTTAAGTCCAGGAAATTGATGCTATGTTAGGTGACAAGGAGTTCCAGTCAATGATGGTTCTTGGAACGAAGGAGTATTTACATGCCTGTGTTCTACATTAGAGAGTTTGATATGTATTTTGGTGTGCATGTCTTGTAAGGTGGGGTGGAGAGAGTTTGATATGTATTTTGGTGTGCATGTCTTGTAATGCGGGTTTGAGGGACAAGGAGATGTTTTCTGATGTTGACTTTATTGTATGTTATTTTGTGTAGTGTTTAGCCACATATAATAACTTTCCTTCTATGTTCAAGGGAATGCCAGTTTAGGTGTTCTATCATGTCACTAACACTGGAGGTGTTTCTGTGTTTGTTGGTTGCTCTTCTTTGTACCATTTTTATATGCCCGTCAAATTTGACGGAAGTATTATGGTATAGATTTTTCTTAACGATCTCTTCGAAACTTGGTATACATTATAATCATGATATGAAGTTGTGTCTCCCTTAAAAGAATTTTGATTCTACAATTTTTCCAAAAGTTATTGCCCTTTGTTCATTTCAGTATTTGATTTTTTGTCCGGAGATCCCCTCCTACATTTTGATGGATTTCTTTGAAACTTAGTAGGCTAAAAAATCATGATATGTTGTATTTTCTTGAAAAAAAATTTGATTCAACAATTTTTGCAAAAGTTATTGCCCTTTGTTTATTTCAGTGTTTGATTTGTCCGGCAATCTCCTCCTACATTTTTCAACGGATCTCTTTGAAACTTGGTAGACATTATAATCATGATATGAAGTTGTGTCTCCCTTAAAAGAATTTTGATTCGACGATTTTTGCAAAAGTACTTGATTTTTCTGTCCGGGGATTTTCTCCTACATTTTTTATAGCATGTCAGCTAACCACTCTTAGAATGATGCAGATCTTTTTTCAATGTAAGAAAGTATATAACACTATATGGCATTCGACGGGCATATATTGTTCCGCCCCGCGGTACTCTTGTTATATTGTTTTATTTGTTTATGTCTGTCTTGTTGTTAGGGTCCTTAACTGAGCAGGCATATTCTAGAGATGGTCTTCCTAGGGTTTTATATGCCTGCTCCTTGACAGAACTTGAAGCGATCTTAAGTTTCCTATGGAGAGCCCAGAGTGGAATTGGCTTTTTCACATTTATGTTTGATATGTGGGATTCCCATTTCAGGTTCGACTGTATAGTGACACTTAGGTATTTAGCTTTGTCTACATATTGAAACCCCATTTTGTGTAGTAAGTAAGTATGATGTTGGACCTGTTTGTTGTTTTTAATGGAGAGTATGTTACATTTGTTTGGGTGGAATGACATTTCCCAAAGACTTTTCCCATCCAGGTCTTCTTGAAGACGAAGAGCATCAGAAGGGCATGTAATAACTATAGATACAAAATGATGTCATCTGCGAAAAGGCGTACAGTGGATTTTAAACCAACAGGGATGTCATTCATTTAGAATAGGAAGAGAGATGGACCTAAAACTGAGCCCTGAAGGACTCCAGACTTAACTTCGACGTATACAGATCTTTCCCCCCGACAATCACAGACTGTTTTCTATTACTCAGGAAGTTCTCAATCCAGTCCGTATTTACCTTCTCAATGATTCAATAATACCTAGCTTAGCTTATGACAGAGGAGAGAATGACTCACCTTGTCAAAAGCTTTCAAAAAGTTCATTATGTGGACATCAGTTTGCTTCCATATATCTATGTTATTAGTGACATCATCAATAAATTCACGTAATTGGGTTTCACATGACAGAAACCTGCAGAAGCCATGCTGGAGCAGGGTCATGATGTTATTTTGGTCTGTGTTGTTCATGATGTTACTATATATATAGCTAACCACTATAATTATGCTCTAGTAGCTTGCTACATATACAGGTAAGTGAAACCGGTCTATAGTTTCAGGGTTTATCTTAGATCCTTTTTTGTAAAAAAGAGAAACATGGGCTAATTTAACCTCCAGTCATTGGGAACAGAGCCAGAGTGAATAGATCGGTTAAATATAGAGAGAATTGGAGCAATTTCTGGTGGAAGATGCCTAAAGCTCAGTGGTTCGATGTGAGACAAAGTTATTATCTAAGATCCTGCTTTTAACTGCATATCACAATAATAATTTGATAATTTCACATAGAATATATTTGCACACAATTTTAATACAATTAATACTGGATAAATATATACAAGTATAACTTCACTTGGAAAAGTGTATAAAATATCCATTGAACTAAACAACTTTTTATGCTCAACAAGAATAAAGATTTTCTACTTAAAATGGCAATACCATGTATTAATGTAGATCTATATTTATGTATTAGAACATGTATATAAAAATAGAAATCCAAACTGCATCTAAATTTTTTGACATGAAATATTATCACATATTGCATTTCCAGTTATCGAAAAATTATATTTTGTTATTGGGATTAATTTATTGCTTTTAAATTGGTCATTGTCTCTTGTTAATTGTACCATTGATTTACAGACGCAGTATACATGCATGGGTCCATCTGGCATGATAATAAGAGCGTAGCAAACAGCTGCAACCTTTTGGCAACCTTTTCTGGCAAATTGATTTGTTTGCTGCAAACTCTATCTTTTTATTTCTGTACGGGTAGCTCTACATTTACATCTACAAAATATTGACCACCATCATCAAGTTGAAGATTATGTCAAGGTGACAGTGAGAGGATGCTAACGCTAAGACGAGAAGGAAAGAAAAAGAGATAGAAAGATAGAGAAGAAATGGCTTAAAAGCGCCCAAGCGAAGCTCTTCAATGGTAACACATGCATGCATAAACAGAGTTGCTTCCCCTTTCTACACCTTGTCTTTATGGGTTTTTTCAACCGGAAGTAGACGTCCAGTGGGGAAACAGGAAGTCAAAGTGTAACCTTGAAGCAAAGACAATTGTGTTTCAACCCATACATGGACATCTTCATATAGTGAAAACAATACCCATGTTTTATTACTTATTTATTTAGGTAAAAACTAATATACATTCTGAGTGAAAAAAATCTATCGCATAAATTTTGATACTAGCAGACATGAAACGTCGTTCAGAGATTATCATACTATGATGTCACAAGCACGTCACACTCCATCGGCCTTCATTGGTTATTTCCGGAAGGATGAAAAATAACCAGAAAATCTTGGAACTGATAGCCGTTGCATTTATCTTTTTGTCGGTGCTTCATGACTTTTTAATTTCAGTTCTTGCCACAGACACAAAAAATAAAAAAAGTGGGTTCGTAATCTCCTAAACGGTAGCAGATATGATCACAGTCTATATTGTACAATATAGGACATGGAATGAAGGTGTTATTGCAACATTTTCAAGTGGGTCAAAAATCCAATATGGCCGCCATGACGTCATACATATGTACCTCAAAATCTTAAAATGGCCATTTCTCAAAAACGGTTTAATTTACAGAATTGACGCAATTATATTATATGTAGATAAACTTAGGGGCTAACTTTTATTTCGTCGTGTTATTTCATTTTAAGGTCAAATAAAAAAGCTCGCTGTTGGGTCAAAGGTCACAATTTTTAAAAAACATTCATTTTTCATTGTTTTCTACAGATCGATGGAGGATGTCATTCCGATGAAGTTGATGTCTAAAGTTTTTCTGTAACATTTTCCGTTAAGGTTGTATGCCATTTTGAAATATTTCCTTTGATCTTTTAAAAATATCGCAATATTTTAAATCTTGTTTTACTCCAATATGACAAATATTTCGTTTAGTTGTTATGGAAAAGATTTCCCCAGACGTCCTCTAACATTTGGTAACATTTTCAACTTCATCAAGAAAACAAAATGGCCGCCATGACGACATAGGGTAAAATCTTTAAAACCACTATAACTCGAAACCCGTTGATTGTACAAAATTTGTGAAAGTAAATTATTTGTAGATAATTTCCGTATCTAACTTTTTCTAACAGATTGATAAATAATGTCATTCCGATGAATTCGATGTCTTTAGTTTTTCTGTTACATTTACCGTTAAAGTTGTACGCCATTTTGAATATTTCCTTTGATCTTTTAAAATGCTGACAATATGTTAACACTTCAGCGATCTTCTTCTCCAATTCTGCCATTGCAATATTAACCACAATTGGTAAATGTATTCCTCTAGGGGCCCTTACGAACTTATGTTACTTTTTGGAGCCATTAATATTCCAAGATGGCCGCCACAAACTCTGATTGGTTAACAGCCTATACCATAATATTTCGTTAACGATATCTAGCACGAGGTTGATCTTTGGATATCATATAGAGATAGTCAAGGGCAAATTTTTTCTTTCATATTGTTTTTACAAAAAATGTCAACTTCCGGTTTCCGGCAGGGGTCAAAGTTAAAAGGCACTATATTTGGTACCAACCTTAAAAAAAAATCTTCTTATATTAAAGATTCTGAGATGTCGGGGTATCAGGTTTGAAAAAATGGTTGACATTGATCAACTATCAAGGTCACAATCAAGGTCACAAACTTCATATGTGCTATTTTAAGATAATGACTTCAAAAACCTTCTTCTAAATTTTTAGCAGGTCTAGAGTCCTACTATTTGATACATAACATGGTCAGGTGATTGACTATCAAGTTTGAAAAAATGATTGACCTTGAATGACTTTCAAGGTCACAGAGGTCATATGTGTAAAAATATTGAAACCACTTTTTCTGAATAACCAATATCTCCAGGGTAACGATGTTTGGCAAAGAAGCATGCTTGAATGAAGGGCTTTAAAGTGTGTGCAAATGAACGACCTTGACCTACTCCAAATATAATTTCAAAGGGGGAAAGTTGAAAACCGTTTTCATTTTTGTGCGATTGTGAAGTGCTTTCAGTGATCTCAGTACTTTGATTTATAACAAGACATCTAATACACGCTGGTAATACTACATCGATTACTACGCACTCCCAATCTTAAAAATATGGACAGTTTACATCTCTATTGCATTGGGTAAACATCAGCCTTTCTTTGGCGTGGCAAACCCAACCGATATAGACACAGAGATAGTTTCAATTAATTGTCCTGATGTACATAGTGGACGGACTATATGAAAACATTTACAGACTACATTCGTAGTATACAACTAAGCCCATTGAATGCCTACATTAATCCATTCTTTCTCTGACATCATTTCGCACTCTGGGAATGCCCCACTACTTAGTCAGCTACTGTAGACTTGCACAGCTTATTATTAGAAGGCCAAATCAGTCCTTACAGTGAAAAGCCCGTCAAATTGTTAGCCAACAATTTCTAGTTTTATTTGGCATCATTACCTGTCAAACCTCAGTGACAGTTACAAAACTTGAAATTCAATCCAGTGTTCCAGGATGGAACAGGAATTCAGACAATATAATACATATCGATATAACGACAATTTTAGTTACATCAAAGTATTACAATGTTTTCTTTTTATAATTTCATTTTTTTAACTAACATCTCTATACACTTACTTTCATAAACTTATAGTCAAATATGTAATATGCACTTATTTCAATCATTCTTTTTGTGACCTGACGGAAACACATAGAGGATTTAATTTTTAATGTGGGAGGAAGCTGGAGTATCCAGAGAAAACCTGCGTGGTTGGGCAGGTAACCAGGATTGAATCCGGCCATCTTGGTGAAGACGAGAAGTCTATCCACTGCACCATCCGACCCATCACATACGTTATGATGGGTCAGGTGGCGCAGTGGATAGCGCGAAAAAAATCTACATACGGGAGACTGGGGCAAGTTCGGCCACCCCTGATATTTTTGTTTTTGAGCTAATATTTACAACTTAAAAGATCTTAGCAGTTTAGTTGACTAGGCATTCACACGAAAAATGGCGAGGAAAACGCTAATTTAAAATTACTAAACAGGAGAAAATCATGATCTCGCTTCTAGTTATGCGAACTTTCTGTAAAGGGAATTGCTATTTTTTTACGGTCAAACGTATGAGGCGCCGTTTTGGTATTTATTCACAAAATGTGATATCATTAAATCGATTTGATGATATCATTAGTTATTTTGTGATATCACAATTTCCAATTTATGATATCATTAAATTTGGCTTTTTTTATGATATCATAAATTTGAATACCAGGTATATGATATCATAAATTTGAATATATGATATCATAAATTTGAATATATGATATCATAAATTTGAATATATATCATAAATTTGAATACAGGTATATGATATCATTAAAAGAATTTGTGATATCATAAAATCGATTTCATGATATCATATATTCAAATTTATGATATCATTAATTTGATTTAATGCGATTTAATGATATCGTTAATTCGAATTTGTGATATCATTAAATATATTTTTCTAAGGACTGCTCCGCTCCCTCAGAAAGCGGATGTGGAATTAAAGAATGGTAATTCTGTTTGGACTGCCGTTCGCACCAATTTGACGAAGATGGATGGAGTGGTGGCCAATGCTCTATTTAGCATTGGACAATGAAATTGAAGATGAGTTTAGGCCTAACGTTAGCCGTTTATATCAGAGAACCGTAGATCTGTTCAGACCAAAACGGGATATGATCTATCGATATATTCGTTCTACATTATTCAGTTATTCTCGTCTCGGCAGCGTGGATCAGCACACCATTTAAGATAGACAATGCAACAAAACCAAGCGTTTAAATATACATCTTTGTTGTCCATAGACTAAAACTGAGATGGGGAAAACTCATTATTTCGTGCTAACAGTTTCTTATTTTATGATATCATTAAATCAGGCTTTTTTATGATATTATGAATTCGAATTTGTGATATCATTAAATCGATCTTATGATATTATTTATTCCATTTTATGATATCATAAAATCGATTTAATGATATCAAAAATTCGAATTCATGATATCATAAAATAGCCTGATTTAATGATATCATAAAATCTACTTAATGATATCACATTTTGTGAATAAATACCAAAACGGCGCCCCATACAAACGTGTAACACACTGACAGCTTCAAATGCTATACATAAAAAAACCTAGTTTTATTGTTATCCCTCGACTAGCCGACTTTAAATAAATTTTATCTTACCTCATTCTGAAAGCAGTATTATCTCATTCTGAATCAGTAAATATTATAGATCAACAAAAGCTTCGTCTTTTAAGGCTTTGCCTTTTCATATTAAATCAACTTTCACTTTCGACGTCCATAAACTAATGTGTGTCCAATCAACTGCCAGGAAATATATACCATCGAATCACTCATTTTTGTTTGTTTGCTAATACAGTTGAATTCTACCGATTGAATCGTTCGTATGATGTTTCTAACATACCGAAAGACTGGCGACGTGCTGTGCTGCAGTTGTTGATAAAGTCGTCGCCATTTTGTTGCTACCAAGCTTTAAACGTGATTCTCGTAAAATCTCGAACATGTTAATTTCTTTAATGCAAGGAACATTGAAATTTTACTTAATATATAGGTTTTATTTTTGTATACTGATTTTACATAAATGTATAACAAATTGAAATCGTGCTAATTAGTTGACAAATGACAAGAACCAGTTATTTACCGACCTATTGTAAAACGAAATCACGTGATTAGAAACGAGATTTGGCACCTGCTTCATGTGGATTACTTTCCTGTAACGATAGTAAACAACACGGATATGTCATCCCAGTACAAACCAGGTATATTACAAATGCAGATCGACACAGGCAACGTTTTAATCTGTTGGATTGCATGTATTTATAGAGTTTTAGTCTAAATTAACCAACATCATATTACCAATTAACAAAAATAGGCATGCCCGCGAAAAGATAATTCATGTTGGACTAAAGCTCCGATTCCCAATATACACCAGTGCGAGATATAATACACATCAGATTCATCAAGTATTTCTTAATGAGTGCATACAGTTTTATATATCCTTTGTCGATTGACATGCCTATGGTAAAGAGAGGGTGTATAATTAGTTTATAAAATACCTGAAAAATACTAGTTAGTGTGCATATATATGTTCTAATAGGTGTAAAATTATATGATGGTAGGTTGCAGATTTCACTGCTTTGAAAATATTTTTTTCCCAAGGTTTACAATAAAAAAGAATTGTTTTAGTTAAAAAATGTTAAAGAGAAAGAGCTGTATTTGTTCCAGTCTGTTGTGAATCAATTGACAGATTTTACAAGTATAATTTAAATTATAATAATTTAATAATTTTGTTAATTGACAACATATTAGGAGGATGACTTGAAGAGTAATGGCCGACGCTTACACTGTGGACTCCAAAGGGAGGGGCCCAGGGGAGGGGTCTGACACAACCTCCATCAATACGGTGGGGGAAAAGAAGCAGGTGCGGATAGCCAAGCCAAAATCACGCAAACTCAAACCTTTGTTTGAGTCAGATTCGCAGAGTATGGAGGAGGGAAGGAACCGTAAAGATCCTATACAGCACAGTCGTGCATCTTTGACTGCTCCAGCACAAGCAAAAATATGTTACTTCTACAAAGATGATGATTACACATTCCAATCATTGAAGGTAGCAGTCAGTGACCGTAAATATAAGAGACTTGATACTCTCTTTAGTGAATTATCAAAAAGGATGCCAGGGTTAAACTATGGTGTTCGCAGTGTTTTCACACCTAAAGGAAGAGATAAAGTTGAGAGTTTTGATCAACTGACGAACGATCAAAAATACATCTGCTCAACTCAGCGTCATACACTGAAAGGATTGGATATAAACAAAGTGGACAACCGGGAAATCTGGCATGCAACTCGACCTCCAAGTGGACGTAGGGCATACAACCGTTTGGTCAGGGACTCGCGGTTACGAGAGGGTCGATTTAGGAAAACAGGCAAACGAGACCCACAGATGGCATATGCTTATTATTCTTCTATGCCTAAAAAGGTGACAATTATGAGAAATGGGGACCCAACAAACCGTCATGTCATGATATTTAACAGAAGGACTGCCCAGACATTTGAACAAGTGCTCAACGATATTGGGGGAACAGTTAAATTTGCTGCTAGGCACCTTTACAACATTGAAGGAAAGGAGGTCAGTATTTATAGGATGTCCATAGACAGGAACTTTGTGAAAACATTGTCTATGTAGCAAACTTTTTCTTATGATTAGAAAATAAAAATAGTTCTATAGTTGGATTAGAGCTATTATCTGCTGTGGAACCACACATGTTAGTTTTGGTTTCCAGAAACAGTCCAGAATTTTAATCTTGACTTTGCAAACTGTTCATAAATTAAAAATTACCTTAAATTTACATAACATAAAGGATCAATAAAAAGTGTTTTAAGTTAGGCAACAGGGAATATCAGTTTCAAACTTTTCAGTATTTTTTTTATCTCCAAATGCACACGATTATGCTCAGATTACAAGATTCCACTGAAGTTACAAGATTATTTAAAAAACATGTTTCTGTCATTAAACTTTGCCTGTAATGGACCATAAAATTAGGGTATGGTAATTCTTAATTTTTCCAACTGTTTATTTACTGATGTCTTATTGATCGTAGGAGATTTGTAATAAAACCATTAACTACAACAGGTAAAGAGTTTACAACAGTTGATGACTGGCCCAGATATATTGATCGTAGGAGGGAAAGAACCTTTCCGAGCTATGGAGGGTGTCTCCTTCACACCACGCCAGTCCAGACTTGCATTATCTCGTGGGGGCCTCAGCACTGGAGGAGGGTCTGACATGATTGCGAGGAAAATGCAAGAACGACGAGAGAGATTAAAAAAAACTCGTAAGTTTACATTGGAATTTTATATCCGGCACATCAGTAGTATTCTAGGAGTAAAAGGTTAATTTGCTCTTGATGTATTGTGTGCTATAGATAATTTTAATTCAGGTAAAGTTTGGTAGATTGATATTCAGGTTGATTAGAATGAGACGTCCCTTTCTAAGGAGTGCAAAAGTACAGTCCCATATTTTGATAAAGCAGCAAAGGACTATTGTATGCATTGTTTACAGATATATATATATAACGTAGTCTGGAGTGCCTAAATGATGACATTCAATAAGTTGTGTCTATTTCTGCTGTAGTAAGACAGATATGCATTCGTTTTCATACTTTGGTAATTTATCATTAAAACAAGCTCACATTCTTGTTTTGTTTATTTGTTTTAAAATCAATATGCCAAGAAAAATTACATAAAACGATTTTCCATAAAAGTCCTGTTGTTATATATATCGATGAAATACTGAACCTATTAGATCTAATTGTTGGCATGCAGAAATGTAAATAAATGTAAATGGTTTAGATGGTAATTTAATGCCATGTTTATTCACATTTGTTTGACAAAAATTATGTAGGGTAGTGTTGAGAGCTAATGGAGGAAACTCCCATAGCATTGTGTCTGGTGTGGCTAACATAATACAAATGTACAGAACATATTGAATGAAAAAAAGATTAAAATCAAACAAACATAATTATATGTCATTTCACGTTTGGAAGTCAAAATTCTGCATATATCACATGTGTGCATTTTCTTTGCTGTATGGAACCCGCTTTAAACATATTCAATAGATGTTTAATGATTATACATTTACATCGTTGGATAAGGAGTGCTATTTGTAGCTGAAATTTATTAGAGGCTTGGTCAAGAAAATCTTCTATTAACATTAAAAGAAGAAAGAAAAAACCCACTTTGTAACAACAACTTAAGAATCCAGGATTACAAGACATTTGTACAAGTCCCTCTTTGTATAGATATATGAAATGACTATACCAGTTCAGCTGTACAAGTCCCTCTTTGTATAAATATATGAAATGACCGTACCAGTTCATCTGTACAAGTCCCTCTTTGTAGAGATACATGTGTATGAAATGACTATCCCAGTTCAGCTGTACAAGTCCCTCTTTGTAGAGATACATGTGTATGAAATGACTATACCAGTTTAGCTGTACAAGGCCCTCTTTGTATAGATACATGAATATGAAATGACTATACCAGTGCAGCTGTACAAGTCCATCTTTTTATATATACATGTATATTTGAAATGACTAGACCAGTTCAGCTGTACAAGTCCCTCTTTGAATAGATATATGAAACGACTATACCAGTTCAGCTGTACAAGTCCCTCTTTGTAGAGATACATGTGTATGAAATGACTATCCCAGTTTAGCTGTACAAGTCCCTCTTCGTATAGATACATGTATATGAAACGACTATACCAGTTCAGCTGTACCAGTCCATCTTTGTATAGATACATGTATCTGAAATGACTATACCAGTTCAGCTGTACAATTCCCTCTTTGTATAGATATATGAAATGACCATTCCAGTTCATCTGTACAAGTCCCTCTTTGAATAGATATATGAAATGACTATACTAGTTCAGCTGTACAAGTCCCTCTTTCTATAGATACATGTATATGAAACGACTATACCAGTTCAGCTGTACCAGTCCATCTTTGTATAGATACATGTATATTTGAATTGACTATACCAGTTCAGCTGTACAAGTCCCTCTTTGTATAGATACATGTGTATGAAATGACTATACCAGTTCAGCTGTACAAGTCCATCTTTGTATAGATACATGTATATTTGAAATGACTATACCAGTTCAGCTGTACAAGTCCCTCTTTGTATAGATACATGTATATGAAATGACTATACCAGTTTAGCTGTACAAGTCCCTCTTTGTATAGATACATGTATATGAAATGACTATACCAGTTCAGCTGTACAAGTCCCTCTTTGTATAGATATATGAAATGACTATACCAGTTCAGCTGTCAAATCAAAACTGTATGTAAGGCAATTGAAGTACATTTGGTATCAAGTGCTTGAAACAGGTATTTAGAGGGTAATTTATTTTCTGTCCTGTGTTTAGAGGGTAGATGGAAAGTCCTGGTGCAGACCAACAAACACCCATCCACTGGGACACCGGCTCAGGTAACACTGACTGTGTATGGACACAAGGGAAACTCGGGACCCATTGCACTCGGAAACGGAGATGGAACTCAATTCAAAAGTGGAAATCTAGATACATTTGATGTATGTATTAGTGGCGCGAATTAAAATTATGCACAATTTACTCAGTCTGATTATTAAATAAATTGTAGTACAGCTGTTAGTTCTTTAATTAAATGTTTGAGATTTAAAGGTCAAAGCACAATGTGAATGCATTCCTTTTTTGTATTCTGGGTGAAGTTTGAAAGATATTAGTATTGCATTATATGTTGAGGTAGAATTCAATTGTAATTTTTTTTTTAATGAGAAGACTTACATCATACATAATAACTATGAATTGTAAGTATTATATGTGATTTGATTTTATAGGTGTCTGTGGGATCGATAGGAGAGATATATAAGATCCGTATCGGACATGACAACTCTGGAGACAATCCAGGCTGGTTGTGTGATGAGGTTCGTCAATCCAACAGTTTCAGTTCAAAGCTCAAGCTTAAAATATTTTTCAAATTTTGATTTAAAAATCAAGATTAAAACAAAATCAAATCAAAGTATTAAACCAATGATTTGAATAGTATGATGAAAAACATAAAAAATTTCAAAGAATGTTTTGAGTTGGGGAAAAGTATCAAAGTTGAAGGTTTATTTGTATAGATAATTATAAAACCATGGTCAATGTCCCTCTTTGTAGGTAAAGATGATGGACACGCATACTGCAGAGGAACTGAGGTTTGAGTGTCACCGCTGGATGGCGCGAGACGAGGATGATATGGAGATCTGTCGGGAGATGCCAGCTGTACGCAAGAGAGAGCCCATACTACCAGGCAGGTGTACACATCCACAGCATGCTGTCATGAAGTTCCAAATAAAGCATGATGTCAATGTTCATATACATGAGGTTTTGAGGTCATATGACCAATATGCAACAAGTCATTTGGCTGTATAGGCCATAAGGTCAGAGTGAAAAGTCAAACCTTTTAGGTTTTTTTTTCTCCATCTGGGGCCTGTTGAGTTTAGGAGGTAAGAGTAAAACATCCGATCTCATGATCTACATGAGTATTCTATCTCCGCACAAGGCTGTAGGATTCATCAGGTCACAACAATGTTAAAACCCTACTCAGGTCTAAATGATTGAACAAATAACACTTCTCCTTTACTACTTTGTTGATATTGACTCGTTATTATATTTTTACAGTGATGCGGTATGAGGTTAGTGTGCATACAGGAAGTCTGTGGAATGCTGGGACAGATGCCAATGTGTACATGACCGTATATGGTGATCGTGGAGATACTGGTGTGAGACAGCTCTTCTCAAAAGCCAAGAATGCAGTTTTTCAACAGGGCCAGGTAGGTGTCCAATGCTGCACGACCTCCAGTCAAGTTTCCACCTTGCTCATTCAAATATGAAACCAAAATTTATCAATTCATTTGTTTTCTTTAATAAATAATATTTTAATAAATTAAACATATTGGAGTTCTGAAATGAAGCACAAATCTGTTAATTTCATAATGATTACAGAGTTGTTGATTTAAATAACATCTCATTAGTGCTAGGTTTGAAAACCCATAATCAAAAGTTTGGTATCGTGTTGTAGGAGGATATGTTTACTCTGGAGGCTGTCAGTCTTGGCCGTCTGAAGCGGGTCATCATTGGTCACGATGGTACCGGTTCTGGTAAGTAATCATGGTAATAAATGTACATTTATAACAAAACAAAGTGATGAAATATAAGCCATTTGTTTTTATCATTGAGGGTAAAAATAAAGTAGATATGTATTGTAAATAAATTTTTGTTGTTATTTAAGAAAATAATATACTATTGATGATCTCGAACGTGGTCATACTTAGCACAAATGCATGGGGTGTACTGTATGTGTCAAGACTTTCATCCCAACACATTTGGTGACAATAATCACATGAACTTGTTGACAATAGGACAAAAGTAGTTCATTGAAGCAAATTATTTTGCTATTGATTTAAAAATGAATTTTAGCCAGTTGATTTACTTTTATAATACATGTATATTGGATTGAGATTGTTTGTGTGTTATTGATGGTTCATCAGATTACAATCTTACAATGTATTTAGGAAATGGCTGGTTTCTGGAGAAAGTTGTGATCAGGGAACCAAATAGCAAGGCCACAGATGACTATACCTTCTACTGTGGAAAGTAAGACACAATTTGGTTTTGTGAATGTAGAAATTGTATCCCTTATCCCTTACAGATATAAACTTATACAGATATACTAAACTTAATGATGTACTGGTCAGAAGACAAGCTTAATGTACTGACTGTGTTTCTTTTTCATTTTCATCTTTCATAACACTGTGATTTCTTCTTCAATTTTGTTGCAGTTTAAATCGGGAAATAAACGGGAAAACATTTGAAAAACTATTTAGAGCCTAATAGATTAATTGAAATGTCCTGCGTTATTTCGTAAGTTATATAAAATGCTTTTTAAATGTTGAATAATATGATAGTGTATTATTCAAAAATATATTTCTAATATGAAAGTTGTCTGTCTGGTCTAAATTCTAATTTCATGACTTTTTGTTTTATTTAGGTGGCTAGATGAAGGAGAAGATGATGGGAAAATTGTGAGGGAGCTGAAAGTACAGGAAGAATACATGGATGACATACTCGAAAAACGAAATGTGAGTGAGATCTCTGACGAATCTGACGATGTTGGCTTGGATATTTGGTTTCAGTATAAAATTGATCTGTAATTATAATCAGATCTACTCCGTTAGTTAAATTTCCATGTTTATTACTCATTTGTATATTATTATGGTATAATTATCTGGAGCATCCTTATTTATTGTCGTTTAGTGATGCTTCATCTGTTTCATAGTACTGTGAAATTAATGGCAGCAGCTTTAAAGTTACTCAACTGCAGCAAGTTATTTTATATTGTTTCATACTATGAAGTTGTTTTGAACTAAGAACTGGAACTAGTAATAGTTTCTATGTTTATATGTTGTTTACTGTTATAGACATTGATTCATGCTTTGGTCACAAACACTGCTTCATGTTATAAATGCTGCTTCAAGTAATGAATGCTGCTTTAAGTAATGAACTCTGCTTCGTGATATGAATATTGCTTCAAGTAATGAGCACTGCTCCATGTTATGAATGCTGCTTCATGATATGATCATCGCTTCAAGTAATGAGCATTTAGAATCAAATAGTGATTTAAACACTAAATGAGCAGATATCACATGTATTGCTTTCATCTGTATTACAAGTTTTAAGTATAAACATAGTTTAGGCGGTTTTGCTCTATAACATTGATAGCGTGCTGCTTTGTTGTCACGGACAGTGTAAGCTGTGAACTGTTGGTAACCTAATCAATTGTCCATCCATTTGTAATTAACTTTTCTGTAACTCTGGTGCACATATATATCACAGTCTATTGACATCATTGTAACTACCATGCTTAATATCACTCTCAGTCTTTTTTTTTGTCTCTTTCTTGTCTTTTACATTCTAACAAAGCCTCATTTGTGTGTGTATATCATTTTGCGCCTTTGGGTCGCTCAAAGGACGAAGATTATAACACTACATGCAATCTAACATATATGTTCACTTGTCTGCGTCAGCACATTCTCTGACTTTATGCACTTGCACTTAAAGTTTTGGCTAGGTACTCAGTGCTTAGTCTGGTATGAAAATGGGGATATAGTATAGCCCTGGGGTATGCAATTTTGTATTTAGATCACCATCCTGCAGGCAGTTTTTAAAATATTCTACAAGTCTGATCCATATTCAAAATTAATACAATCAGGATTTTTCGTGAGTATCAGGCTAGGGGAATTGTACACCCTGTTAGCCAGGGAAGCGCTATGTTTAAAGGAGTTGTGTAATAGGAGTATAAGGCATCCTATATAGGCATATATGTGGGCATCAGACACTTCTGTGCACTAAGATGGTGCTGAAAGGTTTTGGAAAACTTTTCCTTTGATCCTGAAAAGGTATTTCATTTGTTATATATTTGCTAATGTGCTAGGAAGGAGTTGTACTTGTAACATGTATAAAAAGGGGAGTTTACTTTCTGTGTCCACAGAACTGTTTGACATATGGGGAAAAAATAGAAAATGTTTATGCTTACAGAGCGAATGACATGTATTTTCTGGGTAGGAAACTGCAGCTCCCACTTTGCTTACATTGAAATGTTAAATGAGGTTTGATAAAGCAGCTTTGTCTTCACAACATGTTTTCAAGGGTAGATAATTCTGCTGTGTCCACACAATATGTGTAGTAAGGGTAAACAACTTCACATAACCTGTGTATCAAGGGTAGACGACTTAACTGTGTCAACATTACTTGTGATGTTTGGTATCAGGGAAGAAATTTCATGTCCACATGGCATGTGATATTGGTAAATAGCTGTGCTGTGTCCTTTGTCCGCATGTGTTGTTCAAGTGTTAAGACCTTTGTTATGTCAAGGGTAGATGACTCTGTTATACTCCAAGAGCGAGTGACGTACGAGTTTGTGTTGCAGTGGGAATATGAGATGTGGAAGTTCCAGAAAGATGGCAAGGTGAAATTCTACAGTCTGGTCACACACAAAGCTGTCCGCACGAAATCCAACCTCACTGTTGACGCGCTGGCCGATGACTTTGACAACGATGGTATGTTTTAGATGTAATATTATTATTTTAAATGTATTAACTAATTAAAAGAAGTTATCATGTGATATAGGAACTGTTATAAGTATTTAAGATGTTCTTTTTGTAAATACATGTAATACCATATCTGGGGTGATGAGTGGTTATAATATGAGGAGGGTTGTGTGTTTCAGCTGTGTACAATGTGGTGGTGAAGAAAAAGACCATGGTGAGAGCATTCAGTAGTGTCACAAAGCCTAAGAACTTCCTCGCCATCGACAACGGCAAGATCACCATGCAGGTAAGACTTGTCAGCTGTGTTGTAACTGTACTCGTGTGTAGATGAAAAGTTTGCATCCATATACAGCTTAAAGGAAAACCGTCTAAACTAAACACCACTTAGACCAAATTTTTCATTGTGAAATAAACACTCGTTGTCTTATTTAGGAAAGATCATTTTATATAGATAAAGATAGGTTTAGACAGGATTCTAAATATTACAAAGTTTTCTTCAGATAAGTTAATGAGATTGATGTTAATGAATATTGATATCGCCACTTGGTTTAAATGTCCTCAAAACCTGGTTCACATAGGGAAGAACTTTTCAGCCACTGATATGTTTTTTCTTTGCTAAGATCATATATAATAAATCAACAAGAAATCATTCTTTTTTTCCCTATGTGAATAAAAGATGTTTATGAAATCCATTTGAATGATATCAAAGTATTTTAAACTCTTTTTTTTATGAATCAGAGTATTCTCCCTATTTGCCTCAAAGTTATTCTGGGTAATATTTGAAGTAACATTTTGCCCTTATATCAGTAAAGGAATATTCTATTAGCTATTTTTTTGTTCTCTCAATCACCTTTGAAAGGTAAACTGTACTGAACTGAAAAGTTTGAGATTAAAATCTGATATATTGTGCATTGTCATTGACAGGGTATGGGAGGACCATATTGTGAATTCCGTGTGCGTGTCCAGCATGATCGGTCAGTGATGCTGGAGTCAATGAAGAATCCACTACAATTTGTTACGTTCGGTGAAGATGGTCAGCCCGATGATGTACGAGGCGTTCTGGATAAGGAGCCTACACGTAGATTCTTTGTCTACTGCAAGGTAGGTAACTTTGATTTTGTGACATCACAGGTCCTGTCAAGAAAATATAATTATGTCTAAAGTCAAAGTGTATTAATACAGTTTTATTGTTACTGTCATTGTATACTTTACGTAACTGTTTCTGTCCCCGTCACACAGGGAATGTTCCGTCACCGAGGCATTGTTATGCTGTGCTCCTCCTTCACTCAAGCCATCACCATCAACCACGACTACTCCATGCAGGCCACAGGCAAACAGAACAAGATGGCACAGTTCAGGGTGCACAAGATCTCAACAGGAGGCATCCGGATGTTTGAGAGTATGATGAGTCCAGGAAAGTTCATACGCATGAAAGATGGCAAAATTGATTGTATGGTGAGTTTTGAAAATATAATTTGTTAAGCCAAATAAACTTAGATAACTCAATATTTAAGTCATCTGACTCATGTTTGTAAAAATACACATACCAGAATTAGTGCTTGTGTGATTGATTTTGAACACTGTAGTATTTTTATGGTCATAATGTAATTGTAAGAGAGGAAACTTGTCAAGGTAGTAAATTCATCAAATCTACTATCTGGTCTTGAGGAACAAAGTTGTGACATCTACATTGTTCCCATGGCCTCTGGATGAGAGACAGAATATTCCAGATGTATTTAATCTGTGATCTCAGGGAAAGATGAATAATCCCATTGAAGCTACTCTATGACCTTGACCTATTGGTGCGAAATCACTAGGGTTACTTTCGTGTATCCCAGTTGAAACGGTTCAGGTGGTGCAGAAATATTCCATGATAAATGAAACCTATTGAACTGGACTTAAATGCTGAAAATGCACGGTTCCAGAGTTTTGTAACAAATACATGAAAATATATCAATATTGATATTTCCTCCTTTCATTCATCCACTTAATTTTATACCGTATCTTTAAATGTATATATGATTCAACCTTGTTTTATTCAGGAATAGTGCAAACTAGCAATAGTCAGCATTTTAGTTTCAGCCAGGCCCATTACAGACTACATTTGCATGTGCCAAATTTTCTAGAGGTCAGCCTCAGTTCACATCTGAGCCTGTAGTTTTCTTTTCAGGTTCAGCTGGTTGTAATAGTTGAACCGGATATGCGAAAGGGGTCTTGGAGCTCCAATTGAAATTATTGCATGACCTTTGACATTGACGTTTTGCAGGGTGAGCGTAATGAGTACTCCCACTTCATGGTTGAGAAGCACCGTGACCAGGGATATGTGTCGCTCCAGTCTGTGACACAACGTGGGCTGTACCTGGGGATGAAGCCAGATGGCCGTGTGTGGCCTACAGTGGACACTGGTGTCAACAACATCTGGCTCTACCCTTCCGTCATTGAATGTAAGTCACTAGCTTTTCCACAATGGTTTTATAGTGGATTATGTCACATAATATTTCAACTGTAAAAATTACAAACCTATAAGCCTATATATAGATATTTTTTTCAATGAACATAATCTATTCATAATTTCAAACATCTTAAATCGCTACATATATCCCTCAATATAAAACACATGCTATACCCAAACTATTGTGGTAACATATCATTTGCTTGTAAGGCATTGATAGAGGTACTGATATATTTCAACACAATTTTTGAACAATTTTGACAAAATCTTGCAGAGAGAATAACTATTAATTAACATTCCTTCCTACCCTGACAGTTGGTGTTCCTAAGTTACGTAGTACAGAACAAGTGGAGGAGAACGCCTTGATGCAGAGTCGGCAGACTGACAGCGTAATGACTGTTGACATGACACCCACCCCCACCCCCACCCCCCGTGTAGACTTTGCAGGTATTGAAGACTTTGTAGCTTTTCATACAAGCTTTGTTTCATTTAAATATTGATTTAAACTCATATTGTGTATTATATTTTGCATTTATAAAAATTATTTTTGAATGTTGGGGTCAACTTCTGTTTTTTATTAAAAATGGAGAAGTTCTGTTAAAGTTGTGGTGTTATTTGTCTGGATAATTATGGCTAGTAGAAACTAAAGGTTACTGAAGCAGTAAATAACAGCAGCTGTATCTGTTGGTACTTTGTAGTATATGTATCAGAAGGTTCCAAACCTGTGGTCAAAGGTAAGTGGTCCGGAGACTAATACTGTGTTGGCCGTACAATAAAACTTGGCATCTTTGCTGACATTTTGGGAAAGTACTAAAATTTCATGGCTTCAAATTATTGACATGATATACATATGTTTCCAGATTCCAAGTTTTGATGTACACGGCATTGGACCTTGATTGTTGTAACGAGTTGTGATTACATATAACCATATTGTTGGTTTGTTACATTAAATTTTGTCCGTGTAGCATTAATTCACAGATGTCTTGTCTCGTGTCTTAAATGACTTTTGGTTTGAGAGCATAATACATGTGAATTATTGTTTAGTAAGGGACCCATGCACATATGACATGTCGTTTGGTTTGAGACTATAATACATGTGAATTATTGTTTAGTAAGGGACCCATGTGCAAGGTCATGTCGTTTGGTTTGAGAGTATAACACATGTGAATTGTTGTTTAGTAAGGGACCCATGCACATGTGACATGTCGTTTGGTTTGAGAGGGTAATACATGTGAATTGTTGTTTAGTAAGGGACCCATGCACATATGACATGTCGTTTGGTTTGAGACTATAATACATGTGAATTATTGTTTAGTAAGGGACCCATGTGCAAGGTCATGTCGTTTGGTTTGAGAGTATAACACATGTGAATTGTTGTTTAGTAAGGGACCCATGCACATGTAACATGTCATTTGGTTTGAGAGTATAATACATGTGAATTGTTGTTCAGTAAGGGACCCATGCACATGTAACATGTCGTTGGGTTTGAGAGTATAATACATGTGAATTGTTGTTTAGGAAGGGACCCATGCACATGTGACATGTCGTTTGGTTTGAGGGTATAATACATGTGAATTGTTGTTTAGTAAGGGGCCCATGCACATATGACATGTCGTTTGGTTTGCGAGTATAATACATGTGAATTGTTGTTTAGTAAGGGACCCATGCACATATGACATGTCGTTTGGTTTGAGAGTATAATACATGTGAATTATTGTTTAGTAAGGGACCCATGTGCAAGGTCATGTCGTTTGGTTTGAGAGTATAATACATGTGAATTGTTGTTTAGTAAGGGACCCACATGTGACATGCACGTGACATGTCGTTTTGTTTGTGACTAACATGTAAATTGTGAGTTGGTTTGATAATGTTTTTAGGTCACCTGAGACAAAGTCTTAGGTAGCAGTGTACAGTAGCGTACGGTGGCCATGGGTGATATTTTTGTACAATGAATAACCCCTGTAATAGTACATGTATCAAAAGTTAAAAAAAAAATCAGCTCTAAAATTGGCATATACATGATGAATTGGACTATGTGGGCTTTACATTTAAAAAAACAAATATATTGAATTTGGCTTGAAACTTCATTTTTGGCCATTTACGAATCTAGCTTTTCATGTAGTCTATTTTTGTACTCGGCACATGTGTAAATATTGTGAAAAATCCAGTTTGACGACCTATGCTAAAACGTGAGTATTTCTGTGACGGAGTAAGTGATATTTAATTTAAGACAGGTTTTAAAAAAAAAATACTGTTTGCGTGGGTCAAATTTTGGGTTAAAAATCATTTTTTTGCATTTTTTGATGTGGTAACCATGTTTCACAAGTCCCAAATCTGGGGAAATCACTTTTTGAAAAAATATTCATTCTTCTAAAAAAATGTATTCAAAATGTAGTTTATAAATATTTATGCAAGACCACACACTTGTGTTTTTCTAACGAATCAGAAAGCACTCATTTATTGCGCGAAAGAATATATTCACGAGTGAATATATACGTCCACGCAATAAATGAGTGCTTTCTGTTTTGTGTTTGGTCTTGATTTTATCACATACCTTCCGTATTTGGTTGAGATCGATACAAAGATTTTATAAACTTTGATATTTTTTGAAAAAAAACAGGAACTTTTCAGTTCACCATGACAAGGAGATTCTGATAAAAAGTAGTTTTGAATAGTAGGTAAATACAACATTCCGTATTGCACATTGCAATACAGAACGTTGTATTTCATGCTCTGAAAATTTCTTGTACTACTATAACAAGATTTAACAGGTATGTGATAAATATATATATGTAGGTGTGTTGTGCAGGATGAATCCGCTATCCATGTTTATCCGAGACATGCTCTTTATATTTAGGGTCAAGCCATTTCTACTGTACTCTGCTACCTCAAGTGACCTATTGTGATCGCCTTTTGTCCGGCGGCATCTGTCAAATGTGATCGCTTTTTGTCCGGCGGCATCTGTCGTCCGTCATGCGTCCATAAACAATTTACATTTCTGACTTCTCCAAAACCCCTGAAGCAATTTCAATGAAATTTTGTAGAAACCTTCCATGGCTAAAGGTCAACCAAAATTGTGAATTTCATGACCCTGGAGTCTCATGTTTCCCCCTGGGGAGGGGGTAAACTTGACTATCGTTTAATTGTGAATTATATGGTCCCCAGCCCCCAGGGGCCTGAGGGACGGGGCCAAAAAGGGTCAAATTGACTAAAATTTCAAAAATCTTCTTCTCAAGATCCAGATATGGTAGAATCCTCATTAGAATACTGTTCAAAATTGGAAGGGTCTTAAGGTGCTTTACCTAAATTAAGCTGACTGACAGAAACCACTATTCGTATATAGTACATACTACCCAGATCTTTCACACTACTTTTGCATTACATGTAGTTCAAGTTACCTTTGTTACAAAATGATTTCTTTTTCATTTGGCAACATCGATAACATCAGTTTTTACATAACTCAGGTGAGCGTTAAGGCCCATGGGCCTCTTGTATTCTCTACAAATAATTCTGGTGTTTGTAAGCCAGAAAACTTGAAGTCACTTGGCTAAGATCATTACAGGTAGCATTTTTATGCCCCCGCCATACAATGGGGGGGGGGGGGGGGGGCATATAGTGTTACCCATGTCCGTCCCGTCTCGTCCCAATTCAATGTAAACACTTAGTAACTTCATTCTTTGACAGATTTTGGTCAAACTTTATACAAAGGTCAAGTATGGGTATACTTCGGACATCGTTGTATTTCAGGGATCCCAGGTCAAGGCCAAGGTCACACTTGCTATATATAGAAAATCATGAACGGATTCAATTTAAACACTTTGCAACTTCATTCTTTCATGGATTTTTGTCAAACTTTATACAAAGGTCAAGTATGGGTATACTTCGGACATCGTTGCATTTCAGGGATCCAAGGTCAAGGCCAAGGTCACTGTTGCTATATATAGAAAATCATCTACTGATTCAATTTAAACACTTAGCAACTTCATTCAATATGTTATTGAGATGGTAATAACATACAGAAAAATTATATGAATATTAAAATCAACTTTAAGTGTAGTACCTTGTGTGTATTCATGTTTCAGGGTATCAAGATCAAAGTGGGTGTAACTTTTTATAGAACACTGAAACTAATTTCACATGGCAGCGGGGGCATTTATGTCTTACAGACATTTTCTACTTTATAAGGTGGTGGTTGTGGGGGATGATGGATATGAGTTAGCCTCATGATAGCATTAGAGTTTTTGTTGGAAAAACAGATAAAATGCTATTATTTTAAAAAAGGGATTTATGTCCTTTATTTCCTTACCACAATGGTGGCAATATAAGTTACACTTCATCTATTTCACAACAGTTGTAAAACAAGCTTTTTTAACATATATTAATCACATTTGTTGGCATGGTAATGCCCTGGGGGTCTTAATGTGGAAAGAAACCAGAGTTCCCAGAGAAAACCCACATGGTAGGGCAAGTGACCCCATACCGTTTCACGTCCGGTCGGGGAATCAAAACCCCAGCTGTCTTTGTGAAAGTTGAGTGCGCTATCCATTGTGCCACCCCACAAACCAGTATTATAAGGTATAGATTCAGAAATACATAATACCCTACTGTAGACCTTCCTGTATAAGGGTCCATAGTATGATACCTTTATGTTACTTTAAATGTTGACCCTGTTTCACCTGTGTATTTCAGTTGGAGATTGGAGTATCAATATCAGTACCAAAGACACACTGAAGAATGGAGACATTGCTCTGGTTGTGTATGGAGACCGGGGTAACTCTGGTGCTATCCCACTTGGGGCTCCGAGTAAAGAAATCTTCCAGGAAGGCAACAAGGATGAGTTCAGGGTAAGTAGGGGCTATATTTTATTAGGGTATTTCCTTTATTTTAGATTTTATATAGGATATTGTTCAAGAACTTATAGTTTAATAAGGTCTGGTATGATAAGATTGAAACATTCCTAATAATTTTGTGGGTGTGAGAGTCATTTTGTATGACACAGAGTTTAAACAGCAGTGAAACTTGAAAATAAAGATTTCTGTCACAGGTATGATATTATTCAATGTTAATGTTACCAGTATGACAGTATTCAAGGTTTCAGTCATAGACTTATGCTGTTTTCTGTGGCTTGTCCAATATTGCATTGTTAATTTTCAGGCAAATCTACAGAAAGTTGGTACAATAAAAAAGATCAGACTGGAACTGACTCCCAAGGGAACTGATGCCTCTTGGAAGGTAGATGATGTTGTGTTTGAGAACCTGACCTCAAATGAGGTGCTGGAGTTCAATTTTAACAAATGGCTGTCCACCGCTCATGAGGACCAGCAGAACATGCGAGAAATGCCCGTCACCAAACAAGGCACTGACTCCCGTAATTGTAAGTGTTTTTTATAAAATTGTTCAGTTATATTTTTACACTGGACCATTTTCCCAGTTGTTGATTAGAATAGACTCTGCAGCTTTAATTTTGAGCTATGAACATATAGGCAGGAGATTTGTCTGTTCCATGTGTCGCTAGTAACTTAACGGTACCCGGTATATCAGTTTCTATGTAGAGTGTACAACCAGTGAAACGTTTTGGTTGCTTGTGAAATAATGGTACTTGTACCTGGCATATGTTTCCTGTGCATCGTCTTCAACAAGATATTGGTTGTACATTGAACATTTCTACAATAAAAGTCTGGTCACCTGGACACTATGGCTTCTAAAAATCAGTTTGAGCCATGGGATGCTTCAAAGGTTTATATTTCATCTAATAGTTTAAACACATAATGAACAGTTATAAGTTTGATGTTGTGCAAAGGCTATTTTGATAAACATTTCAAGATTCGTCTGTTTAATGAAAGGTTGAAAAATGTTTCAAAGCCTAAAGCAGAATGTTTTTTAAGGAAAATATGTTGTCCTCTTTAACCATTTCACCACTGTAGACCAGAATGGACCCTTCCAGATAAATGTATGGTAGAGTCTACTAAAGTTACCTAGGGATGAAAGGGTTAACAACGGTCTGTATACCACCGTAGATCTGTCTGTAACAACTGCTTGTCTTTAACTTTTATCAATCTATAACTTCCATCTGTCTATCTCTACCAGCCATTATACCACCTCTCTATGACTACCATTATTGTACAGTACTACCATTCTATAACTTCAGCCTTCCTATAACTTCCACTCTCTGTAACTGCCGCCTGTCTATAACTATAACTATTGCTGGCCTGTAACTAGCACGTGCCTGTTATTGCAACCCAACTACCACCTTTCTATAACTACCACTTGTCTTTATATATAACAAGTCTAAAACTACAACCTAGCTACCACCTGTCTATAACTACCACTTGTCTTTATATATAACAAGTATATAACTACAACCCAGCTACCACCTGTCTATAACTACTACTTGTCCATATATATAACAAGTGTATAACTACAACCTAGCTACCACCTGTCTATAACTACCACTTGTCTATATATATATCAAGTCTATAAATACAACCTAGCTACCACCTGTCTATAACTACCACTTGTCCATATATATAACAAGTCTATAACAACAACCTAGCTACCACCTGTCTATAACTACCACTTGTCTATATATATAACAAATCTATATCTACAACCTAGCTACCACCTGTCTATTACTACCACTTGTCTATATATAACAAGTATATAACTACAACCTAGCTACCACCTGTCTATTACTACCACCTGTATATATATATAACAAGTCTATAACTACCGCTTGTCCATATATATAACAAGTATATAACTACAACCTAGCTACCACCTGTCTATACCTACCACTTGTCTATATCTATAACAAGTCTATACCTACAACCTAGCTACCACCTGTCTATAACTACCACTTGTCTATATATATAACAAGTATATAACTACAACCCAGCTACCACCTGTCTATAAGTACCACTTGTCTTTATATATAACAAGTATATAACTACAACCTAGCTACCACCTGTCTTTAACCACCAAGTGACTAAATCTACCCCAATTCTACCTCAACCACCTGACAATGTCTATTATAACAATCTGTCACTTTTGATTCATAATGTGTAAATGCTTCTTTCTTTTTTCTAGCAAACTGCCTATAAAGACCTCTTGTCTGTATCAAGACTGGTTTTGCTTGGGCAGGTTTAACTGTTTCCTATGATTTTATTTCAGTCACATTATTTTATATATGATTCCTGTTGTGTTTACCAGTAATCAAGTATAAGGTGAGGGTCCAGACAGGAAATGAAATTGGTTCGGAGACTGAAGCAAGTGTCTACTTCAACTTGTTTGGGGATGATGGGGACATAGGAAAGCGACTTCTGCTCAAATCCAGCAACAAGCAAAAGTTTCGTCGTGGCCAGGTTAGTCCTTAACCTCAATCAAATGAGATAATATAAAATACATCGTTTATAATAAATGCTTCAAAGGTTTATATTTCATCTAATAGTTTAAACACATAATGAACAGTTATAAGTTTGATGTTGTGCAAAGGCTATCTTGATAAACATTTCAAGATTCGTCTGTTTAATGAAAGGTTGAAAAATGTTTCAAAGCCTAAAGCAGAATGTTTTTTAAGGAAATATGTTGTCCTCTTTAACAAATTTAAAAATCATTTAAGTGTGTCCTATTATATATGTGTTTTGAAAAATAAAACTTGTTGACAAAACTTGTTGCCCATTGTACTTTTAGGTGGATGTGTTTGAAGTGGAGGCAGTATCGATTGGTCGTCCTCAGCGGTGCATTGTGGGTCATGAGGAGACTGCTGATGGCCAGGGATGGTACCTGGACCAGATTGTAGTACAGCAGGGGGATGATGCTCAGGAGAAGTACATCTTTGAGTGTGACAGGTGTGTATTAAATTTCATGTTGGTTAGAATATTCTTGTATAATATTGTGTAACCTATTTAGGGCGGTGTGTAACCTACCTAGGGCAGTGTGTAACCTATTTAGGGCAGTGTGTTACCTACCTAGGGCAGTGTGTAGCATACCTAGGGCAGTGTTTAACCTACCTAGGGCAGTGTGTAAGCTACCTAGGGCAGAGTGTTATCTACCTAGGGCAGTGTGTTACCTACTAAGGGCATTGTGTAACCTACCAAGGGCAGTGTGTTACCTATTTAGGGCAGTGTGTAACTTACCTAGGGCAGTGTGTAACCTACCTAGGGCAGTGTGTAACCTATTTAGGGCAGTGTGTTGCCTACCTAGGGCAGTGTGTAGCATACCTAGGGCAGTGTTTAACCTACCTAGGGCAGTGTGTAAGCTACCTAGGGCAGTGTGTAATCTACCTAGGGCAGTGTGTTACCTACTAAGGGCAGTGTGTAACTTACCTAGGGCAGTGTGTAACCTACCAAGGGCAGTGTGTTACCTACCTAGGGCAGTGTGTAACTTACCTAGGGCAGTGTGTAACCTACCTAGGGCAGTGTGTAACCTACTAAGGTCAGTGTGTAACCTACCTAGGGCAGTGTGTAACCTACCTAGGACAGTGTGTTAGCTATTTAGAGCAGTGTGTTACCTATCTAGGGCAGTGTGTAACCTATGTAGGGCAGTGTGTAACCTACCTAGGGTAGTGTGTAACCTAACAAGGGCAGTGTGTAACCTACCTAGGGCAGTGTGTAACCTATTTAGGGTAGTGTGTAACCTACCAAGGGCAGTGTGTAACCTATTTAGGGCAGTGTGAACCTACCAAGGGCAGTGTGTAATCAACTAAGGCCAGTGTGTAACCTACTGAGGGCATTGTGTAACTTACCTAGTTCTGCGTCAGTGAGTCGGCTACTATGGGTTGCATGTGGCCACATAGGGTTTTACACAGCTACCTAGGGCTGAGTGGGGCTACTACGGGTTGTGTGTAGCTACCCAAGGCTGAGTGGGGCTACTATGAGTTGTGTGTAGCCACATAAGGTTGTGTGTAGCTACCCAAGGCTGAGTGGGGCTACTACAGGTTGTGTGTAGCCATATAAGGTTCTGTGTGGCCACATAAGATTGTGTGTGGCTACCCAAGGCTGACTGGGGCTACTACGGGTTGTGTGTACCCACATAAGGTTGTGTGTAGCTACCCAAGGCTGAGTGGGGCTACTATGGGTTGTGTGTAGCCACATAAGGTTGTGTGTGCCCACATAAGGTTGTGTGTAGCTACCCAAGGCTGAGTGGGCTACTACGGGTTGTGTGTAGCCACATAAGGTTGTGTGTAGCTACCCAAGTCTGAGTGGGGCTACTACGGGTTGTGTGTACCCACATAAGGTTGTGTGTAGCTACCCAAGGCTGAGTGGGGCTACTACGGGTTGTGTGTAGCCACATAAGGTTTCGTGTAGCTACCCAAGGCTGAGTGGGGCTACTACGGGTTGTGTGTAGCCACATAAGGTTCTGTGTGGCCACATTAGATTGTGTGTGACTACCCAAGGCTGAGTAGGGGACTATTTAAGGTTGGGTAGGACCACTTAGAGTTGTGAAATGACAACCTTTTATTGTATGTTGCTACAGAGCATTTTATGTGGCTACCTAGGGTTCTGTATTACTTCTATCAATCAATCAGTTGGTTAAATAAATGTGAAATATTATCTTCTTGTTATTATATGTAATAAATTAACATTTTAAATCTATGTAATATCAACATACCTGTACATGATACATGTTTATACTCAGTTTAACTGACTTGATGTTTCCAACTTTATTAGATAAAAGGCTTTATATGATGAACACAATACAAGTTTACACCTGTATTGAACTGTCTGTATATTTCTGTGGTGTATTTGCTTCTACACTGTCTAAACCAAGGCTATATTTTGTGTTGTAGGTGGCTGGACACCGGTCAGGAAGACCGCCGGATCGAGAGGACACTTACACTCAAGGGTAGGTGATGGTGCTCACTCACATCATACTGACCGCGCTTCTAACTGGGTGTGGGTGTGTCCGTGGCGTGTGTGAGGGGTAGGGGGCGTGTCTGCATGCTCTAAGTATCTGTTGGTCCAGCTGTAGTTGTGTTCCCCAAAGCCTGATTGGCAGAATTTTTCTTGAATCATCAGTTAGTGCTTTATATATCAAATACACAACAATGTTAACTCCCCTTTGTCTTCATTACATCCATTTCAACTATTTGTAAAGGACTGCAGGTTTTAGTTGTAATCCTTTAAATGTACCTGTGACCAATTTATCAACCATCCCCTCTTCCAGTGCCCAATAAAAGTTTACAAGGAGAGTGTTCATGATTCCATGAACTCCTGGAAAACAATCTCATCTGTTTGTTTGTGAAATGAATTATGGTGGCCATATTGTTGTAGTGTTACTGACGCAACTCATATTTTTACTCATTTATTTTTGTAATGATATGTGACAATTAATGAACTTCAAACTTTGTATGCACCAGTTGTACGTCTCAGATACTCTCATTTCTGTTAAAGCATTTGTTAAGTCCGTCCATGTTTTCCCGTTGATGACCTAAAGCACCATGTTGACCTTTTTCTCATGATAATGCTCTATTCATTGAAACAGCTCCCATCTGCAAGAGATTATACAAGTATTGAAACCTAAAAATAATTGATTTTGCATTTGTTATTATTTTGTTTGAGCTGGTGTGTATGCTTACATTGAATCTCATTTGTATACAAGTCTACAGTGTTAGTAACCGAGTGATGTTTAACACTGGCATGTGGTGAATATGTTGACAGATGTGTGAGCTTGATTATTGTAATGCATGGATTTTTTATTTATTTTTAGATTTATTTACAACATTGCTGTATAACTCAGCTGTAGATAAATGTTATTTATACCATATCGCTGTAAGACTTAGCTGTTACATTTACATATAGTTATAATTCCTTTTAGAATATACTCCTAAGAATATGGTATTTTTTTTATTCACATAAAATGTACTCATGATAATATATGTGTACTGTTTTCTGCATTGTTTGAGACTTTTTGAATTGATAAAATTAACATTGCCACCCTTTTTAATCTCATGTTTTAATGATTTACAATGTTAAAGAGTAATGTTTCTTGGCAACTCTTCATTTAGAATTTTTCTATGAGAATACCCCTGTTGATAATATGCCATGAAATTAATGGATCAAACAACACAAGTAGATGAGGGGGAAATCCAGATGAAAGATCCTCTACGAAGGCGAAGTAACACTGTAATCCAGTCTAAAGTTTGTTCCTATTGTTAACTTTAGACTTTAGTTTTGGTGTTTTGTATCTTTGTCTTCCATGGCTATTGATGTTCACAGTTACCAAGCTAAGTCATCTAGGTGTTGATTTTTTTTTAATTTATACTCGTTGATACAAGTCTGATTTAAGACATTTAATTATGTATTGAGAATTATTTACAAGATCAACAACTGATCATCACTATTTGATTAGTGAAACAAAGTAAAATAATGTCATTTGCTTACCTAGCACTTATTGCTAAATTGTTATACCTGGTAGGTTAGTGTACAAAGGTCAGGAGGTCACCTTTACTCTACCTAGGCAGCATTCAGGATCTTAGAGTCTTAGTACAGTATGTATGCAAAATGGACTTACTTACCCTGAATTACCTGGAGACAGTCATTATTGCGGCACTGGGTCTGGGACAAACATTGTTTGGTTAATTGTGTTTCTCTCTTGAGAAGAACGAATTCTGAGCATACAAATGGAGTCAAACTGTGTACATTTAAATATCTCACAAATTTCATAATTGTGAAAATGCAGATATTAGTAGCAAATATTCACATTTTGAGGGCATTGTGTCGACATTTTAGATTGCTTAGAAAGACTTTTTTTTTTTTTTTACTTTTCATAGCTCAATGTAGATGGATTTTGTAGATTATTGTTCATAATAGAAAACTCTATGTCCATCTACGTAGACTTTACAATACGGAATGCTGCCTAGGTAACATAGAGTTGAAATGTCAGGAGGTAAACCCAGTAGGTTAGAGTTGAATGGTCAGGAGATAAATCTAGTAGCTTAGAGTTTAAAGGTCAGGAGTAAACAGAAGCTTAGAGGTAAAAGGTGAGGAGGTAAAACCTAGTTACTTAGAGTTTAAAGGTCAGGAATAAACAGTAGCTTAGAGGTTAAAGGTGAGGAGGTAAAACCTAGTTACTTAGAGTTTAAAGGTCAGGAATAAACAGTAGCTTAGAGGTTAAAGGTGAGGAGGTAAAACCTAGTTACTTAGAGTTTAAAGGTCAGGAGTAAACAGTAGCTTAGAGGTAAAAGTTGTGGAGGTAAAACCTAGTTACTTAGAGTTTAAAGGTCAGGAGTAAACAGTAGCTTAGAGTTTAAAGGTCAGGAATAAACAATAGCTTAGAGGTAAAAGGTGAGGAGGTAAAACCTAGTTACTTAGAGTTTAAAGGTCAGGAGTAAACAGTAGCTTAGAGGTAAAAGGTGAGGAGGTAAAACCTAGTTACTTAGAGTTTAAAGGTCAGGAGTAAACAGTAGCTTAGAGGTAAAAGTTGTGGAGGTAAAACCTAGTTACTTAGAGTTTAAAGGTCAGGAGTAAACAGTAGCTTAGAGGTAAAAGGTGAGGAGGTAAAACCTAGTTACTTAGAGTTTAAAGGTCAGGAGTAAACAGTAGCTTAGAGGTAAAAGGTGAGGAGGTAAAACCTAGTTACTTAGAGTTTAAAGGTCAGGAGTAAACAGTAGCTTAGAGGTAAAAGTTGTGGAGGTAAAACCTAGTTACTTAGAGTTTAAAGGTCAGGAGTAAACAGTAGCTTAGAGGTAAAAGGTGAGGAGGTAAAACCTAGTTACTTAGAGTTTAAAGGTCAGGAGTAAACAGTAGCTTAGAGTTTAAAGGTAAGGAATAAACAAAAGCTTAGAGTTGAAAGGTCAGGTGGTATACCTGTCAGTAGAGATCCATGTGGAATATTTAAATAATTTATGCAGATGTTGCGTTTCTCCACCAAGTAGTGCTCTTTATAGATATATTTATCAAAATTAATCTTAAAACATATATGTTTAAATTTCTACATATTTTTCTAATATATTTCTAGATATTTGTATTTGTGCCAATTGCTTCTGTTGAAAGATACATTATAATGCCTAAAATAAAATTTTGTTTTGCTTCCGCTTAAAATCAACCCACTCACCGTAATACATGTACTGTCTTAACTCAAACTATTTCATTTACTTTGTTTTTGTTTTTTGTACAATTTATTAAAGAATCGATCTAGAATCACTGCAACTTTGTTTGATTTTTAAATAATGACTTCCAATATTATTAAATTTAATATAGGCCTTAATTAGGGGTGATAATAAATTACAATGAAGTAGACATTTTTGAGGATTAGGATGTAATCTTAGAAATTAGAATCCAGCTGATGAGGATTGCTCACCCCGACCTGATGTCTCAGTTTGTCCATAGCGTAAATCTCCTTAGCTGGTTTGATTCCATTCTATCTAAACTTTTTTTACCTGAGTGTAACTTTTTTACATATAGATGTTTTTTAGGGAATTTAATCATGATATTTTTTCATGATTCTTAAGACTTATGAAGTCCAGGATTTTCTGGAAGCTTGAACACTAGATGATTAAAATATGTTAGTGTGTTTGAAAGGCTACCCTCAAGGTTGGATGAGACAAAATCAATATCTTTGTACAGGTTTTTGGATTAATTATCCAGTGCTTGAAAAATAACAATGATATTCAACATCTAACATAAGGAGTGCACAAATAAAACTCCTAAAACACTCAAAAAATATATTTCACAAAACGTTTTCAAGAGAAAACATATAGTGGATTAATACAGAAAATATTTCTCAATTAGTTATATCTGCATGATGATTTAGGTAAAAGTTGTTGTACAAAGAACGTTATTGCCTAACTGTGGTTACAACTGACAGATGACCTGAACATATTTATATATACGTTAATGCATGGCTTTAATAAAAAAAAGATCAAAAGGTGGCCAGTTGTTATAGAATTACCAAAACCTAGAAAAGGAAGTCAGCTTTTTTTTTAGAAAAATCTATTTCTGTGGTAAATATAATCAATTCAGAAACTTTCATTCATTAAATGTTTAAAGAAAAAATGTTTTATGGATAAGATAGTAATAAAAATTATGGAAATTTCTTAATACCTTTAGGCAAGATAGAATTATGAAAGGAAAAGAAAAAAATATATGAAAGGAAATGAATAAAATATTCTGTTGAACATACACCCCCTTGATTAATTTTCTTGACTGTGGCTGACTTTGTATATATTATCTGGGCTGTGCTTTTTTCAAAAGATTGTTTAACCTGAAAATCTCACAATATTTCTTAATTGAAAAAAACCTGATGGTCTGGCCATTTCAGCCAGCTTAACAAAAAACTGTGTGGTCAATCCTGAATGGATACCTGCTACCTAACTGCTTTCTGGACTGGTGCTGTTGCTATGTGGATACTGCAGACATATTCATATAAGTGGTAATCTTATTTTGGCATTTATATTATCAGTGGTCTAAAACCTGAACACTTATAATACATCCACCATCACTGTTAATATTTAATTTTCATTTTAAGTAATTTTTTTTATCAATTGGAAGGATCAAGTGGATTGGGTCTTGTACTCAAATACTGACCACTGGTTTCTGTGCTAAAATAAGATTACACTAATGTAAGTATGATTACAGTTTACCATTGTGATTCCTGCTGTACAAGTTGTATTTAATCAAAGATATATTTTTAATTTATAATATTTACAATTCCAAAAAAGAGAAGAAATAAAGATTAGTCGAAGAGTTGTTTGTACTTATTTTTTCTGTTGTATAACTGTCTATTCTCCGCCTTTATACAGATTCTCAAGTCACTGGTAAGATGAATTACATCGTCAGAATAGTGCTTGGCCTTGTGTTCTAATAGGTTTTTAACTGAGCTTTTGTTTGAGATTAAACCTTTATATGTTAGTAAATTTTAACTCACTTTCTTCACCAGCCATATCAGTTAGAAAATACTATTAATTCACAAAGATAAATAAAACCCTAGTAAAAAAATATTTTTGGATCTGAAAATGTGTTGAAATTTATGATTATTACTTAATTTATATTTGAACTGAAAAAATCTGTAAATTTTTCATACTTCAAATAAAACATGGATCTGATTTCATGCTTTTTTAATAACAGTGCATGATAAAAAATATATACATATAATTTATGAGAATTTTCCTGACGGATGTATACAGCTAAGCAGTACCATTCATTGATGAAACATTGGCCCACACCAACATGTGACAGGACTATGTAGTGGAAATAAAAACTGAGCAAACATCCCTATTGATATGTCAGGATAAATCAATGTTAGGCTTTTTCCATCAAACACGGAAGTGATGGACTTTAGATAAGCCTTTCCTGAAAAATGATTGATCCGGCACTACAGTGATCCATCAGTAATGGTTGAAATAAAATCTGTGGTAAATGTTCTTTAATTTCTTTCAAAAATAGATAATATTTGTATTTTTGTAATTCTAAACCCCCAAAATGGTACAATAAGGTACAGTACACAAATTGAGGCATTTTGATTTTGGATTGATTTTGTTTTGTTTTGTTTTTTAAAGAAAAGCGAAATCTAAATGAAAATGTGAATGGATGAAATTTTAACTTGATATTGAAATGGGATAGAAATTACAGGACATTTACCGTAGAGAGCTAATCAATATAACAAAAGTACACATACCAGTAATGGATGTTAAAATAACACAAGGAAAGTGTTGCCTAGAAATTGAGGGTCTGGAGGAGGGTGTGTGAATACTAGGGTGAAGTATGTGTGGTATGAGGAGGTATACGTCACTGCTGTCCATAATTAGTGTGTTAACTGATTGTACACTTTCACTCATAGACCTTTATTTATTGATGTTAGGGTTGGAGGTGTATTAATCATGTCCTGTATGAACGATATTCAAAACGCTTTTGATGTTTTTGAACATATTTCATTGATGTTCGTATTGATAGTGTTTTATGGTGTATGATATGAGAAATGCTTGTGATGTTTTGTGTGGGTTTTATTACTCTGTATTCTATTTTTGTATGTTTTGTTACATTTATTTAAATACTGCCAATATTATTCTACCTAGAAAGGTTGTTATTGGTATTGGGTTACACTTGACCACAAAATTAATTGTTGTAGGCCAGTAACTCGCATGACTTTTAAATCCCGTCTATTTTTAGTTATATAATTCCCGTAATTAAGTTATAGAAATTACCATAATAGGATTATACACCTGCTTATAACACAGATCAGACATCAAACAGACCATTTATACAAAAATCTTATTATGTGTGCAGTTAGCCTGTGTATCGGTCATAAGTAATAATGACTTATAACTAATGCATTCACCTGTAACATTACTTTGTAAGCAGCATGATTATTCTGCCCTATTTTATTTTATTTTCTGTGACTTGATCCTGACTTACATTACAGGTTGACAAATTACACCTGGCAGGCCTAGCAGGATATATTTACACAAGTTGTGTGTTTGAGTTTGATCTGAATGCTTACAATTACCTGTATCCAGTCCGATTGCTTTTATTTGGCACCTGTATGTCTTTTAGCTGTGCTTGTCTTTTGTGAGGACTGGTCTAATATACATACACATTGTTGAGATATATAAATAAGGTATTGAGAGGCAATAGAAAGAGTGCTTGTGGATTTGAATAGCCTGGAAACCTTTATCAGGCCTGACTCTGTGGACATGGAGCTGTGGCAGTGAAGGGTTGTTAAAGTAAATACACAGCACTAGGTTTAAATGGGGGTCTGGAAGGACAGCCTGATTCAATACCGCTACCACACCCTGTATACTAGATTTTAGTATGTCTCGCATTTAAAATAAATATTATCAGGGTACAATGTATATATTTGATAACTTGAAAGTAGAATTATATTTTAATACTTTTTCATAATTTTTTACTATTAATTGATATATTTGTAATTTGATCATTTACATATTTGAATTAAAAATTCAAGTAAAAGTTGTTACGTTTGTCAAAAGTGAAGAATGTCTACCATACTGTATTGAACAGGAATATTGGCTGTTGATTGCTTTATGTTAACCTGGAAAATCAGTCCATTGACTTGTATTTGCAGTAGTATCACAAAGTTAAATGCCCCGGTGACTGATAGCTTGTATCACCTAGCCCCCTGACCTCCAATTTACCTGAGAACATTACGTCACATTTAAACAACCTTTATTTACCTTTATGGGTTTTAAATTGATATTATTACCGAAGTGTTTATTCAGGTAATTTCTAGACACTACCATATTGAATAGAGAGAAGTTTTGATTGACACGCTGCACCAAAGGTAGTAGTGATGTGTTGGAATTGAGGTGGAATATACGACAGTAATCCAAATTAATTTGTTTCATCTATTAAATTTGTATGCCTCCTCCATAAAATGTGGGGGGGGGGGGGCATATAGTGTTGCCCATGTCCGTCCCGTCCCGTCTCGTCCCGTCCCGTCCCGATATAATGTAAACACTTAGCAACTTCATTCTTTGGTCAAACTTTATACAAAGGTCAAGTATGAGTGTACTAAGGACATTGTTGTATTTCAGGGATCCAAGGTCGAGGCCAAGGTCACACTTGCAATATATAGAAAATCATCAACTGATTCAATTTAAACATTTAGCAACTTCATTCTTTCATGGATTTTGGTCAAACTTTATGCAATGGTCAAGTATGAGTATACTTCGGACATTGTTGTGTTTCAGGGTTCCAAGGTCAAGGCCAAGGTCACTGTTGCTATGTAGAGAAAATCATGAACTGATTCAATTTAAACACTTAGCAACTTCATTCTTTCATGGCTTTTGGTCAAACTTTGGTCAAATACAGAAAAAACATATTAATATTAAAATCAACTTATCAACTTTAAGTGTAGTACCTTGTGTGTGTGCATGTTTCAGGGTATCAAGATCAAAGTGGTTGTAACTTTTTATAGAACACTGAAAATAATTTCACATGGCAGCGGGCATTTATGTCCTACAGACATTTTCTAGTTTAATATTTGTTCTTTAAAGGTGATTGAAAGGAACAAAAAAATGCTAAGGGTCTATGTGTAACACATGTACATTCAAACCTGCCGCTAAAAGCTGTCCTTTTATTTTTGCCATAAATCCTGTAGAGCAAATATGCCTATAATGTCTTGTCTACCTGTAAGTACATGTCTATAAAGACCACCTTTGTAGCAAATACCTGTCTAAAATACCACCTGTTAAGCAAATACCTGTCTATAAAGACCACCTGTGTAGTAAATACCTGCCTAAAAGACCACCTGTATAGCAAAAACCTGTCTTAAAGACCATCTGTGTAGCAAATACCTGTCTAAAAGACCACCTGTGTACCAAATACCTGTATAAAAGACCACCTGTGTAGAAAACACTGCCTCTTCATAGAAAATAACTTGTCAATATTAAGGGCCACTTCACTCATAGCCAAAACATGTATTCATAGATCATCACTGCTCAGCAAATACAATATCTATAAAAGCCACCTAAGTACACATATATAAAAATTAGCTATATAGAGTGGTCATATCAGTATAGCAAATAACTGTCTGTAAAGTTAATGGTCATATCAGTATAGCAAATAACTGTCTGTAAAGTTAATCTCTTAGCAAATAGATGTACATCAAAACTATCTCATTATAATAAATGTCTATATATGAATGTCATACCTTCCTTGCCAAAAACATTTGTAAAGCCCACATGAGCATAGAAAATATTTGTCTATAAAGCCCAAATGAGTATAGAAAATACCTGTCTATAATACCAAGGTAAGTATAGAAAATACCTGTCTATAATACCAAGGTAAGTATAGATAATACCTGTCTATAAAACAAAGGTAAGTATAGATAATACCTGTCCATAAAACCAACGGTAAGTATAGATAATACCTGTCCATAAAACCAAGGTAAGTATAGATAATACCTGTCCATAAAACCAAGGTAAGTATAGATAATACCTGTCTATAAAACCAACCTGGGTATATAAAATACCTGTCTGTAGGACCAACCTGAGTATAGAAAATACCTGTCTATAAAGCCCACCTTAGTATAGGAAATACTGGTCTATTAAGGGCAGTAACTGTGATATATATTTATCATTGGTATATTTCAGAGGTGAAACCTGTTGCAGCATTAGAAAGTGTAGCTGAGACAATAGAAGACTTAGAAGAGGAAACCAAAGAAGAAATTCGTCCGGAGACATTCAGAGGTAAGTCAATAATACCTGGGTCTGCTCTTGTTAAGTGTTATTTTTAGATACAGATGTGAAACTATATTACTTATAAAATACAACAACACAGAGTGTGGAAAATTGCTGGTTTATATAAGTGGTTGTTAGTAAAAGACTAAAAGATTTAGTGTGGATGGGTGGGGTGGGGGAGGGTTATACTTATGTATTGGAATTGGGGTGTCGGTAGATGGACAAACATTTTAATTTTTTAATTTTTATTTATGATTTTGACTATTTTTTATGGGAATTATACCCTTTTTTCTGATTACTGTTTATAGATGATATTCTCTGAAGTTGTGAATCTTGGTACACACGAGTGCTACGTTCATGCAGTTGTGCCCCTTTTTCTGAAATTTGGGGATATTTAGTTAGTCTGTGGCTAACAGTTCTAGTTCATGCATAATATTTTTTTTGAAAAATCTGTAAGAAGCTTTGCATAATGTTAATTAGTGCCTTCCCCGAGCTATGGTGTTAGTGGTAACCTTTGTATCCAGATGGAGACTGGCGACTGTACGTTACGACGGGATCCGACGCAGTCATGGGTACTACTAACGGTGTGTCACTCTATGTCTACGGAACCAGTGGTGTCATGGGACCTATCTCTCTTGGCCAGGACGATGAGGAGCCTCACTTTGATTCTGGGGTCACTGACGAGTTTAAGGTACTCTTTTACGCTTTCCCTGTAAATAGGTGTTATGGCCAGGTCCTATATTATTATTTTAACTATCATATGATGAGTTACAGTATTGTTGACTGGAATTTTTTAATGGATATTGCTTGTTTCTCTCAAAAAGTACCAAAGGGAATATGATGAGACTTGATATGCATGATACCCTTTTGTCCTGCCAGCCAATTAAGATTTTACATATCAAGTTTGTTACTACTATTTCAGAGTTACAGAGGGGGATCATGACAAAACATGGTTTACATGATCCCCTTATTTCCTGGTTGTGCCTATTGAAATTTGTGGTAATCAAAAAGCAATTAAAATAGCCACCAGGCCAATATTAGATTTTGTAGGATTATTGCATGTAAAGGCTAACAACACTATATATTCTGTAAAGTGTAGGACTATTGCATGTAAAGGCTAACACCACTATATATTCTGTAAAGTGTAGGACTATTGCATGTAAAGGCTAACAACACTATATATTCTGTAAAGTGTAGGACTATTGCATGTAAAGGCTAACAACACTATATATTCTGTAAAGTGTAGGACTATTGCATGTAAAGGCTAACAACACTATATATTCTGTAAAGTGTAGGACTATTGCATGTAAAGGCTAACAACACTATATATTCTGTAAAGTGTAGGACTATTGCATGTAAAGGCTAACAACACTATATATTCTGTAAAGTGTAGGACTATTGCATGTAAAGGCTAACAACACTATATATTCTGTAAAGTGTAGGACTATTGCATGTAAAGGCTAACAACACTATATATTCTGTAAAGTGTAGGACTATTGCATGTAAAGGCTAACAACACTATATATTCTGTAAAGTGTAGGACTATTGCATGTAAAGGCTAACAACACTATATATTCTGTAAAGTGTAGGACTATTGCATGTAAAGGCTAACAACACTATATATTCTGTAAAGTGTAGGACTATTGCATGTAAAGGCTAACAACACTATATATTCTGTAAAGTGTAGGACTATTGCATGTAAAGGCTAACAACACTATATATTCTGTAAAGTGTAGGACTATTGCATGTAAAGGCTAACAACACTATATATTCTGTAAAGTGTAGGACTATTGCATGTAAAGGCTAACAACACTATATATTCTGTAAAGTGTAGGACTATTGCATGTAAAGGCTAACAACACTATATATTCTGTAAAGTGTAGGACTATTGCATGTAAAGGCTAACAACACTATATATTCTGTAAAGTGTAGGACTATTGCATGTAAAGGCTAACAACACTATATATTCTGTAAAGTGTAGGACTATTGCATGTAAAGGCTAACAACACTATATATTCTGTAAAGTGTAGGACTATTGCATGTAAAGGCTAACAACACTATATATTCTGTAAAGTGTAGGACTATTGCATGTAAAGGCTAACAACACTATATATTCTGTAAAGTGTAGGACTATTGCATGTAAAGGCTAACAACACTATATATTCTGTAAAGTGTAGGACTATTGCATGTAAAGGCTAACAACACTATATATTCTGTAAAGTGTAGGACTATTGCATGTAAAGGCTAACAACACTATATATTCTGTAAAGTGTAGGACTATTGCATGTAAAGGCTAACAACACTATATATTCTGTAAAGTGTAGGACTATTGCATGTAAAGGCTAACAACACTATATATTCTGTAAAGTGTAGGACTATTGCATGTAAAGGCTAACAACACTATATATTCTGTAAAGTGTAGGACTATTGCATGTAAAGGCTAACAACACTATATATTCTGTAAAGTGTAGGACTATTGCATGTAAAGGCTAACAACACTATATATTCTGTAAAGTGTAGGACTATTGCATGTAAAGGCTAACAACACTATATATTCTGTAAAGTGTAGGACTATTGCATGTAAAGGCTAACAACACTATATATTCTGTAAAGTGTAGGACTATTGCATGTAAAGGCTAACAACACTATATATTCTGTAAAGTGTAGGACTATTGCATGTAAAGGCTAACAACACTATATATTCTGTAAAGTGTAGGACTATTGCATGTAAAGGCTAACAACACTATACATTCTGTAAAGTACCAATGGGATCATTATGAAACTTAGTATGCTTGATCCCTCTGTTCCTAATTGTACATGTTCCAATTTGAGGAGAATCAGAATTCCAGCAGAAAAAAAACCCTCATAGACAATATTGCAACTTGGTTTGCACAATCCCCTTGGTACCTGTACATGTGCTCATTCAAGAAAAGAATAGAGAAATGAAGAGATGAGATATCTGGCATATACCAGCAATAACCCATAATCTTTCATAAGTGTGTCCCAGCATCTCTCTTGGATCTCTTAATTTTAACATGTTTAGTTATTGATGACTGCATTGACACGTTTAAAAGGTACGCAAGAATGAGTGAATTGTTTCTTATAGGTAATTTAACTATTATAGGGGAGATAACTCTTCCACATAATCGGAGCCACAACATAAAAAGTAGTGTTTTAAATAAAATCCTTATTATTTAAGAACCTGATGAGAACTGGGGCAGGATAATAACTTTGTATATTTTTGTAGGTGTTTATAGGCCCCGAGCTGGGAGACCTGTACAAGCTGAGGATAGGCCATGACGACAAAGACACCACTTCTGGCTGGTTCCTACAAACGGTCAGTACCTCAATAAATTTCTATAAATAAAAAGTACCTCACCATATGTTTACAATGAGACCTAAGCATTATTGATGAAAACGTTTTGGAAATTTCAAAAGATCTGGTCAGTCTTGAGTACAGTAAAACATGTTAATTACAATTGCCCCACAACCTTAAAACACAATTTCATTGTAGACATAATCATTATAGAGTTTGCTGGTCATGAGAAAATTCCTTTTCAAGGGACACATTTGTAACTTCATTTAAATCAATACTTGGTAATATGTTATGTGTAGTAAGATCATGTTTATTTGTATTATGCAAGTAATACTTACTGTTGTATCCAAAGACTGATTTTACTTTTATGTAAAACATGACTAATTCTATTTATAGATGAAGATGATAAACATAATGACGAGTGAGGAACATGTGTTCAATTTACACCGGTGGATGTCAAGGTCGCGTGATGATCGTGATGTGTGGCGGGAGATTCCTGTGTCGACCAAGGGCAAGCCACTGTTGCCAGGTAGGTACTTCACTGTAGTGGTGTGTTGTATACAGCATGGGGGCCTTCTTCAGCATGGTATTGGATAGGGAGTGGGGCATCTTATTGTTTCTTGTCTCGTGGGTGATGTATACAGCATTGTATTGGATAGGGAGTGGGGCATCTTACTGTTTCTTGTCTCGTGGGTGATGTATACAGCATGGTATTGGATAGGGAGTGGGGCATCTTATTGTTTCTTGTCTCGTGGGTGATGTATACAGCATGGCGGCCTCTTATCAGCATTGTATTGGATAGGGAGTGGGGCATCTTACTGTTTCTTGTCTCGTGGGTGATGTATACAGCATGGTATTGGATAGGGAGTGGGGCATCTTACTGCTTCTTGTCTCGTGGGTGATGTATACAGCATGTTATAGGATAGGGAGTGGGGCATCTTATTGCTACTTGTCTCGTGGGTGATGTATACAGCATGGCGGCCTCTTTTCAGCATTGTATTGGATAGGGAGTGGGGCATCTTCTTGTTTCTTGTCTCGTGGGTGATGTATACAGCATGGTATAGGATAGGGAGTGGGGCATCTTATTATTTCTTGTCTCGTGAGTGCATATTGCAGCATGGAGAAACTTGTTTTATGCAGCCATTGCGCCTACTTCCAAACTTCATGAAGGATTTTTAACCAAGATGAAGTCAAATGAATTACATGTACGATTTATAATATATACAGGTCTGTAAGATTTGTATGATTTATCTATAAGTTTTCAGATAAATACCTGTAAGATTTGTATAATTTATCTGTTAGTATAAAGATACATACCTGTAAGATAATGTGTGTGATTTACTTGTAAAATTTGTTTGAGCATGCTGCACAATCTGTTTTGAAAACCTGTATGTGCTGTACCTGTATGTGCTGTACCTGTATGTGTTGTACCTGTATGTGATGTACCTGTATGTATAGTATCTGTATGAGTAGTACCTGTATGTGCTGTACCTGTAAGTGTTGTGCCTGTATGTATAGCATCTGTATGTGTTGTACCTGTATGAGCTGTACCTGTATGTATAGTATCAGTATGTGTTGTACTTGTATGAGTTGTACCTGTATATGCTGTACCTGAATGTGTTGTACCTGTATGTGCTGTGCCTGTATGTGCTGTACCTGTATGTGTTGTGCCTGTATGTATAGTATCTGTATGTGCTGTTCCTGTATATGTTGTACCTGTATGTGCTGTACCTGTATGTGTTGTACCTGTATGTGTTGTACCTGTATGTGCTGTACCTGTATGTATAGTATCTGTATGAGTAGTACCTGTATGTGCTGTACATGAACGTTTTGTGCATGTTTTGCATGTTTTCCATCTGGCCATTTGTGTGCTGCCTCACACTGCTGTCACCTTTTTCAGTTATAACCTACACAGTCCAAGTACACACCGGTTCTCAGCTCAGCTCTGGTTCCACAGCTGATGTGTTTGTATGCATGCATGGTCAGCGAGGTGATACTGGTCGTCGTAAACTTGTCAAGTCAGAGACTACAGATTCAGCTGTGTTCCAGCAAGGCACTGTATGTTATTCCAAAGATGTGTAGTTTAAATAGTGTATTATTGGATAACATTCTTGGAAGAAAGATTATACGAGAACAAAAAAGAGCATTTACATTTGAATAATTCATTTTAGTAACAAGTTTTCTTCATATATAAAATACCACACTCTTAAACCTTCTTCATTTAGCCATTACACAATAAGATTTGAACTAAAATGTAACATTGTTTCCATGGTAACTAGATGGATGTGTTCCACATTGAGGCTGTGTCCCTTGGCGAGCTGAAGAAGATCACAATAGGTCACAATAACAAAGGCGATGACCCAGGCTGGTTCCTGGACAAGGTTGTTGTCAAGGAGGCTGAGAAGAATGATGCAGAAGAGATTTTCTTCCCCTGCAACAGGTGAACTGTTCAATGTCAATGCCTGATAGTTCTTACCTACATAATTTAAGCGGTAAAAAGAAGGATGGTTTTAAAGATAAGGGTCAATATTTCTCTTTCTGTGTCTGCTACTGTTCAGGACTACCATGCTATAGATTTCACATATGTCTGAATATATTTGATGTTTTTTAGTTTTTATTCCTTCTTCAATGTTAAAAATAACATATTTATGATATAGATGGCTGGATGAGAACCAGGATGATGGCAAATGTGAAATTGACCTAATTCCACAGAAACCAGTCAAGAAGTCTGGTAATATTGTGTTTTATTATTAAATATCAGATATAACCTATTGAAAATGTGTTTGCTACCTTTGCACAACATTCATGAAATGTTTTTTAGTTAATTTTAATGTTAAAATGTTAATTTAATCTTTGAAATTCTTGTTGGAAATTTTTCACATCATCATACACATCATTTTTTAATACTATTCAGTAAGGAAAGCATTTGTCAGATGTAATTGAGATGAGGTCCTCCCACAGGGGAACTGTATACATGAAGTAATATACATGTTATTTGTATAAACCATACAGAGGGAGAATACAAAGTGTGGATACAGACAGGGGAGGAATCAAAGCCCTCCAATGGAGGAACTGTATCAATGGTTGTGTATGGAGAAAATGGCAAGACAGACCAGATCAAACTGTTTGCCCCCAATCCAACTGCCAAGCTGTTTGAACCAGGCAATATTGACCAGTTTGAGGTAAGAGGTTCACACAAGAGATATGGAAGTTAATAATGGAGTTCCTTGTAAATTTTATTGTCACTGCCAAAGTTTGTAATGGAGTTACAAACCAAGGTCATTTCCATTACCAAAGTTAATTGTCAAGGTCTTCAACACATCCAACTTTGATAATGATATTACTTGTCAAGTTCATCATAACACTACCAAACTTACATGTCAATGTCACTATCGCTACCAAAACTACTTCTGAAGTTACTCGTCCAAGTCCTTATCACTTCAAAGGCTGCTATTGAAGTTGCAATAACCTCTGTTAGCTGACTCGCCGTTATATTTGTCAGCTGTGCTTTATGTAAGATTTTTTGTGTGTTATATCGGTAACCGGTAACATCATTTTAACCTGTAGTGTTTAATGTTGTTTACAGGTAGAGGTGGGAGACATAGGAGAGCTCTACAAGATTCGTACTGTCAGGGAGGACACCCCTAAGTGGGAGGGATGGTACCTCCGTGAGGTAATTATTAACATGTGCCGAGCCACCTGTAGTCAGGGGAGATAACTTTATATAACTCTATATCCATGATGGCATGAGTTTTCAAGTGTATGGCCCAAGGAAGAAGAAATTTGGATAAATCGTGTATTATAGCTAGAGACATGGCATAAAACCTCATTAATAAAAAATTGGTAAATCAGGATTTAATATGCTGCTTTCTAAGGATCAAATTAGTGTTGGACGATTGTTCATGTTTCATTTCCCAAAAATTTAAACAGCTTTGAATGCACAAAATCATATTTATTGAGAAAATCTTATTTAACATTACGGGAAGGTTTTGTGTAACACATCCTACTATCCACCCATCACTATCTCATTGATGCTTTTGAAGGTGAAGCTACAGGATAATGCAACCCAGGAAGACTTTGTATTTGGCTGTAACAGATGGCTGGCTCGGGACCAGGACGACTTTGATGTAGTCCGAGAGTTTCCAGTGGTTAAAGCGAATAAAACACCACCTTCTGGTCAGTTGTATATGAATTTAAAAAAAATGTTTCTATGCTTATATTGTCATGAATTCACCAAAGACATAATGTTTATTTTTTTAAAAGAGGGAACCAATGTTGAGTGTCGCCTGCGAAAAGCTGGTGACACATAGGTATTGCTTTGTCGGCGTCGGCGTCCGAACAGAGGTTTTCGTGCGATAACTTGAATTTCCTTTGGCCGATCAAACTCAAACTTCATGCAGTGCTTCCTTACCAAAAGTGCTTGCTTGGGATTTTTTTTCAGGTGTGAAGGTCAAAGGTCAAGGTCACTGTTACTATAAATAGAAACTTCACTAAAACTGTATACTGGACGGCTTCGATCTACCACTTGACCCACCGTGTATACCTCTGAAATGCCGTCTTATTCCAAATGTTATTGACAACACTAGTTGTTTAACATCATAATCCACAAGTTTATTCATTTATTCATGGGAAACCATCCGACAAATCATACAAATTAAACTAGGAATTGAGACAATGAGTATCCATAGCAAGTTCCTTAAAACCTTCCCAGAATAACAGATTATATAACAAAATGATGCCATCCAAAAACATAATCTATGATTATTGCTTACTTTTAACATTATTTCTTGAAATGAAAAGTGTATCTATTTCTTCGTAATCTCCCAGCTTCCTGCGCAGGCGACTACAAATAAGACTGGTAATTTCTAATTTGTGGTTTTTATAGTGTTAAAAGCTAATGTTGCAGTGTTTTAAGTACAAGGATTATATTCAAGAGTTTTTAGTGCCTAAAGTTCATGTTCCATTATGTAATGTTTATGTTCCAGTGTCTAAAGTGTATTTATGTTTATGTTCCAGTGTATATAGTGTATTTATGTTTATGTTCCAGTGTCTATAGTGTATTTATGTTTATGTTCAAGTGTATATGGTGTATTTATGTATATGTTCCAGTGTCTATAGTGTATTTTATATGTTTATGTTCCAGTGTCTATAGTGTATTTATGTTCCAGTGTCTCTAGTGTATTTATGTTGATGTTCCAGTGTCTATAGTGTATTTATGTTTATGTTCCAGTGTCTATGGTGTATTTATGTATATGTTCCAGTGTCTATGGTGTATTTTATATGTTTATGTTCCAGTGTCTATAGTGTATTTATGTGTATGTTCCAGTGTCTCTAGTGTATTTGTGTTGATGTTCCAGTGTCTACATTGTATTTATGTTTGTGTTCCAGTGTCTAGTGTATTTATATATATGTTCCAGTGTCGATAGGGAAGTTAATATGTTTATGTACCAGTGTCTATAGTGTACTTAATATGTTTATGTACCAGTGTCTATAGTGTCTTTATGTTTATGTTCTAGTGTCTAGTGTATTTATGTATATGTTCCATTGTCTAGTGTATTTATGTTGATGTTCAAGTGTCTATGGTGTATTTATGTATATGTTTCAGTGTCTATGGTGTATTTATGTATAAGTTCCAGTGTCTATAGAGTGTTTATGTTTATGTTCAAGTGTCTATAGTGTATTTTATATGTTTATGTTCCAGTGTCTATAGTGTGTTTATGTTTATGTTCCAGTGTCTATAGTGTATTTTATATGTTTATGTTACAGTGTCTATAGTGTCTTTATGTTTATGTTCAAGTGTCTATGGTGTATTTATGTTCCAGTGTCTATAGTGTATTTATGTTCCAGTGTCTATAGTGTATTTATGTTTATGGTCCAGTGTCTATGGCATATTTATGTTTATGTTCCAGTGTATATAGTGTATGTATGTTTATGGTCCAGTGTCTATAGTGTATGTATGTTGATGTTCCAGTGCGTATAGTGTTTTTATGTTGATGTTCCAGTGTCTATAGTGTATTTATTATGTTTATGTTCCAGTGTCTATAGTGTATTTATGTTTATGTTTCAGTGTTCCACTACGAGGTGACTGTATATGTCGGTGAGAACTGGGCTGCTGGAACAGACTCTAGTGTTTTTATCAACATATTTGGAAAGAAAGGAGACACAGGGAGAAGATTGCTGTACCACTCCAAGTCTAACAGTCAGCCACTGCAGCGGGGCCAGGTTAGTATCTGCCAACTTGTCAGAGTGGACATTTTGTGTTGTGGAAATGTTTGCATAAATTAGCTCAAAAAAATTTGCACACAACTATTTATAGATTATATGGATTATAAAAAAAAAACCCACACTGCAGTCAGTTTAAACAGTCACAACATGAACATTTCCCCACACAAAACTTTTCACTATAACAGTACTTTGTACTTGTCCAAAAATATGCAAGGGCAGGTTCAGATTTTAGCTGGGTTGACTCTGAGAATTAGTTCCCTTTATTGTTGACAGAATTATTGATACATGTAGTTTAAAGATTCTGCATTTGCAATAAAATAACTAAACATGACAACCATTGTTTGTACAGGTGGACACTTTCCTGTTTGAGGCTGTTGCCCTTGACAACCTGACTCATATAGAAATAGGCCATGACACCAAAGGTCATGGAGCAGGTTTATTCATAGATCAGGTGACAGTGTCGGAGACTGATGGCCCTTCCCCGACCAGCCTGTACGTGTTTCCGTGTAGGCGCTGGTTGGACCAGAGGGAGGGTGACGGTAGAACTTGGAGGACCCTACCAGTTCTGGACATCAGGGATAGCACGAAACCAGCCAAACAGAAAAACCTGGCCAAGAAAACGAGTAAGTTCACACACATTGGACTCTTTTAATACAGTAAAACATTTGAGGACTACTTTGACAATAAAAATTGGAACCTAATACAAATATTCACCTGTGTTTATGGATCAATTTTTATAAAGCCCAGATAGTCTCTAAAAGACAGATTTCTCTATGTATTACTGGTACATGTAATCTTATTGTTGAAGTGAGATATAATTCAGATAGTCTCTAAAAGACAGGTTTCTCTATGTATTACTGGTACATGTAATCTTACTGTTGTAGTGAGATATAATTCAGATAGCTCTTTTTGATGGAGGATATATTGATACATGATTTGAAGAGGGAGGCCTGAAAATAGACATTAACCGTGTATCTGTGTTTCAGAGGGGAAGTATAATATTGTGATAAAGACTAGTGAACGGCCGGGATCAGGTACACGTGCCCAGGTCTTCATCACAGCCGAGGGGACAAAGGGCAAGGCTGACCGACAACCACTCGGCAATGTAACCACTAATGAAGTGCTGTTTGATGAGGGAGTCACCTCAGAGTTCAATGTAAGGACCAGTAACTACTTAAGATTGTTCCATGATACTTTTTTCTATTTCTATAAGCTGATCTATTGCATAGCATTTCAATGACCCTGATCACAAAGTCAGTGTCAAAATTTGAGGTCTAAGTTATGCTGTTTTGTTCACAATACTATCATTTGAATTATTGATACATTTTTATATTGAACTTTCATTTTCATTCAGAAATATTTACCATAATGTCTAATTTAAGTATGCTTTATACAAAGAACTACCCATAGTTTGTATCCAAAATAAAATTAAAAATTAAGTGTAAAAAGATGCACACTTAAGTTATGGTATAATATTATCAGAATTTGTTTTAAAATAGGAAATTTCAGTATTACCTTAGTATTCCTCTATATGTAAATAAAAACAGTATGTCCTTCCCATTATCTACAGATGGACTTTGGTGAGATAGGAGACCTGACAAAGATCCAGCTGGACCATGCTAACCAGAACCCTAACCCAAGCTGGCATGTCGACTGGGTAGGTACAAGTTTATAAATGAAGACTTAATAGTATATGAAAGAAAAATCAAGAAATTTTTATATTATCCCCCATTTTCAAAGGCATTAATCTAACAGTGGAGAGTGTCTCCTACTATCTAGTGTACAAGAGACAAATATGTTCCTTGCAGATCAAGCTGACTGACATTGACACAGAGGAGGAGATGGAGATATTTGTGGATCGCTGGTTTGCTCGGGACGAGGATGACGGTCAGATATCAAGAGAGTTTCCCATTGTCAGAAAGGGAAAGATACCTCTTCCAGGTAAGGACTGAACAGATCATTTATCATTTGATATAGGATGTACCTGTCTCTTGGATTGATACTTTCGTGATTGTGTTGCAAAGGACTTGTTTCTGAGGATTTACTATGTAAAATGAATCTTGCCAGATATGTTAAAAATCAATTGACACTCCTTGCTTAGAATTAATACTTATGAAATAAATATTTGAGAGATTTCAAAAGTCACTATCAGCTCTCGCCTCAAACAAATGTGAAAATATAAATCTTGTGAAGTTATAGTAATTTAGAATATGTATGAGATTAAATCAATTCCTTCACAGTAACAAATTGAGTATGACCTTTGACCTCCACAGACAGACAATACGTGATTGAGATACAGACGGGTAATTATCCTGAGGTATCTGTGGCCCAAGGGAAGGCCTTCCTAACCCTGACTGGAAGTGACGGGGACACTGGGAAACGGCCCCTGGACAAGCCTTTCTTTAACAGTTCTCAGCTGTGGAGGCCAGGGCAGGTGGATGTGTTCATTATAGAGGCAGTGTCTGTGGGCAAAATGCAGACATTGCAACTTCAGTTCGAGGGCAAAGGCAAAGGTAGGTCAATGCTGCCTTAATTTTGGCCTCATTTCCCTTATAATATTAGTAATGAAAAATATAATAAAAAATCAAGCAAATAAATTAATTTAAGATTTTTCGAAATTGTTAGAATTGAATTAAATGTTATTATGATTTTTGAGTTCACATGATATAATTTTTCCTCCCTCGTCTTTTAATTCCTAATTTCTGTGCCAAGACTATAAAGAGATGTGGTGTTTCAGACAAAGTTTGGTTTGTGGAGCGTGTCAGTGTGTTTGAGGGTCTTAGTGCAGTATCTCAGATTGTGTTCAACTGTCAGCATTGGATTGATGTCAACGCTGTGATCCCAGACAAGTTCAAAGTTTCAGGTAAGTACATACATAATAAAAGTTACAGGAAAGTACCCAAGGTATATACAGTATACCATACATTACATATTTTTGTTTTTTGGTGAAGATCATAATTATTCATAATATAGTACTGTTTTATAGCATTGTTTCAACAGTGTTTCTAATTTTAATTCTGACTTTTTCTTTGGGATAAATGTAAAAAAACCAATAGATGTTTATTGGAAAACTTTGTGCCATGAGATAGATGTAGATAAGGTTGTTGAATGCTTTATGGCTATGTCTTTCTCTTCAGAAATACTGCCATCGCTTTGTCCTAATGAGATAACACAAAAGTGGTTCAAGGATGTTCAGCCTTTGAGGTCAAGTGGACAGTGGTCACTACAGGTGTTCTGTGGTCAGCAAACTTCTGGAGCTACGACAGAGGAGGTCTACTGTGTAGTGTATGGCCTCAATGGTCAAACTGACCAAATACATCTAAATGCTGACCACCAGTTTACACGTGGTGCTGTGGTCAAGTTGGAGGTGGGTGTAATCAACATAGGTCACAGTCAAGGTTCATTATTACAAAACAGTTTTTTATTGTTACCTGAAAAAAATCCCTTGGCTGAAATTGTTTGTTAATTTTTGATATTTCCAGTTAGTACTAGTTGTAAAACCTTATTGCAAGATTTTCTTGTCAAATATTGCTATAGAAGTTTTGTAAATACTTTTGTTTTCCAAATTTTTTGTATTCAAAACTCATCTCGTTTTGCTCTTTGGTATCAAAAATGGTCTTGTTACATGATATGATGAATAGTGTGTAATCTTTCAGCTTCTGAAACTGAATTACTTTTGCTTTGTGTACAGGTGAATTTAGGGGACATTGGTGCAATATACAAGATAAGAGTTTACTTTGGTGGCGACTACACTGGTGCTGCCTGGTTTCTCCATAAGGTGAGTACTTTGTTTAATGGTGAAGGTTTTACTGGTGGCCATAGTAACAATAGGTTTAACTGGTAGCCATAGTAACAGTATTTTTACTGGTGGCCATAGTAACAGTAGGTTTTACTGGTGGCCATAGTAACAGTAGGTTTTACTGGTTTCCATAGTAACAGTAGGTTTAACTGGTAGCCATAGTAACAGTAGGTTTTACTGGTGGCCATAGTAACAGTATTTTTACTGGTGGCCATAATAACAGTAGGTTTTACTGGTGGCCATAGTAATAGTAGGTTTAACTGGTAGCCATAGTAACAGTATTTTTACTGGTGGCCATAGTAACAACAGGTTTAACTGGTAGCCATAGTAACAGTAGGTTTTACTGGTAGCCATAGTAACAGTAGTTTTGCTGGTGGTTGTTGGGGTGGGCAACAAATCAACTTCCTTGGATTTCTTGTGTTTTCTTTAGATGACTTGGTGAAAGTAATAAAATGATAATGCCTTGTACTTTTCATGCCAATATTCAGTAAACACTGAACAGTGAGTTCACGTGACGAGTGTAATTGACAGTTATTATCAATAAATGAAATAGAGCAAGCTTAAAGTCTAGGACCACAAACAGCACGTTGTGAGGTCTACATCTTCTGTTTGTTTTTCATTTTCTGTTCTGTCTGTCTGTACAATAAATAAGATGGATCCATGTATTTAGCCAGTAAAATAATCGTGTAAAGAAAAGTAGGGAATTTCAAATAAAAATTACTCACTGATGTCTGCAGTATGGAAATCCTTTTTGTTCAGTTTTGACACTCACTGGCTTCACTGTTTCAGGTGTTTTCCATTCCCAGTATAAATTTACCTATTTGTTAGCATTACAATTCAGTTATGTATAGCATTCTGTTTTAACAGTTAAAGTTGAGAGACCATGACACAGGGGAGGAGTTCAGTTTTGTGTATGATGGGGAGTTGGAAGGTACAGAGGATAATGCTGATGGCACTGTGGAGCTGGCTGCAATTAGACCCGACCAGGAACCTCTACAGGGTAAGTCTAGGGCTAAGTGGACCTGACCCGTAACCTCTACAGAGTAAGTCAGGAGCTAAGTGGACCTGTCAGGAACCTCTGCAGGGTAAGTCAGGGGCTAAGTGGACCTGACGAGGAACCTCTGCAGGGTAAGTCAGGGGCTAAGTGGACCTGTCAGGAACCTCTACAGGGTAAGTCAGGGGCTAAGTGGACCTGTCAGCAACCTCTGCATGGTAAGTCAGGGGCTATGTGGACCTGTCAGGAACCCCTACAGGGTAAGTCAGGGGCTAAGTGGACCTGTCAGGACCCCCTACAGGGTAAGTCAGGGGCTAAGTGGACCTGTCAAGAACCTCTGCAGGGTAAGTCAGGGGCTAAGTGGCCCTGTCAGGAACCTCTACAGGGTAAGTCAGGGGCTAAGTGGACCTGTCAAGAACCTCTGCAGGGTAAGTCAGGGGCTAAGTGGCCCTGTCAGGACCCTCTACAGGGTAAGTCAGGGGCTAAGTGGACCTGTCAGGACCCCCTACAGGGTAAGTCAGGGGCTAAGTGGACCTGTCAAGAACCTCTGCAGGGTAAGTCAGGGGCTAAGTGGACCTGTCAGGAACCTCTGCAGGGTAAGTTGGGGGCTAAGTGGACTTGTCAGGAACCTCTGCAGGGTAAGTTGGGGGCTAAGTGGACCTGAAAGGAATCTTCATATGATTAGTTTTGGGCAAGATGGACCTGACAAGGAATCTGAACAGGTTAAATCTGGGGCTTAGTGGACCTGAAAGGAACCTCTGCAGGGTAAGTCAGGGGCTAAGTGGACCTGTCAGGAACCTCTGCAGGGTAAGTCAGGGGCTAAGTGGACCTGTCAGGAACCTCTGCAGGGTAAGTCAGGGGCTAAGTGGACCTGTCAGGAACCTCTGCAGGGTAAGTCAGGGGCTAAGTGGACCTGTCAGGAACCTCTGCAGGGTAAGTCAGGGGCTAAGTGGACCTGTCAGGAACCTCTGCAGGGTAAGTCAGGGGCTAAGTGGACCTGTCAGGAACCTCTGCAGGGTAAGTCAGGGGCTAAGTGGACCCAAACAAAACTGTCACTGAGTAAGTTTTGAGCTTGGTGGACCTGGCCAGGCATGTCTAAAGGTTTCATTTTGCATTACGGGCCTAGATGTATCCTGAACCAGTAATCTCTGTAATGTGTTAGGCTAGGTGGACTCCAACAGGAAGCTCTACAATGTTAGCATGAGACTTGGTAGACCCAGTCAGGAATTAGAGTCTGTAATAGAATATTACAACAAATGTTGAACAAATTCAGTGATGGAATTGATTGAACTTGAAGTATTCTTATCACATTGCAGATAATGAATATACACTGTATGTTGCTACGGGAAATGAAGAACAGTCAGGTACTGAAGCTGATGTGTTCTGTGATCTGATTGGTCAGTGGGGAAACACAGGGAAAAGACTGCTGAGGAAATCCAAATCTGCTGTTCCATTTAAACAAGGCCAGGTATGAAATCTTTCTTAACATTCCTCCATGTGTACTTGTGTTGTGTTTGAATGTGATTGTTGTTATCCATATGTCAGTGAATGATGTTGTGATTTCCTTAGATTTTCTACAATCCTCATCTTGATGCTGAATGATCTGTTCCAGGTGGATGAGTTCACCATCTCTGGCCTTGACCTTGGAGAAATAAAGAAGGTTATGATTGGTCACAGTGAGAAGGGGCGTGGAAAGGGGTGGTTGTGTGCCCGGGTACTCGTCAAGTCATCACTCAACGAGGACCTGCGGATCTTCCCCTGTAACAGGTACCATTCTCTACACACGTGATTGGTCTTTGAATATTCCTGTTGGTTTGAATATGATATGTGATATGTAGAGGATTATCAGGATCCTTGATAATAAAGAAATTCAACTTCTGGACACTTTCATTATGATAGCAAAGAAATTTCAAATTCATTATTCTAAACTCCAGAACTAAATTTCAAGATTAATTAGGATTAAATTCATAGTTTAGATTGTACGTCTGCTTAATGACTAGCACATTGGCAATTCCTTGTCCAAGTTTGGATCTGTATGCAAACAAAGGTACTAAACATATCACTTTGTGACAGTGTTCCTTTGTGAGTTTGGCATAGAATCTGTGAGACCAACAGTTGTGAGTACAGCCCCTATGTGAGTTTGACATAGATTCTGTGAGACCAACAGTTGTGAGTATAGCTTCTATGTGAGTTTGACATAGATTCTGTGAGACCAACAGTTGTGAGTATAGCCCCTATGTGAGTTTGACATAGATTCTGTGAGACCAACAGTTGTGAGTATAGCCCCTATGTGAGTTTGACATAGATTATGGATGCCTTACAGATGGATGGACAGTGGATGTGAAGACCGACGTCTGGTACGAGAACTCCTACCCCTGGGGGCGATGCCCCTGACACAGTCTCCTGATGGAAAATCAGGTAAGACAGATACAGGTGTAAATGCACTAGTTGTAAGGTGTGAAGACTCCACTGAAATAGGCACAACAATGTATATAAGACATATCGACAGTCACTCTTGATCCAAGCTTTTGGGCTAAGTCCTTCATAAGCCCTTCATTAGGGATTGAATGGTCTGCACTCGTATGTCGCATCCATATTTGAAAACTTGCATTGTTTAGCATTCTCATCATGTAAACACATTCCTTCTTTATAATCTGACTCTATTGTAGGCTCATACTGGGTTGATAGATACTGACCATACAAATGCCAATTAGAATTGTTTGGTCTGATTGGATTTTAGAGGCCAAATGTCAAGATCACAGAGTTTTACAAAGTTTAATTACATGGCAATGTCTACAAAACAGGAGTTGATGTTTCTTAAATGTATATTTCCTTGTTTCAAGTTTTTAACTAAAGCAAAAAGGAAAGATTAAACCAAAGCTAACTCTGTTTATATGAGAATTGTAATTGTATGAATACATCAGTTTGTAAGTTCAAGTTGTCAGTATCTTCATAATTCAAGAGTTCCCCTCTAGATATATACATATCTGTCTGCTCCCTTAGAATATGTCATGAATAAAAATAAATGACCGTCTACAAGGGCCTTGACTTTGTCGTGACACATTCTAAGGGTTAGAGTAGTTTGGGATTGGAACCCTTTGTTTTTGAAGATGTGTAGTCAGTAGTGATATAGCCAATGACTTTGTAAAACATAAACATTAGACACTTTGTTTGTATCAACAGAGGGCCAATGGACAGTACAAGTGTGGTCAGCTGACCGTAGTCTACTGCCCAAGTCAGCAGAGGAACTGTCCAGTAAGTCTCGGTCAGTATCACTGACCGTCTACGGCAAGGACGGTGTGGAGGGACCAGTGGAACTAACAAACGAGGAACAGGAGAGATTCCTACCTGGAATGGTCAACAAGTTTCCGGTATGTTCTGTGTTATCTTCTTACTGTAGTACACACATAGTCATGTGTGATAGTAAAAGTATTTCAGTCCTAAGTGAGACCTGGAGCCATTTTATTTTATGGGGAACATTAACAGTTTTAAAAGTAACGTTATCAAGGGCTTAAACCTGGCAGAACTGAAGATGTTGATGAAATTTTAACGTCCATGCCAGGGCTTACCAGAAAAAATAAATGAACTACTCTAGTCGGACAAGCCTAATCATTTGGGATTTTACAAACAAAAAAAGGCCATAAACTTATGAAGTATTCACAAGGAACATGTACCGGTACTTCTGTTTTCTAAAATATGAATATTCATATATTTGATCCTTTAGAGATGAGATTTGTGTCTTACTTGGTAATTGTTTTATATAATTGTGGAAGGAACTAGTCTTTTAAGGGAAAAAGTGTACATAAATCTCTTAACACTGCTCATAGATCTGCTTTTATTTCAAAGGGAAACGTAATAATATATTTCTGTTGGAGTAAGTGTGTCCTTTGGGTCTCCAGCTTGTGTTTCCAGTAAGACCGTACAGATATGTGAATTTACCACAGGAAGTGTATACAGTGGTACCAATGATTACTTATACTGTAATATGTAAATTTCATTAAAATGTTGATGTTGCAATTCTGTCTTAGTCTGAAAGTTCAATTGTTCACAGGCAATTGATCTCAGTAAGGTAGGAGACCTCCACAAGATCCGTGTGAGCTCCGGTCTGGATGAGGATCCCAATCCTGTGTGGACCATCTCAAAGGTGGGTTACTCCCTTCATTGTATAGGTGTTTAATCTAAAGCCTATGTAACATAAGACAGTGTTCATTTATCTGTCAATCAAACATCCTGTTATTGAAACTGTGCCAGACTATATAATATGTATTTCTTTTCAAATGTTTCAGAATAAAAGAATTGTATGAACCACTAAAATGTTATCTTACCTAATGGAGGCTTTTGAAATGCCCACAATAGAATAAAACTCTTTTCTGCCCCCACATTTTCTCCCTGTGTACACCTGTTGTTAACTTGTGTTGCAGCTTGTACTAACTGACTCGGTGACAGAGGAACAGCTGCTGTTTGACTTCTCTGGCTGGGTTGGAGAGGAGGGTGGAGACATCAGAAAGGAACTTCCAGTCATCAAAATGGGCAAAGGATACAAACAAGGTGTGTGGTTTCCGTTCAGATTATGGGGCTACAATATACAATGTCATTATGGATTACAAACACCAAATATTGAAGTGTCCGTTTGAAAAATAGATGATTTAATATGAGGATTTAATAAAAAAAAATTGTACTGTAGCAAACATCTGTTTTCATGGTCAAAACTGATTTTAGATCAGTTGACAATGCAGCAAAGATACACGATGTCCTTACTGACTTTGACTTTTTCAATGTACTGTATTTCTGGGTTAATTTCCCTGATGACATTTAAAAAAAATCCTGGTAGCAAATCAAGTTTTAAGTTAAGTTAAAAAGATCTTTTGTTTTTATGTCAACATAAATATCAATGTTTTTAGCATTACCAACTGTATTGAGTCTGTTCCATCCCTGATTCCTGTGTTAATGTATTACAGTGGTGCCGTACTACGTCGAGGTTTACACAAGTGAAGAGGAAATGAACGCTGGGACCAAGGCCAATGTCTACCTCACACTCTACGGCCAACAGTTTGACTCCGGTCGCCGACACCTCACAAAGAGTCATACCAACAAAACCAAGTTCCAGACAGGGCAGGTAGGTCATGCTCATTTCCTTATAGGGACCACATAATTCCTTATAGGGACCACATAATTCCTTATAGGGACCACAGAATTCCTTATAGGGACCACAGAATTCCTTATAGGGACATAGGGACCACATAATTCCTTATAGGGACCACAGAATTCCTTATAGGGACCACAAAATTCCTTATAGGGACCACAGAAATCCTTATAGGGACCACAGAATTCCTTACAGGGACCACAGAATTCCTTATAGGGACCACAGAATTCCTTATAGTGACCACAGAATTCCTTGTAGGGACCACAGAATTCCTTACAGGGACCACAGAATGAAAATAGCTTCATTGTCTCTTATCATTAGCATTTTGTAATGCCCAGGGTGAACCAAATGTTTTATGTAAAAGTATAATTGAACTAATACAGAAAAATACAAAAAAAATACACGCGATTTGAAATTTTGGATAAGTTTTGAAAACAAAACTGTTTACTTTTATAGGTGGACATATTCCGACTAGAAGCAGTCGACCTTGGGGAGCTGGCCAAGGTTGTCGTGGAGAAGGGACCTGGTGACCCCTGGCTCCTGGAAAAGGCCACCGTGAAGGCCGGAGAATTTAAGAATATAGAATATATATTTGATTATAACAAGTAAGTTATTCATATTTTGAAATCTGAAATAATGTTTACAGGATATTTAATAGTGACAGGGAAATTTGAGGCATAGCACAAAGATGATTTTAAATTATGCTGCTGTCAGGTTTAAAGACAGTTGTAGACAAAGAGAATATGGAGAGGGTATCACGCTGTCTGTCCGTCTGTTGTTCATCACTCAAATTATGAGTTTGGATGGACCAAGCTTGCTACATTATTTGTGTAATTGTTTTGTTATTTGTGGAACTAGGGTACCTGGTATAACTCGAAAAATCACATTACTTTAAGGTCACAATCATTATTGTATATTTTTGGGTTTTCTGCCATATGCAAGTTTTATAGAGCCACTGGTTTATCAATAGAATTTTATTTTTTATATTATTGATTTTTTATGTCACTAAGTTAATATAACTGTTGTATTGAATAAAAAAAAGTGTTGTTTGTTGATTCTGAGGTCAGAGATAATGATGATAGTGTCTTTTATATAATTAAATCTGCTTTACAACATGATCTTTAGATATTTTTTATAGATTCCATATAATTTGTTTTGATGGTCAAGGTCATAGTAATTGCAAATCATGTTCTAATGGAGAGGCATTTTCTTGCCATAATGATAGTTAAATCTAGTTTATTTTTGAGTGGTATTTTATCATGCGTGATGACGATGTACTATGATGTCTGTCTCCTGTTGTAGATGGGTCGGTACCAAGGAGGAAAAGGACAAGGAAGCCGAGGTCAATATACGCATCACCAAAGTGGAGCCAAGCACTGTGGTGCTACCTTACGGGGTCGACTATAATCCCACTGTGTCAAGTGAGTACTCAGGTCAAGGTCATCATAATCCCATTGAATCAAGTGCAGAATAGGGTGAAGGTCATATGGTTTGCTATAAAAGTAAACAGGCAATTATTGATTGTAATTGGGTTGGGGAGTACCATTATTTTTATTTTACTAGTGTTCATTCTTGTTAATATGAAAGATTTTTTTATTTTTATTTTAAATGATTTTTAGAGGGATCATGGACTGTGGAAACTGAGACTGGTGGACAGAAGGGTGGAGACTCTGCCTCTGATATCGTCATGGTGATGTGTGGAGACAAGGGGGAGGCCCGTCCCACACTTCTTAAGTCCACACGGGACAATGCCTTCCAGATAGGAATGACCGACACTTGTAAGGTAAGGAATGAAAGTTATGGTAGGCATGACTGACTCTGGTAAGGTAAGGGGAGGTTATTTTACTTGGTATGACTGATATAAGGGGAAATTATCAAAAATTATCAAAAAGTTGGATTTGAAGACATTTTTTTGACAATGGGAGGCAAACAGAAGAATTCTGTTATCACTGTATTTTTAGGTATTGATTAACATGATATAGTGGATTTCTATAATCTAAAGCTAAATGTCTTTCAGTTGACATTGTCGGATGATATTGGAGAGCTGTACAAAGTGAGGATAGGTTTTCAGGACAACTCACAACCTAAAGGCTGGTATCTACGCAAGGTAATATATCTTATTCTACGAAAAAATTAGGTTTGCTTTGGGGGGGAAATTTTTTTTATTTCTATATACTGAAATGTCATTAATCAGCAGGTCAGGTGTCTTAAAAAACACTGTTATTGTAGTATTATTATCTTCAATAAGTGTCATAAGTTAAAACAGATGTTATTCAAGATCTGCTGCTTGTTTTCCATCACAATTTTCATTGTATACTTGTAAAGATAGTTTGAAGTCACAGCGTATTTTAATGTGTTAAAACCATACCCTTAATACAATGTTTATGATTGTATTCAGATAAAATGTGAGGATAACGACACCGGTGACATTTTTACTTACGAACTCAATGATTGGGTGACAGTGGATGACAAACTGGATGGCTGGAGGGAGTTCCCAGTGGTGTGGCCGGCCATACTGGTACCACAAGGTAAACACTTGTCTATATGTGTAGATTTATATGTGATGTCAGTTAAGATTTTTTTTTACAATGAAACAAGGTTAGAATTGTTCGTACAGAGAAGCGTTTTCTCAGCTCAAACAGAAACAAACTGAAACATTGTGATAATGTTCATATGAAATTTCAAGATCCTGTTTATCCCATAACAAAGATTTTATGCTAATAATCTCAATGTTTTCAACTATGTCATATCAAAGTCTGTGACATTATCCTATTATCCTAATTGTGATGTCACAAGGTAAAACTACTTGTTATGTAATTGCTGTGTAATAGAAGTGGTCAGGTAGGTCATGTGACCTGATGTGGTATTTTGATTAGTTAGACTATATCATGTGACCTACTATGGTATTTTAATTGGTTTGTCTATATCATGTGACCTACTATGGTATTTTGATTGGTTGGACTATATCATTTGACCTACTGTGTTGCAGTGATGCGGTACCAGGTGTATGTACACCTTGGACAGGTCCGCAAACCAGTAGAGGATGTGTATATCTACCTGTACGGGGACAGGGGTGGCACCGGCAAACGCAGCCTCAAACATTCACTGTCCAACACCGACAAGTTCCAACATAACCAGGTAAGTAAACCATTGTCTACATCAATCTTAGGATTAGAATGTATTTGCAGTGATATTTAACATACTATTTCTTACATGTACTTATATGAGTGCTCTCAGTTGTTGTGGCCACCATAATAGACAACGGAGGATCTATATCTATCCTTTTTGGGTTCTTTTTCTACCCTGGTATTTTGAAATATGTAAATAATTTTTTAATTGAAGTATTTAATGTTTGAACCGCACAATCCTGCTGAGGAATGTTCAATGATATCATTACCATATCAAGGTCATTTTATTATTGTGTAGGTTGACCAGTTTGAGGTCGAGGCCGTATCCCTGGGAGATCTACAGAAGGTCACCATAGGTCATGGTACACTGGTTGAAGGTGAGTAGTCTCTGTCCCGGGTGAGATACTTTGTACTGGAGTATTAACAACCATATTTAATCTCCAAACTGTCTTTTCTTCTTTATTATTAAATATAAATTTATATGCAATTATGTTATTGTACACATGATGTGTGCAATGGAATTTTTTTGTATTGTAGAAAAATCATTTATAAACTTACTGGTTTGTGATACATCACCTTTCTACAATTTCTATATTGTGTTTCAGGTTCTGGCTGGTTCCTTAAGAAGGTTGTTGTCATGGAATCGGATGAGACTATTGAGGAGGCTGTCTTTACATGTAATCGGTATGTGCTGAGTTCTCTTGAATATGTCATTTTGTCATTTCTGGGCAGATGTTTTTAGATTGGTTCTTGCAGTCTTTCCATAAATTTTAGTGAAGTTGTAAAAGATGTTTATAGACATGATGTTATAACCTGCCTTGATTACAACATTAGTAGAGAAATTGTTCGTAAATATGTGTCTGTCAAAGTTCAATTGCACACAACTATAGGCCTACATTTGTTGTGAAATCCTTGTACATATATTAGGAAAATAATCAAATTAAATTATTTTGATATGGTAATTGTTAGCAGAGTAAATGCCCTTTCGTAAAAGTAGCTGTACTGGACTTACATAAACAGGTCGTAGATGTGTTGTGAAGTTTGCTCACTTCTTTAGGACACACATCCTTAAATGACCTTAGAAGTTTATAGGACGTTAAACAAAATAAAACTAATCTTTAGGACACAAATTACCTGAACAGTAACATGTTACAGATGGCTGGATACAGGCGAGGAGGACGGTAAGGTTGAGAGGACTCTGTACATCACGGAAGGATCCGTCCACAGCCCTTCTCCTGTACCTGTGGTTGCCCCAGTCATTCAGGAGAAGGTTGATAGTCCTAAACCTGAATCAGAGAAGGGAGATAACTCTAGTCCAAAACCAGACACTCCAGAACCGGAACAAACAGAACAGGAGGTCAAGAAATCTCCTACACCTCCTCCTCCACCTCCTCCTAAAGGTAAATTTCAATCACCATTATTTTCCTTTTGGATATGAACCCATCATTCATGTTATGTGTTGAGCTAATGGAGTCTAAATCTTGTACAGTAAAATGAGTACAGACTTACTCCCAAGTATATAAATTGTATATGGATGTATGTGACAGCCACACAAAGGTTTTGTCATTAGAATAAGAAATGGTAACATCAACCTTATCTTCTGTTTATCATGATTAAACACCTTGGAAGTAGTAGGATATATAATTTAGAAACATAGACAATAAAATAGGAGTAAAGATGATGTTTGTTTAGACTATCCATTACATCATCTGGTTCAGATTCTTTTACATATTGCCTTTTTAAATGTTCATCCACAGGAAACCCTTGGTCAGTTACTACAGTGACAGGGTCAGAGAGTGGACAAGGTACGGTGGCTGCGATGGCCTTGGTTGTCTATGGAGACAAGGGTCACAGTGAACCAGTAGTCATTGGGGAAGACCCAGACTTCAGATTCTACGAGGGGAAGACAGACGAACATGAGGTATAGTTATAACTGAATTTTTTGAAATTTTGGGCAGCAATTTAGGGTAGTTAAAGCATGTCACAAGAGGTGCTTTGAGGCTTTCCGATGTGTAATGCTTTTTTAAAAGATAACGAATAATGTGTTATTTCATTGAAATTTTAAGGAGGAAAAAAAAAGATAAATCTATAAATTAAAAATTATCTGGGTTGGAATAGTACATGTATGATGGTGTATTTGACTTCATAATTTGGAACTGACAGGTGAGGATGGAAGCAGAGGTGGGAGTGGTCTACAAGGTCCGGGTGGGGTTCCATGGCCAGGAGCACGACCTCTCTTGGTACGAGGATAGTGCTACAGCCCCCTCCTGGTTTGCAGAGGAGGTAAGATTTCAAAATAAAAAGTGAACTTATGAACTTACACTGGGTAATTTTGATTGATAGAGTTATTTTGATGTGACAAAAGAAAAATGAAATGACATGGAAGAATAATTTTGTCAACCAATCTATTCTAGCTCTTTGACATTGTGAGAAATGTTGACAGCATCTACAATGTAATATTATTAACAAAGACTGAATTGTGTTCTTTCATTGACCAGGTTGGTAAGTTAATTTTCTATGTGGTCTACACAATGTACATTGACCCTTACAGATCAAACTGACCAACTTGACCAGTAATGAGGTATACACATTTGATTCCAAATCCTGGGTGAAGTTGGATGGAAAAGACGACTTCTGGAGAGAGTTTCCAGTCAAACAGGAGAAGGATGAACTCTCAGGTAAACAACAAATAAACAGTACATTTATTACAGTGTCAGAGAAGTTATTGAATGGCATATGAAATATAAACACAAACCTGACATTGATGTGATCTCTATGGCCACACAATAGGCCAGTTGAAGTGTTAAAGTTCTCTGTAAATGACGAGAAGTTTTTGTTTGCAGTGAAGCAGTATTATGTGCAGGTTTACACTGGAGACAAGTTTAAGGCTGGCACTGATGCCAACGTGTTCCTACAGTTGTTTGGAGCGCGAGGTGACACCGGCAGACGAATGCTCCTCACATCCAGGAACAATGCCAACAAGTTTGAGCAAGGATCGGTATGTTTAAATCATGTTTTCTATTTTTAAATTTGAATCAAGACTTTTCTTTCAATGTTTCATATTACTTATGATGACTGTTCTTTTTGAAATTTTAGGTGGATATTTTTGAAATTGAAGCAGTTGACCTTGATAACCTTACAAAGGTCAAGGTTGGTCATGATGGATCTAATGCAGGATCAGGGTGGTACCTGGACAAAGTGGTGGTGAGGGAATTTGAGTCGGCCAAGGAGAGTTTTGTGTTCCAATGTGACAAGTAAGGTTTATACTTTACTATGTTCGCTAGATCTATAATTTAGGGCAACATTGATCTATAGGCATTGAAATAAAGCACAGTCTGGACATTTAGTCTAGTTGCCCAAACTGATGCTGACCTTAACTTAGAATTAGTTACACTTTTGATATTGTGAACTTCATCATTTAACAGTATTTTTTATCGCTATTATTCTTTTAGAACCTTTTATCTTTAAACCATGATTTGTTTTAATAATAACTGACTCGGGTGCAAAAATGTTGGCAGAAAAAAAAAGTGCTTTCCATGAAATTGTATAAAATTACTCGCAAACATAATAATTTATGTTTTGATGTGTGATGTATTCTACTTAACCTTGACATTTACCTACATACAGACAGTATGATATATGAACTTGACATTGAGCTATATACAGTATGTTATAAAGCCAGGATATTGAGCTACATAAATGACCTTGACCTTGTTTACAGATGGCTGGACACTGGAGAAGATGACCAGGAGATTGTGCGGGAACTAACCTTGACAGAAGTGGCTATTGAGGAGGAAAAGCCCCCATCTCCTAAAGGTTCAAGTTACCACCTTCTCATGTGAAATGTTCTTATTTTGCTAGGATAAAAAAACTTTTCTTTATAAATTGTACTTATTTGTAAGAATATAGCATCCACTGATAGACAAGAGCCAGTGTTTTGTATTGCTGGTTTATGTTATAGCTGGTTTATGTTATAGCTGGTTTATGTTATAGCAGGTTTATGTTATAGCTGGTCTATGTTATAGCTGCTGCTCCTGTTATATTCTAAACTTATGTCATATCCTTGAGACCTTGTATTTCCTCTGTTGTAACAGGTGTCCCCTGGAAGATTTGCACTGTGACTGGTGAGGAGGCTGGACAGGGCACAGGGTCAGCTGCTGTTGTGGTCATTTATGGCAGCAAAGGTCAAACTGACCCCAAGGTCATAGGGGAGAGTGAGGAATTCAGATTTGAAATGGGAAAAACAGATGAATTTAAGGTATGGAAAATCTTTTCATTATTTCAGAATATTACCCGGTAATCTATTTGATATGATCTAAGCTATTGTAATTGCAAATATTAAATTGAATTTTTATTTAAAATAAAGTTAAACTGCGTTCTAAACAAGTAATTATGGATAATTGCAATGCTTTGTATTGCTGTTCAGGTGCATGTGGAGGAGGACATTGGGGAGGTGTACAAGGTCAGGGTCGGTTTCCATAGCTCTGAACATGATCTGATGTGGTACGAAAGTCCAGACAGTGCTCCATCCTGGTTCCTGAAACAGGTATTTGACCAGTTTCTGCATTTTGTAATTACTTGTGGTTAATTCAATTTTTGCAGATAAAAAAAAAACATGTTGGAAGACTCATTCCACAGGGTTTATTGTTATCAGAAAGTTATACAATCTTATTGTGTTATTGTTGTAATTTTACATGAATAGAATTTATTTTCTTTTTAGATGACCTTGACAAATATGAAGTCTGATGTGACTTTGACCTTCCCTGGTGACCAGTGGATAAAGTTGGATGGCTTCAATGACTACTGGAAGGAGTTTGCTGTGAAGGCAGACTCAGCAGAGGACCAGCTTACAGGTAGGTCAAGGCTGACTCAGCAGATAACGAGCTTACAGGTTAAGGTCAAGGCTGACTCAGCAGAAAACCAGCTTACAGGTAGGGCAAGGCTGACTCAGCTGATAACCAGCTTACAGGTAAAGGTCGAGGCTGACTCAGCACATAACCAGCTTACAGGTAGGTCAAGGCTGACTCAGCTGAGGACCAGCTTACAGGTAGGTCAAGGCTGACTCAGCAGATAACCAGCTTATAATACAGGTAGGTCAAGGCTGACTCAGCAGATAGCAAGCTTACAGGTAAAGGTCAAGGCTGACTCAGCAGAGGATCAGCTTACAGGTAAAGGTCAAGGCTGACTCAGCAGAGAATCAGATTAAAAGTAAAAGTCAAGGCTAAATAAAGGACCAGCTTATAGGTAGATCAAGACTGAATAGATAGAATACCATTACAGGTAAAGGTCAAGGCTGGTAGAGGACAAGGTAGACTTGTAAAAAATGTTGTTTTTGCAAAATACATAAAGTATCCTAAATTGTCAACAAGGAATCACTAATGAGTGAAGACCACTATAATTTGACTTTTAATTAGGAATCTTAAGACATAAATATTTATTTGCTGCAACCCAAAATTGTACCCTTTCCTCATAGATTTATTATTGATTGTGTAGTGTTTATTTCTCTTCCATTGTTACAGGGAAGACATACAGTCTGGAGGTCCACACAGGGGACAAGTTCCAGGCAGGAACGGACGCCAATGTGTTTGTGGAGCTGTTTGGTGAGCGAGGCAACACTGGCCGTCGACGTCTCCTCACATCCAGGAACAATGCCAACAAGTTTGAGCAGGGGGCAGTATGTACTTCTTGTTTTCACCAAATTGGAATCTTATCATGTCCAGTATAATGGTAATTCAATATGTGTTAATATACAGTTCGCCGAGGGAAATAGGCATGGTCAAGGGACACCAGAAACTTGCTATATCCCTCAATCCCATACTTTAACCGTTTTATTATACCGACACACACTGGGGAGATAGTTTTAACAAGAAAATATCTGTTAACCATAAGCTGTATAGCTTCATGTCCCAACTACCTAGACTGGACAAAATCTTGACAGCGCCATAACTGAAGAAGGCACATTCGGTAGCAAGCTCCGCCCACCTCGCGCATCGCTTCCAAGTTCAGTAACAAGCTCCGCCCACCTCTCGCCTGATTGGCTCGGCGGAAACCCCTGCGAGTGTTGGTGTGTTTTAGTTCAGAAGGTGTGTTTTAGTTCCCAGACTAACACACTGGACTAAAACTTGGTCAGGCAAAAGTGGGGATATATTCGATTTAACTAATTACTTTTATATAGTGTAAATAAAGTAGAGGTATATTAATTGTAGATAAAGTAGAATTTTATTTTGAAACTGGAATAATGAGCTTTCAAGTTTGACGAAACAGTTCAATTTATCAGAGAAGAAGAGATGTCAGATCATGATACTACTGGCTAGTACTGATACTGGGTTTGTCTTACAGAGGGATCTATTTGAAGTAGAGGCTGTTGACCTTGGGAAACTGACCAAGGTCGTCGTTGGTCATGACGGTGAGAACCCTGGTTCAGGATGGTACCTGGACAATGTGACCGTCTCGGTGTCAGATAAACCCACCCACAAGTTCATCTTTAAGTGTGAAAAGTAAGTGAAGTCATGGCATGTTTTGATATAAAATGATCTGTTGAAAATCATAAATAACTCAAAACTGTACAAATTAGTGATGCTATACTGCTAATGGTATTTGATAACGATCAACTGTTGGGTTTAGAGTGGTTGAGTTTAAATGTGTTAGCTGCTACACTTTCAACTCCCTAGATTAAAGATACTACATGGATTTAATCTAAACTTTATCGATTTTATAACAACTATGAAACAAGTTTATCAATTTATATAAATCATTCATGTTGGCCTTGATTATTATCTTTAAAAAGTGTCTTGAAATAATATTTTTTATCTCTGGTCAACTCTAGGTAGAAATTAGTTCAATTATTATATCCTGTAACATCAAATGAAATATAAATGAATAGCAGTCGCAAAGATACCTTCAAAAAGATCTTATTGGTCTTTAAAAGAATGTTTACGTTTATTGCTGTATTTCGTGGGATTAGTAGCAGTGTAAGTAACAAGATTGTTTTATTTCAGATGGTTGGATGTAGGAGAAGATGACGCAGTGATTGTGCGGGACCTACCCCTCACCAACGAGGAGGAGGTGCAGGAGGAGGCACCCAAACAACCTCCTAAGGGTGAGCAAGTAATCAGATTGGTTCCCATAGAAACCTGATTTCCTGCTGAAACAGGAAGTTTCATATATGCTGAGTACTGTTCTAGATATTCATTGAATCTCAAGAATAGGAAATAAAACTTGTTTGTCTTTTTAAATATGGACTTAACCAACAGTGTTTTCTGTTAAGTAGTTTGTATGTTCAAGTTCTAGGAACCATGAAAAAAATATCTTGAGATAACAAACAACAGGGCCAAAAACAACTTAAAATGACTAGATATTTTAGATCCTTCAAGTTTCTGATAAAAAAATATATGTATAATTTCACATGTGTAAATTCACATTTTAAATGTGTAGCAGTTAATCTATGCTCACAAAAGAATGATTGTGAGAATGTTTGTTTTAACAGAGGGTGATTTCCGTGTCTTCATCATTACGGGGAGGGAACCCAAGTCAGCGACCACTGCCCAAGTGACCTTGACAGTGTATGGAGATGCTGGGAACTCTGGACCGCTCCAGCTTGGTAAAGCTGACAGTGGACAGTTCCAAGTGGGACAGACAGACGAATTTGATGTATGTTTATCAGTTGTATTATGGCAGTCATAGGACATGTATTTCAGCCATTTTAAGGCTGTAAATTGACTTTTGTAAAGTTGGAATAGAATACCTTAGGACGAACATATGGAATAATATAAGTCTAGATAATGCATCCAGAATGATACACCTTAGAAACTTTATCAATGCAGTTTTATCAATAAGCTTTTGGCCATTATTACTCAAACCAGGTCAATAGATCCTAGATAGACCTCACCTGAAGTCTATTGTTGTATATGATGATTACCAGGTGTATTAGTCAGTGACCATGCCACATACTTGTTGTAGATCTCTCTGGACCCAGAGGACCTCGGGGAGTTCCGTAAGATACGTGTGGAGCACGACAATTCAGGCTCAGATCCTGCCTGGTGGCTAGACAAGGTTAGTGCTTTGTTGAAGAAGTGACAATTCTGCAATGTCAATGTCAGCGAACATAGCAGTGCAACGTGTTCTGTTTGTCTGAGAAAGAATTACAGGTTAAAGTCCTTTTAAAGAAAGTATCTATAGTAATTTTTGGTGTTTTGTGGATTCATTACATGAAGATGTCATATTATTACAGAAAACCTTCGAAAAATTGAAACCTTTTTTAATCAGGAAGTTGCAGTAAACAGACATTTGGGAACCTGTGTAGTCCTCCATGGTCATGAGATATAACCCTGTGTTCCCAGTTAATCCTCCATGACCTTGTGATACAACACAGTGACTTGTTCTCTAGGTAATCCTCCATGACCTTGTGATACAACACAGTGACTTGTTCTGTAGGTTTTGTTCTCCATGACCTTGTGATACGACACAGTGACTAGTTCTGTAGTTAATCCTCCATGACCTTGTGATAGGACACGGTGACTTGTTCTCTAGGTAATCCTCCATGACCTTGTGATAGGACACGGTGACTTGTTCTCTAGGTAATCCTCCATGACCTTGTGATACAACACGGTGACTTGTTCTCTAGGTAATCCTTCATGACCTTGTGATAGGACACGGTGACTAGTTCTGTATGTAATCCTCCATGACCTTGTGATACAACACGGTGTCTTGTTCTCTAGGTAACCTCCATGACCTTGTGATAGGACACGGTGTCTTGTTCTCAAGGTAATCCTCCATGACCTTGTGATAGGACACGGTGACT